GAAGCATGTGCAGCACTGTTAAGTAAAAAACAGTAGCTGTACATGTACCTTATTAGTTGTAAATAACAGCAGACTCTCTGTAAAGTAGACTCTTATTAAATTTAATCTGGTACTACCAGCTGGGCAGCCAAGCAACATCAAGTTTAGTGGTAGAGGAATCTATCAGCGTGATATCTTGATGTCATCTCTTGAAAAAGCCAGCTGATGGCCAGAGTTAGTACACTGGAGATTGTCTTCTGATATCCCACGTAAGTTTGACTTGGTCACCCAAAATTCAAAACAATCACAGATGTGCACAAATATTAATAGCAGGATCAAGGAATATGACTTATTGATGTCCCAGGCCTTTATTCAACAATTTCAAAGGGGTTCTAAAAATTTCCTGAAAAGTTAATTGACCCAACCTGAGAAATGGCAAATCTAATAATTTTTGTTCAGAGTGAATCCTTTCTAGCCACAAGGGCAGTTTTTTTTATTCCCCTCTCCACTCTTTATAAAACCGTGTGCATGATCCTTTAATTAACGAGTTTTTGGACAGGTTGCCCAGTTTCCAGGACTGCCCAATTGATTTTGGCCAGCAATGTTCTTTGACGCATTCATTCTTGGTAGGTGAATGAAAATAATTGAATTATGGCGGGGACGTCAAGATAATATGTTCATTCTACGTCATTGCATCTTATTATGCTGGAATATTCAAATTACCATCCAAGTGAGTTACCATAACTGAATAAATGGTGGCTTTTATAGTCAGGGCTGATGTTTGAAATATGAAAACAAGATGGATCATATATCTTTGAATAATGTAGGAGAGAAAAAAAGAAGGCATTAAGAAATACTATCTGCACAACATTGCTTGATTAATTGACATGTAACTCTCTGTGTCAAAATGACAAAATTAATGATGTTAATCTACACTAATGTCTTCACATGAGCACAAAATCTTTAATCTTACCAGACACTAATACAGTTAATGGCTTGCATGTCCATTTTTTCTGAGGCTATTCAGTCCTTACATATTATGATTAATATGCAATTATATCCAGCGATTTTCCAAGCAATTCTACTTCCTCAATTTGGGGTCTCAATTACTGATCAAATTATCAAACATATTTTTTAAATTGTTTGATGTTTTATGCAGAATTCCAGGTTCTGTGATCAGTTATCACTTTTGCTTGTGTTTTTCCTTTCCTCTTTTTTTTTTTTTTTTTGTTTTAGTATTTGCGTGAGGTTATGCATGTGTCAGCTTTTGCATTAAACGAGCCTAATTTCATAACTGGTAAGGACAAAATGATCTGTCATGTAATAACACGTCGGATGCACTTGAAAACACAATAATCAGTCCATGATTTATCACTGCTGATCATTATTAAATTTCATATTCTGACAATATATGTTCATGTATTTGGTTTATTACGCATAATTCTAACATCCTGTTTTAATCAAGTTCATTACAGGTATTATATCCTGACTATGATCTCTGTGAATGATATTATCTATACATCATGTACTGGCACTCATTATATGCCTTCCCAAGTACCAGTAACTTATGATGTTGCTTTATGTATATTTTACAAAAAAGACATAAACAAAAACTTCAAATGATTGATACCGTGGAACATATACTCTCTCTCTCTCTCTCTCTCTCACACACACACACACACACACACACACACACACACACACAAAAAAAGAGAGAGANTTTTTTTTTTTTTTTTGTTTTAGTATTTGCGTGAGGTTATGCATGTGTCAGCTTTTGCATTAAACGAGCCTAATTTCATAACTGGTAAGGACAAAATGATCTGTCATGTAATAACACGTCGGATGCACTTGAAAACACAATAATCAGTCCATGATTTATCACTGCTGATCATTATTAAATTTCATATTCTGACAATATATGTTCATGTATTTGGTTTATTACGCATAATTCTAACATCCTGTTTTAATCAAGTTCATTACAGGTATTATATCCTGACTATGATCTCTGTGAATGATATTATCTATACATCATGTACTGGCACTCATTATATGCCTTCCCAAGTACCAGTAACTTATGATGTTGCTTTATGTATATTTTACAAAAAAGACATAAACAAAAACTTCAAATGATTGATACCGTGGAACATATACTCTCTCTCTCTCTCTCTCTCACACACACACACACACACACACACACACACACACACACACAAAAAGAGAGAGAGAGAGAGAGAGAATTAAGAGACCCAATGTCATTTGTATTTCTCCCTTGACATCTTGACACACATCACAGGACACAATCTTTCGCACGTTTTTTAAATCAGATTCCCAGAATCAAAATACTACAAGGAAATAATACAAACCCCCACCTCCCTGGACAACCTGATCCTGATAATGGTCCAATCACCTGCTGTAATAACAATCCCTGAAGATGTCCCTGGCTGCTTAATTTGATACTAGAGTGAAATCACAGAAACAAAAACATGTAGAACATGTTTACATGTCTCGGGTTTAAATTAATGGCAATATGTTTTTCTGCAGTCTGCTATTGAGAACAGAGTTATGACTTAGGGTTGTAAAAAAAAAAAAAAAGGAAGAAATGGTTCAGTGGTCTTACAACCAGGGGTCTAGGCAAAACGAGAGGGGGGGAGGAATCAGATTTTTCATTTAAATTGGCAAAAATCGCTTCTGAGAACAAGAGAAATAAAGGTTTATCCTGCTTTTTATATGGTTATTAATAGGTGAAAAAATTGATTGCACACCACAAGCTATGATCACTTTACATTTGAATTCATAAATGGCCTCAGCTGTAAAAACAAGTTAGAAACAATGCAGAATTTGTCACTGCAAATGGTCCCCAAGTGGTGTGCGATTGTGCAGCTTTTTCAATTTAAAACAAATTACTGTAGGAGATAACGCAACAAACAAGTGCGGCAGACTTAGTCTATGATAAATATGATGATAAGTAGCCTAGCTTCTGGTCTGGCAACTATGTGGAATGATGCCATTAGACATTCTGTCTATCATAAAAATATGTAACAAATATAATCTGCATGAGCTGGGGTTGGTGTGCAAGTGATCAATCAAGCAAAAAAATAATAGCTTGGATAATGTTTAAAACTATTATGTTACTTGGCTAAAAACTATGAGAGTATAATGAAGTTAGTAGATTTAGAGCTTTTCCCAGCACCTGATAAAGAATAAATTGTCTACAGGGTGAAAATAACATGCACAGTTAAGCTTTCAGAAATCCCCCTAGGTTTCCCACAAATTCAGTATACCAGAAGGTTTCCAAAATGAAGACAAAATTCCATGAGTGGGAGAAAAAAAAATTATTTTAGGTGAAATAACACCCAACTGAGTGGCCACAATAAAAGTACAAGAAACCTAGTGCTAACAGTTTCAATCACGTTTTTGTGCAACTCTTTTTTTTTTTACCTGCAACTATATCACGATAGCTACTATAACACCTTTCATCAAGATGTGGTAAAATAGTGGTCAAAAACACTATGATGCAGCTGATGGATAACCGACTTTTTGATATATTGCCCAGCACCACCCCTCTCCCACCTGATAAATTAATAAATAGAATACATTTGCAATCAAATTATGGTGGTAATAAGTGTACAATATGTAGGTGTGACAGCTGTGTAGTCATCCACAGGTGATATGGGACTTAACTTGCTGCTGTTGAGCCACTGGTAGCAACAGGCAATAGTCTTCTAACCAGCTGCCAGAAGTTTAACTTTACTGTGTCAAATTAAAGGGAATTCAGTGCAGTTATCACTTCTTAATCTTTTACACTATCCTTTTAAAGTTTTTATTGCAGCAAATTGTATGTCACTATGTGAAATAAATACAGTAGAATTATCTACATGTATATAACAAAACACTCACAGCAATACCCAAGATGACATTTAAAAAAATTAACTTGATGCATCCAAGGACAGCTGACTTAGCTTGGTATAGGACCTGAGGACCATAATTCATCATACAATTTATTGCTTATTAGAACCTAGTATCTCAAAGCAAAAAAAGATGGAATTTCATCTCAAATTGTCTACGAAAATTAATCTCGCCAAATTATTGATCTTCTGAGACAGCAGTCTTTGAACACTTCGTATTTCCATGTCTAATCCCAAAGCTGTATAAATTTGTAGTAATTTTGGTTTTGTTGCTCTTGTAGTAAATTTATCAGATGGGGATCAATAAGTGACAATGTTTTTGCAAGTTACTGAAAAGGCAATCAACAATATTTTTAGAATGCACGCTAAAGTGAAATGAAAATCAGCCGTCTTCCCACCCTTCTATTTTTATGTCCGCCATATATCCAGGCACATGGTAACATTATATACGCAATTTGATTAAATTAAGAAGTGAGGCAAGGCTTTATGGTCTCCTATTCCCTGGGAAATCTTGTGATATGGTCAATTATTACTCCGCTAGGATAAGGAGACTTCACAAAATACAGCTTTCCACTAATAAAATATTAGTATTATTCAAAGTTAAGCTTTGTCCTGGCCCGATATAAGTTCTATGCTATTACCGCTGAGGGAGGTGAACTTAGTGTAGATACGTGGGATTATCATGGTTTGATGTTCAAAGTGAAAGAAAACAAATTCCACACCCAGCACCAGCCTGTGTTCGGCCGAGTTCATTTCAATTCCTGGAATGTGATTAAACATAGTGCTTAAAGAGAAATTAATTAATTCCTCTTTTTTTCTTACAGTAAATATCATATCTGTTTCACAGTAATTGCCAATATCAATGGGATTTTATACCAGAAATCACACTGCAAAGTTCACCAGTACAGACATGGGTCACATAAAACCAATACTTGCAGGATTTAATCTATCATTGATCTGCTGGTGAAAAAAACAGGCTAGAAAACAGTTTTTTATCATTTCTTCAAGGGAATATATGACCAGCCAATTACAGCAAGGAGTTATAACTCCTTGATTACAGTGACTATCAACCCACACTTCTCTTTCAAAAAGTATTCTAAATTGAAGGAAGTTGGATTTAATTTCAACAAAGGGCAAAGTCATAATGATCCAGGCATTTTGCAATCTAAAACAAGGAGTCTCACAAGTGACCCTTTATTGTTTATGCATTGTTGAATACTAAATGCATTTTGCCTTAGAACCTGTTAGAACCATGAGTAGGAACATCAAACTCCACTCATCACTACATTTAATACTTCACTTCATCCCTTGGAAGACAGGAACACAAAAACCTACAGATGTCAGCTTCCTTGTGTTTGATGTTTTTTGAATTACCACGAAGTCCCTGTTTTTTTACCTCCCACACAGCCGGAGTACATGACTGACTTCCTGCCTCTGCCACCTGAAGTCGAAGAACCACATGTCTAGATTTATCTACCTATGAAAATGACAGCATACTTCACATAGAAATGCTTTTAACAGCTTTTAAAATAGCCAAAGATCAAACTTAAAAAAAATTAGGTTTCATAAATATTCGTTTTCCACATTAAATAAAGGCTTTTGAAAACTGCAAAGAAAATATCAACTGCATATGGAAATATACATCGTAGCATCAAAAATATTGTTTTTTTTTGCTCTTATTTTCCTTTTTTTTTCACTAACCATCCTGTTCAATAGATCAAGTGAACTGTCTGATCTTACCTCCTACGTAAAAGTACTTCTAAAACTGATTTCACATATTCATTCTAGTTCAAAACAGAAAGAAAAAACTTAAAACAAAAAATGAAGGCAAAAACAACTTTGATAAACACATTTTTGTCTCTTTTGACACATATTGAGCAACAATTAATCAGAATAATTACCAAAATATCTCATACCTTAAAAAGTATTAGACAACAGAAGTTGGGATCAAATGGTAAAAAGAAAAGACTGGGGTAAAATTTGTAGCTCAGAGATAAAATACTTGTAACCTCTGACATGTTACTTTTTTAATGAAAACATTTTTTTTCTAATTTGGAAAAAAGGAAACAATGCTTCATTTAGCTCGAGACCTGATGGTCAAATCAGTCCACAAGATCAAAAAGTAGAAAATTTCACCAGCCTAACTGTAAAATTCCGCAGAGCCAGCAAGACACAGGCTACTTCTAACATGGTGTCGACATCACAATCCCACTCCTTTTACCAGTTTTCTTTCTGCTGATGGGTTTACATCACTGCTAAACCCCTGTCGTCAATAGGGTTACATGTACTTATGATAACTTTTTCGATAAAGTGCTTGTTTACGTCTTTAATACAAAAATGGAACATGACAATTTAACATGCAAGACAGTATTCTTAATCAAGCATAAATGTAAAACACAGAAAATAAATTTGATCTGGTAAGCAGTAACTGAATTACTAGCATATTCCAGTTGAATACTCTGCTGCCCCATTTTCTGGCATGTTTCCCAGAAGTTGTGACAGGTTAAACCTCGCGTTACAAGAGCTTGTACGATTACTTAACAGACAGCCTGCAGATGTACACTAACTGGAAAGTTCCATGGGTAACAAGTTTTGTTAATTTAGATGGGTAACAAGTTTTGTTAATTTAGAAGTAAAAGTGGTTTTTTTTTGTGCTGCAAAGTTCTCCATCATAAAGAGAGTTCAGATGCATCTTCTATAATTTTTTTCCAAAGGCCTAACTTCTCCTTTAATATGTATATTCCTTTTAAATGCAGTCTTCATAAATGTTTTCTCTTTGGCATTTTGAAAAATTTCCCTTCAGTCCAAATGATATTTCCTGTCACCTCTCTCCACTATACAGCATCTTTTCATCTGGATAGTATTTCATCATTATGACATTTATATTTTAGACGTATTTTCTATTTTTTTCAAAAAAGTGGTTTAATTTGATGAAATGATGGCATAAAATAGTTGGCGACAAAACTTTATTTCAATGCAAAAAAAAAACAAAACAAAAAAAAACACTCACTTGCCCTTAAATATTGAAAACAGGGTCGTACTTAAATTATATAACCTTAATCAATCACAAAACTTGTTTTTAACAAAAAAATCAACTCTTTCCCTTTAAAAAAACATTCTCTGGTGATTGCGAGTTAAGTATCTCCAAAATGCCAAACTAAAACAATTTTGTTCCTTTACCGTTGTGTATATATACTAATAGTGCGTTAATTGCTTTTCAGGATAGATTTCTCTGAATGGTAGACTCCAGAGTTTTCACCAGGGCATTTGCCTTAAAATAAGGACGGGATCAGTAGGAGTGGAGTAAAATGTCAAAACAGGTCTGAACAAAGAGAAGTATCTGACAGCCACCTGTACTCACACGCTACAAGCAAAACCAGATCGCACATCCACAATGATGGATGTATCTGAGAACTGCAGCCAGGGTCATGATCATGGCAATAATATGGGGATACCTCAACTGGACTTGTACAACTACATCATGAATGTGTATGTGACAGGTATACTCTGTGTATTTGGAGTCATAGGAAATATTCTGTCATTAATAATACTTTTACAGGACAAGAAAAAGTCGATAACATTCTACCTTCTGCGAGCAGTTGCTGTGGCAGACACTTGCCTTCTAATTACAACACTTTTTGTATACGTTTTGCCAGCCGTGTATCCTTACACAGGAGAGCTGAAGTTTTTCAGTTGGAATATGCCATATCTACAGGCATGGGTGTGGCCTTTTGCCATGATGGCCCATACTGGAGCAGTATGGACAGTTGTTACCGTGACCTTTGACCGCTACATTGCAGTCTGCATACCATACCGAGCAAAGTTTCTACGAACAATTGAACGAGGACGTGCAGGGATTGGTCTTGTGACGGCCTTTTCTGTCCTGTACAACCTGCCCAGGTTCTTTGATGTCCAGGTGAAGGAGATATATGATTTCTGTGAAAATGTGACCAGAGTATATTTTGACTTGAATCTCTATGCATACAGTGGCTACAGGATAGGCTATGTCATAGTATCTTATTTCGCCATCAACATCATATGTCCAATCAGTATTCTCACCTACCTGAACATCCGCCTTATTATGGCTTTGAGAAGAGGGCAAAGGAGAAGGGCCAGCATTGGCCGGGCCAGCATGTCGGCCAAAAAGGATGACCATAACGTCACCCTCCTACTTATCGTAATTGTCATTGCTTTTATTCTCTGTCAACTACCATCTGTTGTGACGCAGGCCATGTACGCCTGGCAAGAACAACTAGGGACTAAAATGCTCATGTTTCAGAGATTTTACGTTCCATTTAGTAATGCCATGGTTATTTTGAACTCGTCCATTAATTTTCTTATATACTGTGTATTTGGGAGGAGTTTCCGCCGCATGATGCAGAGGGTGTTATGCTGGAAATGTTACCCGGAGAGCCTAGAGGAGAGCAGTGGAGAGCACACGACTCATCCAAGTCAGCCCAAGTTTGCTGCAAGAGTTCGTAAAGTAAGACTGCTGCTGCTGGCAGTGAAGAAAGATAACAATAATGTTCAGAATGAAGAACTGAGGGAAATATTCCCCAAGGCCCCAGCTTCTGTAACTCATGATACAACAAGTAGCACGGCTACAACTTCAACAACTTGTCACAGCAGCTCCTCAAAATCTCAGTGCTAAACACGCACTATAAGTATAGTCTAATATATATATATAAAGATATATTATGATATTAAAAATAAATGTTTTATCACAGACAAAAAAAAAGCTTCAATGATTGTGATAAGAATTAAGAAGATATTCTAGGGAGATACTACCTCGACATGGTATGTGTTAAATGGACCATTTGAGCAGTTTTAATTCAAGAAAAAAATTCCAGTGCAGTTGCTTTGTGAATTTGTAAAAATAAATATATCTGTGCAGTATATTGCAATTGAGCAAAAGGAAAATTTTAATAATAATTATAAATGTTATGAATATCTTGCTGATGGATAATTTCTTTGACGTCAGCAACATACCCATTAAAAATAAGAAAAACTCAAATATAAGTGTTGAACTTGAAACAATACTGTTTAAAAAAAAAATGATTTTCTAAGAAAATGCAGATTGAAGATTTTCTCACATTAAAGCATCCCATTTTTCTAACATAATAACAGAAAATACTCTAAAAACTCATAATATCTAAATGCTGTTAAGAATATCTATAACCCCTTGGCCCTTGCACTTGGCATGCATTGTTGAGGTTACAGTAGCATGTAGTCCCAATTGATTTGATCTGATCAATCTAAATCATTAAATACATCAAACATCCTCCCTTCGATGAATAACGGAACATAATGGGTTCAAAATTATAAAGGCAGGGGCTGTAGGGTTCAACAATGCAGCTGCATACAAACTATGTCATGTCCTGAATTTGCGATCTACCACATATGGTAATGACTGGATCTTTGGAATGGGGAAAAAACATCAATCTTCCAAATCCATAATTTTGGAATCATTTAAAATTATATTCTGTATAGCATTTTTGTGCTTTTACTTTATAAAAGAGATATAGCTCGAACTATAGGGTAGCCTCCTTTCAAATTTTGTTGCTACCGTTCAATAGAAATGTTCTCATTTATAGAATTTATGATGAAAAAAAAAAACAATATCTGCAAAATTCACAATTTTCCCATTTTCCCCACTGATAAGATGAAGTCATTATTGTCCAGTTGTTTTAGAGGACACTCCTCACTATCTGCCTGTCTCAGCCTTGGCCTGTATCTGGACATAGAAGTAGAGAACTCAAAGTGGTGCATGGCATAACCCATCCTCATCAAATTTATTGCACATCTCGTTAATAACTTCCCCCGCCATTCTAGGACATGGGATAATTGTTCATTAAGTATATGTTTATCTGTAAGTTAATGTTTTTCCACTGTGTGAACCTCAGACTCAATGCCAAAATATACCATTACGTCCTAATTATCAGAACAAATTATTCCTAATTAATTGGTAATGCCAGACATATTGTGCTATGTGTTTCTAGTAGCCAAACATCAAAAATACTAAAATATTAAATATGTCGAGTCAGTTCGAGTCTATGAATAAACATAGCACAATCCAAAGAAAAAAAAATTATTAATTGATATTTGGGGGTGCCACAAATCCTACGTACTAAAAAAAGGGATTCTAAATGCATGGGATCATTAACAGACATAACAGATAGACTAAGTGGGTAGGTAGCCTTGGCAGGGGGTCTGGGAGTCCCATAAGGCAGAAAACCACGTAGAAAATAAATCAGATTTCCAAATTAAATTAGAAAAAAAATCCATGTCTGCACTTTAGCGCAGACAAGATTCCATCCAAAGGAATCTATACAGAATATTATGGTGGCAGCACCTATCACACCATGGTTTCCTTCAGATATCAAAGGCGCCTTCAGAACTTTTCTAACTTGATCAGCACATCTATAGTCCCGACTGATGTGACCGTAGGGACCGATTCTTCGACTTGAGACTTCAAAATCTGAGCCAGGATAGAGATCTGTATGTGATGCAGACTTCTAGCTGCTACAGTATATTACTTCTTTAAATTGAACTATGTATTTCTGAAAGCACTTAAAAAATTTATAAGCTCATTTTTCACATTTCCAGTTTTCAGAGACCAATAGCATGAATTTGAGATAGTATTAAGACAATTACAGAAAGGAATTCTTTCTCAGTGGGGTATGACTCAGGGAACTAAAAACTGGCTTATATAATATATTTTATTGATCCAAGGAAACTGAACGTGAGTAAAATCTGTGAAAATGGGGAAACCAAAAAGTGACAGGTTAATGGGTTAATGGTCACACATATGGCTCAAAACCATTTCCTGAGTGTTTTCATATTTTCCAAACTGAAAACCAATTGATGGAAGTATGAAGAAGAAACGCACTGTTATTACCTAGTAAGCAGATATGGCATTTTCTATAAAAAAAAAACAAAAAAAACAAAAACAAATGAAAAATGTGCCACTGAAATAATGGCACATTTTAATCAACAGGAAAATTGCAAGAAATTGAATGAAGAACACAGCACCTAAGTGATACATACAAAGAAATTGTTTAAATTACTGTTGAGTCTTTCAGACATACACAAAACGAAATTCGTACTTGCTCATGGTTATTATACAGTATCTCATACATGAGTGTCAGTTCCTTACTCATGTTTGCCTCGGCTCATCAAATCTCTTGCACGCATCTCCATTTAAGGAGTTTTATTGCCTATCACAGATCACACTCAACTGTTGACAGTTCTAGGAATATCTTGATTTCTAAGAAACCATAAGACTATCCACTCCTGGAGAGTAGAAACTCAATTATTTGTTATCAATTAACAAACACGCTGAGACCAATCAAATATGTCTGACAAGGTGAAAAACCCTGCTTGCATGCAAAAGCCCGTTAGACATCTTGCCAGACGAATTGGGCTTTTTATTTTTCCTTAACATATCAGCAATGACATCCACCTTCAACATTCACATGCATACAGAATTTATTTGGGGTTGTAAGAAAAAAGTACTATGAAATGGCTCAGTGGCCTTATGAATAGAGGTCTGAGAGATGCTGAAGGCAGAAGACTAGAAAAAATATATATATATTTCGAACACATTTCCAATAATTGGAACAAAATCACAATAGCTTTTAGTCCCACTTTCAAGGTTATCATTTATGTGACAAAAAAAGAGTGGACCTTTAAAAAATCCTGAAAATGCCAAAGGTGTAAAACTTTATACCAGTTCGGAAGATCTGTCATTATAAACACCCAATATCTATCTATATCTTTCAAGCTATCTATCTGGAAGTCTTTCATTTCTAATATAAATTTTTGATGAAATTTTCAGGCAAGACAGTTTTTCAATATGAAGTGATCACAATTTCAACTTGATCTGTGTCTCCTTTGATTTTTAATGTTTTTTATTATGCTTATTTACATTTTTCCAAGGGGGAGGTCTGTGCTCTTTGAGTATTCTTTCATAGTATCTAGAAGGCATAAAGTTTGCAGGAAAGAGTATGGGCTGTTTACTCTGCAGAGTCCTTCACTCCAATCTTCAAATCACCACAGTGGGATCTGCTGTAGCGGATGGATAGCTCTGGAGTACTGGAAGACTATCTTGTTATCATCAGGCAAGCAATTCTAAGACAAGGAGTGGGCATTTTGTAGCCAAAATGGAGGATCTTTCATAGCCCCCCCCCCGAAAAAAGCCCCCCAAAAAAAAAAAAAAAAAAAAAAAAACTGCATGCCAGCCTGTAAATTAAAGAAAAGAACAGAGGGCAAACTGTTTATAGTCAAGGGTCCAGTAGTAAAGGCGTGTGTTCACTGGTCAGGGTGCTACTAGTAGTAGTAATAGGCTAGTGTAAATGGAGGACCCAAGTTACAGAACTCTCCTACTTTATGTGTCCTCATGTATGATATTGATAAATTACCATATGACATCAACAATGACACCAATTTTTGTATTCTTTCTTTAACCTTTCCACAATCAAAAGCAGACATTCAAGTTACAGGTGTCATTGCACTTTATAATCCTTAACATCCAAATAACAACATCTTTCATTGCAAACATTACGCACTGCTAACTCTAATTGCATCCCAAATTTTCTCATGATCATCATAATAAACATATATATAATCAACGCAGTGGTTGGTACCAATATTTTGAAAATCCAACATCCCACTTTGTCTGCTTTGCTTAGCCTTATATCTGTGTTCAAAGGAGTGACAACACTTTTATCTTTTCTTTTATTCATATTATAAATGCCACATTTTCACTTTATAGAAATAGAGGCACATGTACGGCACTTTACTTATTCATTTATTATTGTCAATTATCTGAGCACAAGTACAAATTAACAAAATAAACTAAATGTATGGCCTCTCAAAAATTAATGTGCAGTTAACTTTCAAAATGGAACGTATAACAATAAGAACAGACATTTAAGTTGTGTTTGACATTTCACAAGGGGTTATCTGACTGGATGTTCCAACGCAAGGTCAACTTAAATTCAACATTTGTTCACCTTTGATGCAGTTAACTTTGTTAGCATCACAAATAAGAATTTGACTGTTCTGCCAAGGTCAAGGGTAATATGAATCAGATGTTGTAACAATGTATCCTTGCTTTCCAGAAAAAACTTTGAGACCCTTCATTCAGTATGACATACAGAAAGCACACAGGTAGCAAAATACTAGTGACTTGCCCAGCTACTACATGGTTTTTCCGTCTTATTCTTAATTCTACAGCATATTACACTTAGAGGCATAATGATACTGGAGGATCATATCAGTGGGATCCTTCAACTCAATTGCATTATCTGAGGAAAATGAGAAACCCCTAAACGAAATCACGCTGCTGGCTCAATAACATCTTTCTCTCAATGAACAAGATCAAAAGGGAATTTCTCTATTCTCCTAGGACATAACAGTGGCGCATGCAATTAAAACTTTTTAAAATCAATAATGGACTGAGTAACTCTCTCTCCCAATCTGATATTTTCCTTGTTAGAGGCAGAGTAAGAAATATTCTTGTCTAAGATAAGACTGAAAGTTGCATTAAATGTAGTTCTTCATAAACAAACGTAAGTCTGCCCTTAGCCAGAGGATTTCTGCAGCAGACACAACCAATAGGGGCAGCTTATTAGCAGTACAAATGGAGCTGAGAATTTCTTAATTGCAATATTTAAGCCATTGATTATTTTGGTGTAACTATCGAGCATCTATTTCCTATCAGGTCTTTTCCAACTAATTACTTAATCTAACCATACTAGACTAAAGTAATGAAAGAAGAGACAGTAATCCCCAGCACTGAATGTGTAAGTCAGAGATGAATTTACAATGACAATGACAGCACATCTCAATACTGTACATGTAATTTATCTCACTTACATAAAAATTTACCAAAATAAATTCTAACTCTGTTTTATTTGATAGTTTTTTATTTATTTATTTATTTATTTATTTATTTTTTTTTTTGTCATCCATTAGATTCCAAATATGGTATTCTGACTCAGAAACTTAAAGATTGAATATACTTGTACATTAAAATACCAAGTAATTCAAAGAGCAGATTTTTTTCAATCAATTTCACATTAATATTTCTGTACATATGATAAACAATTTTTGATAAAAAAAATCAAGGAAGGAAACCAAAAAGTTTATAGTCTTTCAGAATTCTGTTCTTCATCTATATATAATGTTAGTATGTATTTTTTTCTATTGCCTTCTAAACTGAAGAAAGTAAGTCTAGCCTGTGCTTTAATCCAGCTTAATAATGAACACTTGAGGGTTATTAAGTATCATTAATTTGATCATTACCATCTGTAATTTAAAAAGGAAGATTGTAACAAACTACCAAGGGAATTCAGTCAAATGTCGAGCTGCCACTGCAAATGTCAGTTTTTGAATATAGATCCTCACAGAGAACCTCAAATAGGGCTCTCGACCATACTTACTCATAAGTCAAAACAAAAAAAATTACTGACACAATTTCAAAATCACTATTGAAAATTGAAACATTAATGTATGCCTACTTATTTTAGAAACAAACATTCAACTCCGCTAACAGAAGATGACCAACACCTTGAATGCAGCAGGTGAGATGAGAGGGAGAACAATCAGAAGCAATTACCAACTACCACATCCAATAGCATTACTACATGCACACTTGGAGTGAAGAATGCAATGGGCATTCATTGTAACAAGTGTCTATAAATACAAGTTAGATAATTGTAATGTACATATATATATATATATAAAACTTGGAAGTTGCTTAGAGAATATGGTGTAATAGAGAGATTAGCAGTCAGCACTTGTCCACACAGGAAAAAAGGGACATAATACAGCCCTAAATCCCCATCACTGCCAATGTAAGCATCCTAGACAAGGAGTCTGGAGACCACCACAGGAAAACCAAAGTAAGCATGCATATATAAATCTACCCAAGGTAAAGTGGACCACAGTTATCAGAAACGTACGTTGCTTCCAATTGATCTACCTTAAACTATACATACCTCTGCTGGGGAGGGTGGGTGTTAGGAGCACCACTGACCTCCAGTACTCCCATGTTTGAGGTTATAACCCCTGGGCTGGAGGTCTTATATAGCCACATGTGGCCAAGTTGGGCAAATACTGAAAACATAATATTGGGGTCTGTTAAATAATTTTCTGTTACTCTAGATTGCTTTTGATACAATCAATCTATATTTTATAAGTTAAATTTATTTTCCAATATTTTCAACGCTGTTCGTTTTCTTCAGCAATTTATTATTATTATTATTTATTATTATTCCAAAATAAAACAATGTTTATTCATTTTTTCCATTTCAAAATTAGATAATTTCCCTTTTAAGTAAAGACGTCACTCAGTATTTAGTGGCATTACAGGGATAAATTTTACGACAATTTTTAACACTTTGCATCAATACTTTGTTTTTGTCAGACTCACAGTTTAGTAATAGTGGCATGACTGTCAATTCATATTGTTTAGCATATGCACATGGTTGCCATGGGAGAATTCTAGAGCTTTTTCTTTTCTTTTTTTTTTACTTACTCTAAGCCATCATAAGAGCCCTCCTATGAGTCTGAATAACAAAAAATACAATATAATTTTATTTTCAACATGCATGTGAAAATCTAGCACTAGGTTTTATTCAAAAGCACACCTATTTACGACCTCCAAAAAGAGTCCACATGATACATGTACATTGTACATGTACTAGTAAATAGGAGTCCTAGCTATTGCCTCAGTTTTCGACCTTACATATAGGTAACTAGAAGAGAGTTACGTTAACACATATCCCATGTTACCATTCTCAACATTAGTCACACTAAATCATAAAACGGCAAATGTACAACTGCAGTAAGGGAAGGGAACTGTCACCAGATCTTTGCATGTAACTTTGTTAGGGCGCAAACTGAGGTAATTAAGGGATCTAACGCAAGAAACTTTCTCCTAGTGCAAAAAAGGAACCCGCTCAATTTTTACAATGCTGCACCATTTACTGCGCCGTTATTTTTTCTCGAACATGAAATTCCATTAAGCACCTTATCTATGAAGACGTCGTATTTCGATGCTTTAAATCCCCGCTTGTGGTGAGTAGCCTTCACCTTGCATACAAATTTTCCAAAACGAGATTGACTAAGATGGCGTCCTCCTTGTGGAAGGTCAGCCGAGTCCTTCACAAGTATCGGTGTAGCGCTCTCATAAATGCGCACAAATCATTGACATTACAATATAAGGGTTTTAAATCATCATGTCGATTATTTGGTAAGTTTTTAACAAATTTATTCATTTGTTTGAAGAAGAACATTTGACGTCTGCTTGTCCAGTTTAACTTGACAACATGAAAATCGTCTTCACCGCTAGTGTCATTGCGTCTGTGTCATCATATAGGCAACAAAATTTTTGTATATTCCACCACAATAATTATTTAGTACTTCAGAACGAAGAAGAAAAATAAGTGGGGGAGTTAAGTCATCTCCCAGTGACAGTGCTTCCACAGACGTTGTTATTGAAATGTTGAATGAGGAGGGGTTCATGCTTCACAAGTTCAGTTTCACTCCTTTTCTGAATAAGATCAATTTAACTGAGATAGTTGTCAGCATTTTCTGTTCTGTAAAACCCCATCTACTGTCCAATTTTTGCAATATGATGATTTAATTGCCATTTCACACTTGTAGTAACTGTCAAAGGTGTCTCGTGTATTGTATGTGTAAGCGGTTGGAATGGCTTGATCCTCATTTGTGACTGTTCCAGGTGCAACTCCCATCAAAATGCCTGCGCTATCACCAACCATGCAGGAAGGTACTATTGTAAAATGGTACAAAAAAGAAGGTAAATATTATATGACCATAACAGGGAATCTTGTCAGGATGGTAGCCTTATTATATTTACCACTGGACTGGTTGCACCTGTGGCATTGTTTGTTTTATTTTTTGTAATATATTGTTTCACACTTTCTGTTTTTCCTTGTAATACATATATGTTACTTCCCAATACAAGTTATTTGAAGGCAACATAATTCTTTTAACTGTGCTTGTTGTTAAGGAAAAAGACAAAAGAAGTGAGCAATATATTTTTAAATGCTGTATAAAAACTAATCCATTTATGTTAAAAATGTAGTTGCTCCATGGTTTAATAACAATACCAACAGGTGTAATTGTATCTTTATTATTCAGGTGACACAATAGCTCCCGGGGACATTCTGTGTGACATACAGACTGACAAGGCTGTTATGGGGATGGAGGTGGAAGAGGAGGGGATTCTAGCCAAAATTATAGTAAGTTAATTACATGCCCTGTTTTATGCTATCCACTTTATGCTTGTATCATTGCAGCATTTTGATCCATATTTGTTTTTGACTGGAAGAGTGCAGCGATGTCAAGTGAAGGGAACCACATGCTACTGAGAGCTGGGCAATTCTATTTCACTGGGACATATAGAATTAGAACTTATGAATCACCACCAAATTCTAATTGATTGTAATTTAGCCCATTTTTGCCTATCCTGAAAATGTTATCAAAATCTACCCATAACTGTAAGAGTTAAGAAAGGCAAAAACATGACCTCGTTTACAATGGCCATAATAATGAAGAACATCACATCAAAATTTAAATTGCCATATGTACTTTTAAAGTAAGTCCTTATTTTAGTGCAGCTGTAATTCATACAAATTTTTATACTTAAATTGGAAATTGCATTGTACTGTATGAAAATGGAATGCACTGTATAAGAAATTATTATTATTATTATTATTATTATTATTATTATTATTATTATTATTATTATTATCACAAGTTTTTACTTGACATTTTATTCAACTTCTCCCAAATAGAAACCTGATGACAGTAAAGATGTACAGATTGGTGTCATGATAGCAGTGATGGTGGAGGAGGGAGAAGACTGGGAGAATGTGGAGGTGCCAGCAGAGGTAGAGGTAGACAGTGCACCTGCTGTAGAACCCACCCAGGAACCTGTGTCTGCCCCTCCCCCTCCCACCCAGCCTGCTGCTGCTGCTGCTGCAACACAATCTACAGAACATTTTGACATACCAAAGGGGTAACTTGGCTGTCTGTTTTACTGTAATAGTAGTTTCATGTTGTTTTAGTTGAGGCCTTGATGCCGTATATTCTCTCACATACATTTTAAAGGGGCAATACTGTATTAACATATTTCCGATGAGTTGTTATGCATTATCAAATTGACTAACAGGAAATAATTGAAGTGATATTCCCCTGATGTTATCAACAATACTTTGAATTATGAAGTAAGGGTCTGAGTCATTAATGGTACAGATTAACTGAAATGTTGGATGTATTTCAGGGTGAAAATAGGTCCGGCTGTTCGAAGTTTGGCAGAAATATACAGTATAGCACTAGGAAATGTGAAACCCACAGGACCCCAGGGTAGAATATTGAAAGGGTGAGATTTTACAGTACCTGTAATGAGTCAAATTTAAAAATATTTATAATGTGATATCTCCACAACATGACCTTGTTTGTTTTAAGTAGACTTTTATAATTGCATAGGTCATTGATCATTTCAGTGCTTTTTATTTTGACAGGGAAGTTAAAAATAAGAAAAAAGAACTAGAAATACATATGCATTGTGGAAGAAGATTCTGGAATTAGATTAAATTGCAAAGATGAGGATGGCAAGGATTAAGTACAAAATCAAATGACAGAAATTTTATTGTTTTTTATTTGTTGTAAATTTTGGCATCTTTTTGTAGAGATGTGCTAAGCTACATTAAAGAGAAAAATCTCAGCCCTGCAGAACGTTTAGAGGCGGCGCCTGCACAGCCCACAGTGCAGCAAGTTGGGGTACCAACACCACCACCACCTACACCAGTGAGGGTGACAGAAGGGGAAGGTTATCTAGACATTGAATTATCCAACATGAGAAAAGTAATTGCAAAGAGGTTAACAGAATCTAAGGTAATTGTCATATGTGTAGAGTATGTTTGGGATTGCTTTAGCACATTTCACCCCTGCAGTATGTGGGTCTTAAAAAAGGATTCCAAAATGTGAACACAAAGAGCCATAGCCATTGTTAATAGATGAAGTGTCCAGTTTGACTGTTTAACTCTTTCTCAGGATGCATATTCTGTAAATCATTAGGACTTTGTCAAATGGTAAAACAGTTGACAAATTGTTTTCCCTGCTTGAAGATTAAATCTTCCTGGTAATTAAAATTTTGTTGGTTAGGATTTATATTTTTAATGTAGAAATATTAATGATCAAGACATTCACATTTCAGACCACCATACCACACTCATACTCTACTATTGATTGTGACATGGGAAATGTGCTGGACATGAGGAAAGATTTTCAAAGTAAGGACCACATTGGATTAAACCGGGTGTGACTGTAAAAGCTTAGTCTCTGAACTGTGGATACATGTTATATTTTCAATAGTAAATGTAACTTTTGATACTAAAGAAAAAAAAAATGGGTGATGAATAATTATCTTGATTTTCTTTTATTTAAATTTTCAGAAGATGGTATAAAAGTATCTGTGAATGACTTCATAATTAAAGCAGCAGCAGTTGCTCTTCAGGTACAAATAAAAAAGTGCACATATTTCAAAGAGTCTTGTAAAACTATTAGAATTTTTCATAGTGTTATCAAAATGCTATCAGATATTCATTAAATACATTGGATCATGGTGGTGCATTGTCATCACTAGGAGCTAATGCTGTACTTGATTGAACATTATCTTTAAAATATTTACATTAATTTCTTACACCAAAAGAATTCAAAGATCAAACTCGAACTGCTGTCTTAAAGAAAGATGAATATTAAAATGAAGTAAACTAAAAATAATAATAATAATAATAATCATTATTATTATTGTTATTGATCATATGAATTTATTTAACCACAAGAGGGTTCCTGAGGTCAACGCCCTGTGGACTGGAGAAAGTGCCCGTCTGATGCAAGAAGTGGATGTTTCTGTTGCTGTTGCCACTGACAATGGTCTTATTACTCCAATAGTCAAAGATGCTGCCAGCTTAGGTGTTCAACAAATCAGTGATACTGTTAGGGTAAGCCATTATTTACACTTTTGAAATGAAAGTATTAGGTATTACTTAGTATGATATTCAGTCATAAATCTATGGACATTTGGTTATCTAAAAATCAGTTTTGTATCAATTTTATAGTATCAATTTACAGATTTTGAAGTTTGGCTTGTGTTGGTTTCACAATCTTCGGAATATGCTGTCACCCTTCATGCAAAATCAATCAAGTTTATATAAAGCGTTTTTTGGTCTCCTTTTGATACAGGACCTGGCTACCAGGGCAAGAGAAAACAAATTGCAACTCAATGAATTTCAAGGGGGAACTTTCACGTAAGTCTAGTCTGTTAATTACACAACACAAGTGAACTAGTTAATTGTTTTTAGAGCATTACTTAATACAAGAAATAGAAGCCACAAATTTCAAAATACAATTTTTGTGTAATTATAATGAATATCAATTGAGAGGAGGAAAACTTTTTTTTTTATTATTTATATATTTAAAATTCAAAGATGATAAACTTTGTTATCTCAGATAAAAAAGCACATTAAAATTTTAAATTCCTTTTTCATGATTTCTAGGATTGTTTCTTTTGACATAAAAAATAGTGTTAAACTTTTTTAAAATTTCCTTTTTTTCCATTTTTGCACAGAATTTCAAACCTAGGAATGTTTGGTATCACAGAATTCTCAGCAGTAATCAACCCACCCCAGGCTTGTATCCTGGCCGTAGGTTCCTCCAGAGTGTGTCTGGGGGATGACAACACACCCAGGACATTAATGACAGTGACACTATCCAGCGATGCCAGAATAGTCGATGATTATCTCGCTACCAGATTTTTATCGGCATTCAAGGAGAACTTAGAAAACCCCATGCTTATGACAGCAAAGACTATTCCTGATAGGGATTCACTAATGGATACATTGTTTGCATAATAGGACACGGACTTTTTAAAAAATGGCATGATGACAGCTTATTATGCAGTTAACTGTTAGTAATATTTATTATTTAGTGGCTGAATGTTGCCATAAATAGTCTGTGTAACACTTGGATATTGATGCATTAACTTACAACTTAATATTGACAAGCTTGTGGTTTAAGGGGATATATAAGGAAAAAGTGTATCAGTAAATGTGTGACAGTTAACACAAAATAGATTATAATTGTTTTCTCTTTATTTGTTTGTAGGAGTGAACAATTTCTGCTGCCAACAATACAGTTTACCTAAGCTAGATAAAAAATTAGACGGTCTTACGTACTCTGCTCAACATTAGTGTTATTACATTCAAAATAAAATATGTATTCATAATAAAAGTGGTCATGAGATTTTGTTATATAATGTCAATTGTTTTGCAAGAATTTTTAAGAAAAATAATTCAAATTCCTCTGTAACATTCAGCATCAACTAAATGGCTGGCCATCAGGCAAGAAATGGAGTAGACGACAACTGGATATTCAATTTTAAAAAATAAATGGTAAAATTGTATCAAAATGTTGAATGTATCCTATTCAGGATTTTCACGCCAAATTGATTTTTTTTTTTTTTTTGAAAAAAATTTTTTTTCCAAATCGTGAAACATTCAACTCGAGTAATTACACGTTTTCAACGATTTAATTACACGTAATTCGGCTGCTAAAATCATGTTACTTAAGAAAAAAGAAAAGAAATAGACTTAACAAAACCCTGCCCTACCATCCAGTTCTATTCCACCGCTTTCTCTCTCCGAAGGTACTGTTGCGGGTTTTTTTTCTCTGTTACGTAAAAAAAAAAAAATATATATATATATCATTAAAAACTGGGGAGGGATATCAGCAGCTTCTTTTCTTGATAGAGATGGATGGAAACAAGAGGAGGCCTTTTAATTTGTTAAACTGATTGTATGCAGCTAGAGTCCCCAAGAAGTTGGAGCAATCTACGTAGACTGAGGGAATTCAGCTTTAATCTCATTATACATGTAGTGATGTACCCCTCATATCATCTTACAAAATGGCCACGGTTTAAAGGGATATGTCTAAATTTGTTGCTACACTATAATCATTCACCATCATTTATGTTAAGGGATTGAAGTGAGAAAAAAATGGATTTGCAATTTCAGATTCTTTGCGCCAAAATTTCTGAAAGTTTTGAACAGACACAACAATGGACAGAGGAGTCCCACAAACGTTTCAACGACGTTATGCCCCATGACCATGGCTTGAGTGAGACAGACGAAAGAAATTTAACCAAATTTATTTCAATGATAAAGTTGGCCCAAGGGGAGTGGTTCGTATACCCATCCACTAGGGCATGGTGTAAGCTCTAAAGTTAGACGAACTCTTCAAATGGAATCTCAGCGTGCCGTGCTACAATACAGTACATCTTGTGGCGTCTGTCGGTCGTGAACAATCGTTTATCGGCAACGAATTCGAAATAAAACAAAACATTTACGATGCTTTCGGATTTAATTAGTTTCTTTTTGGCTTTATAAAACCCAATTCAAGGTCAAATCATCGACTAAATACAGTAGAAGCTGGTCTTAGAGCACCGTAAAGGATCTACACGGCCATTTAACAGCTGACAGCGAGTGGAAAATTTTTGTGAAAACATTTTAAAGTGTCAACATACAGTGTACATGTACGTAGCTACGTTTTGATAAAATAAAATCCATCAAATTCTATTACTGTACTGCGGGTATTTTTCACTTATTTACTGCAGGAAGGCTATTTTTGCCGTCATCGTTGTATCATAGAGGCACTAGTGCTGGGAGGTTTACCGTAATATGAAGCGAGGTAACTTTACAGAAATTTGCAGAGCTAGAGAATATCCAGAGAAATGTGTGTGAATAGTCGTATCCAGTGAAAAAAATTGTTTACGACCCTGGTAGGGCACGAACCTGAGGTTAAACAGATTATTTCACACAAATTTGTAATAGTCGACGCAACGAGCTATACTGTAAAAGCCACGCGGTGTCAAATTTTCGCGATATTTTGTCCATATGTCCCTGATTAGTTCGTAATATTAGTTTTAGCCTGTGGCATTAGCGTGTTTATGCATAACATCCTGAAAACTGTTCGGCTATTATTTTGTGTGCTGTAAGATATCGGATTCCCAGGAAGGATTCAGAGTATTAGCGCTGCGGGAGGGAAAAGTTATACATACACCAAACTGATAGAAAAAATACTTGTATCGGGAGGAAATCCACAAGCATATTCAACGCAAGCATTGGACAATAAACTATTTAGCACTTATAACTGACAAATCTAGTCTTCAGTCTCTCCCCCACCCAGCGTGGTGGTTGTAGATGAATGAAATATGTAAATTAGCACGTGACGTTTCAAGTCCGTCATGACATGTCCCACGTAAAGCGCTAACTGCAGTCAAAGAGATTGACTCGTGAGGTAAACTAGGCAGCAATGAGGATGTCTTTCCTCAAGTTACTCACTTGTGTTACGATTTTAATCGCGGAATCAACTTCAGCTGCCCGTTCAAAAAAACCGAACATCATTTTTATAGTTGCGGACGACTTAGGTAAGTAATAGTTAAATCACAAACGAGTAACAATCATTTTAGTTCAAGCACTAATTGCTAATGTGTGCACCAAATTTGTAACACACAGATTGTTATGAAAACAAAATCAAGATTTTTTTTTTATCTCTCGATTCTGGCATGTTACATTGTATGTATATCTGTACATTTCAGTAAGTGAATGTTAATCATTTTTCCCACGGGCCAGACCAATTTCTAAGTGCACATTTATCATTTGAGTCACTATCACTTTATTGTTATTTTGTCTGCCTTCATCTTATTGGGGTAATGAGCCGAGAGGGCTTGGTGTTCAAATCCGGTCTGGACTGGTTTGAACCTACAAATTTGCAGTGGTTATAACTGTTTTAAGAGCTTACGACCATCTGTAATAATAGCAGCGTGCACGAAAATTACTTGGCGACTTCTTCTTTTCTTCATGGGCTTGTGCCGTTCACATCAGACAAAGCATTTTCTCCCCGAGAACTGGTTGTGTGTAATGAAGTTGACAGTTCCCCCACCCTAACTTCTCCAATCATCATATTGTGGAGCAAGGACACCCAATACAACTGTTCACCCCATTTCAGGTCATTTTCTTTGTGGTGTTCTTATTTACAGACATAAATCACACTACCGGACACAAAATTTGTTACCAGCTGGAAGTTTTTCAGTTCAAGGGCTAACCTCTAATGCTTTATTCCTGCTGTCAATTTACTTGTGGAGAGGAACAGAGATCAAATAAAACCTAACACATTGCAGTGAATTTGTTCCAGATATTTAAGTAATTTTCTACAAAGATTTTTTATGTTTGAGGGCTGCACTTTATATCAAAAGCTTTTTAACCCTCTTCACATGAGAGAAAGAGAGTGAAAATTGCACATATAGAAAGTCTTAAGCACAATAATTGTCCATAATAAACAAAACTATTTTTAATGTTGTTCTAAAGTTATTTTCTTTTTTATTTGAAAAATCATTACTCTTTGTGCCTTTTGAAGTCGATTAATTCCAAAACTACTTATATTTGTATAAATTTATTTTCATTAGGTTGGAATGATGTAGGCTGGAACAACCCAAGTATGCAGACACCACACATGAATTATCTGGCAGAGAAGGGAGTTGTTTTCAACCAGTCTTATGTCCTGCCAGTTTGCACTCCGTATGTATCTTTTAGGTATTAAATTTCCAAAACTGTACAAACTCTACACTGATGGGTTACCACGAGTGTTAACATATTTTCCCATGCCAGCACACTTGGAGGAATAATACGAATTATTCATCCATGCGGCACATGTACAGCAGCTGCAGAGTTTTTTTTAAAAAAAGCTGAGGAATGTTTAGTTTTTAAAAAATAAATGGGAAAGTTTAAAATACATTGATTAAATAATTTTGTTGGTCTTGGCTGTCTAGTAAGTCTTTTCTTTCTGGTTGCATTGTGACTGATGGTATACTTCAAACAGGGGTGGATTTAGGGCGTCTTCTGGGTCTTCCAGAAGACTGTCAGATTTTCAAGTTTATTTCAGGTTTCTAATTTTTTCTGTTGGAAGACGGTCAAAAAGAGGATGGATCAACAAAGATAATTTGGAAGACTGTCACAAAATATCTCTGGATCCACCCCTGTCAAAAATGTTTCTATTTTACTGAGAATTCACTGGAAAGGTGTTGCAACTGCATTGTCTATGCATTGCATCTCTTCAACACAGCTTACTTGAGGTGAAATGCTATTCCTTTTGCTCAATATTTTTTTTCGTGTTGTCTCTGATTTATTTTTGCAAGTTCAATACACCTTTTCAGCCTTTTGATTTCAACACTGTCAGGTTGCTGTCTGCGCTTGAATGCATCTAGAAATTGGAAACCTGGCCACGCATTTTTATGCAGCAATTCTATTTGAAAAAGCCATGATTTTGGAAACTTTATACTCAGTAATGATCCTAATAGACCTTAAATTGTCTGAAGGAAGAAGTGACTAGTTTGGTTTCTACTGTGGCTTGACAATTCCCCTATGGTGACATATTTTACTTTACTTTGTTATGTTTAGAGTTCAGAAATGCTTTGTGATAGAAAACTACCAAAGCATTTCAGCAGGACCATAATTAAATAATTCTGTTCAACCAAAGGGCCTTTAGGCTGAAAATATTTAATTGCCACTGTATTAAGAACTTCATAAAAGTTAATGAGGCTCTGCATGAAAGTTTCAAAATATTTCATCACCTTGAAGACCATTTATCTTAAAATGAATAATGCTTGCCAAAATTAATACAATGGCCTGGTGTGTGACAGGTTTGGGAAGGGGGCTGGGAAGATTGTCAAAAAAAAAAAAAAAAAAAGAATTAAGGTTTGAGAGAGAGAGAGAGAGAGAGAATATAATTGAGTGTATCACATGCTTATCTGTTTTAGATCAAGAGCAGCCATGTTGACTGGATACTACCCTTTCAAAATAGGTTTACAGGTAAAATTTACTTATTTCTTTTTGTTTGAATAAAATCATTTTTGAATTGTCATTATATATATGAGTAAAGGCAAGTGAGAATTTTTTGAAGCCTTTGCTGTTGGTGTTGAGTTAAGTAATGCATATTGTGACAGAAAAGATACTAAGTATAAAAGGAAAAACATGAATTATAGTTGTGGCACAAAACTGGCCTGTTGCATGTCACAAAAATTGTCAATGCCAACCCTAAAAATAAATTAAAAAAGTACTGATGCTGAGTCCTGCAACATGTCATAAACAGACAAAAAGAGATATCCTTAAGTAGTTAGATAGTGTTTACATGTTTAATCAACAATAAAAACCTATCAAACAGTACTCGGAAATACATGAAACACATTTGACGCTTAATATTTCTCCACTCCACAGCATGGTGTAATAAAAGACAAGGAGCCAATGGGTCTTCCTCTAGATTTCACTTTACTGCCACAAGAGTTGAAGAAGTTGGGATATGACACACACATGATAGGGAAGTAAGTTTTAAAATAATTTTTGTTTCAAAGAAAAATAAGTGATAACATTAAGATTGTGCTGACTTAAGACGCATCTGATATGTTTTTTTCTCAGCGTAAATAAGGGTATTTGGGTTTTAAAATATTATATTACTCCTGTTTCGAAAAAATATAAATTAATAAAGAAAGAAAATATTCAAAATAAACTTTGCTGGAATACTTATAATAACTATTTCTCCTCAGGTGGCACTTGGGGTTCTGTAAGTGGGAGTACACGCCAACCTTCAGAGGGTTTGACTCTTTCTACGGCTTTTACAACGGAGCCGCAGATTACTACACACATGTTCAAGGTATGTGTTTGAGCTTGAATTAAAAATAGCATGAGGTTTAATTTACAAGTAGCATTTACATTTAACCAGGTGCTGTTATCCAACATTTGGACAAGATATATGGCTGATATATGTGAAGTGGAAGAAAGGTGACGTAATTTCTGTGCCAGTTTAAAGACATGGAAGGAATGTGTTCCATCTCAAAGATTTATGAGGCTTGACATGCCTGATCATCTTTCACCAATCTGGCCACAGATGAGGGAGATATTAAAAAAAAGGTTTTACTCATATAATTTATGTTGGTCCCAAAATAAAACACTCCTAAAAAAAACAAAACAAAACAAAACAAAACAAAAAAAAAAAAAAAAAAAAAAGGAGCACAGACAGGATTTATGACAATAAAGGGTTCAAATATTAAAAGTTACGTTAAAAGGTTTATTTTTTGACAAAAAAGCTAGAGAACCAAACATTGCCTTGTTTGTTTTTTTGGCCTTAAATTGACTCAGTAACATAAGTTCACCTAATGTAATGGGGTTCAAAGTCCTGCTAATTTAGGTGAAAAATAAATTAGTCATTAATCATTCTGTTTTTAAATAAAGGTAATGTAACACAAAAACTTTGTCTGCATAGTATCATTGTTTCTTTCTTTTTTTAATAATTGAATGCAGACACTTCAAATGTCACGCCCAGTACAATTACAATATGCTTGTAGAAAAAAGTAGGTACTAAACACTTTTCAGGTCACATAAGCAGGCTCAGCTATAAAAAATTACATCCCATTTTGAAAATTGACCTGTCTGAAAATCTGGCAAGACACAGGCTTTCCTTTTTGTCAGCTTTTTGGCACATGATGAAAGAAACAGCTGCAAGAGGCTGTACACAATAGCTGGCAATAAATAATTGCATCTGAGTGCAACAAGAAAAAGGCTAAAATATCTCTGTCAAATACTGTATCTCCTGAAGTCTGTTAAACAAATGCCAGCCTGCTTGCCAGTTAAAGAGAATTGTCTACATAATAAACTATCTTCATCTTTTATGATATAAAAATGATTGCATTACAAGTTTAGAAAGATTCTCAACTTGTAAATGCTGCAGTATATAATTAAGGTCTCACCACAAGAAACCAATGACACCCATGGTGCCCCCATAAGTTGTAAAGGGGTAGTAGTCCAAGTTATAACTATTATATTATATTATAATATGATTATAAATTTTTTGATTAAAAAGGTACAGAATTGTCTAATATTGCTTTATTTTAACATTAAACAGTGGATATCATTGTGTGTTTTTCTTCCATTTAGGAGCTGCCCACAAGGTAGCGGGATTAGACTTCAGGAACAATACCAAAGTTGTGATGGACCAAAGGGGGATATATTCTACTGTAAGATCAATTTTAAGATACTGTCTGTGTTTTTTTTTTTTTTTTTTTTTCAAATTTCAAATTAAATCTTTAAAAAAATAGTTTTGGTAATCTGAAACGTTGTGCAGGCTGTTGTAAGTGGATTTCAATCAGATTATGCTGGCTATTTTGGGTATATGAAACAGCATATAGTCCAGGATCAAGTTTGACAAAACATTTTTGATGATTTAAGATGAATAATGGTTTATCATCAGAAAGCTCTTTGTTTTAACAATGCAGAGAGCATATGGTTGTAATGAATGGGGCGGTGGATTTACATCATGAAAATGTTTAAAATGTGCACATACGTTGTACAATGACATCATATTTTGGTGAGCTATATTTATAGTCCATTGTTCTGAATTGTTTTTCTTTGTTTACTCTATGTTTACATTACATAATTTAAGTGCTAGATAAAATTTTTCATGTGAAAACTAACTGCTTTGCAGTTTGCATGCTATCTTTNTATCATTTATTATTGAATTTAAGCAGTTTTATGTGAAATTTTCATTTTTCTCATTCTGGCATTTTCAAAGTGTGAACTTAAACTCCCATGGGCCTGAAGCCTTACGCTTGTTACACATTTCACTTACATTGGTATTACCTGTTGAGCATAATTAAAATTTGATGTTGAATTTGCAGTTAAGCATAATGTACTTTTGCATCAGAATTGACAGTAGCCTGTTTTGTGCATTGTTATTGTCTGCTTTTTGTCTGTACATTTGACAGCTTTGCTGCCTTGTTTTCTTTTAGAATCTTTTCACAAAAGAAAAAAATTGCCCTGTAATTTGGAGAAACAATTAAGATTTAATCAAATGCAGATTTTCTTTTTGTATTTCTTTCATTTTTTGTAGGACTCCTATGTGAACAGAGCTAAAGAGATGATAAAGTACCACAACAGAAGTCGGCCATTTTTCTTATATTTGCCTTTTCAGTCTGTACATAGTCCGTTGCAGGTACTTATAAACTGAGAAGTTTTAACCGCTTGCTCTTTGCTCTAAACCACAAAACTATTTTAAAAATTCAAGTAACTATTTGTTGTTACAGCAAACTGTAGTCTTAATAGTTGCAACGGAATGTACTTTGTTAACATTATGTAGTATTAAAGCATTAAATTTCCAGACAAAAGAGCTCAGAAAATATTTACTGCAAATAGTTTGTAAGGAAGCAATAAACCGACATTTAGATTACTATATTAAATTTCAGAAATGTAATAGCCTCATGAGCATGCTTTGATCATTAAATTACTCTGTTGCCAAACTTCACTCCAGTGGAAATAATTTGCATGCATTCTAAGCAGCTGACAGGTTTTGTATACAGATATTTAGAACCTGGATTTTTGAAAAATCACACCACTCCCCTAATCTCATTTGTAAACAAAAATATGTTTAGAAAACATTACATCATGGAGTATAAGCAGAGTAAGAGCCCTAAGACTATTTGGTACAAAACTGATCAACACCTTATGGTTGATAAAAATTACAATGCTCTCCATCTCAGGTGCCGAAGAAGTTTGAAGCACTTTACGCACATATTCAGGACCATGACAGGAGAGTTTACTCTGGTAAATTACTTAATTTTGTAACAATATATTTAAGAATAAAATATTTAAAACATATGTATATACTGGTCCTTGAATTGCTTGGTTCAGAGGAGAGTTGTAGTAGTCACAGTAAATCAGTGTAAAAAAAAAAAAAGAATTTGGCACTGGAAAGATTTTCAACGTGAAATGCAGCATGCATTTGGCATGAATGTGATTAATTTTGCAACTAATTACATGTTATAAATAAATATTTTCAGGCATGGTAACAGCAATGGATGATGCTATTGGAAGGATACACCAAATTCTAAAGGAATACAAGATGTTGCGGAATACATTGATTGTATTTACAACTGATGTAAGGTCAAAAATGTCCTCATCAAAAGCTTGGTAATGGTATCTTAATGTAATTACCTATCATCTTTGCTCCTAGTGAAGAATAAGCTGAGGTACAGGTCTCTCCATCTTGGTCTGTCCCCCCCCCCTCCCCAAGATAGACTGCCCTATCTCATCCCTCTGTTTCTGCTGTCTTCCTCAAGGTTTCTGGTAATATGGTAGTGCATTTTAAAGTGGTATCACATTTAGGAGAAACAAGGATTTGTATGACTGCTGGGGGACAATTAAAAAAAAAATTTAAAGTTCCCATTGACCTCATGCCAGGAAACATTTTACTATGCTAAGGTGTTTTTTCCCCTATTAGAATGGTGGTGCACCTCATCATGGGGGAAGTAATTGGCCGTTACGAGGAGCTAAGACAACACTCTGGGAAGGGGGAACCAGAGCAGTGACATTTGCCTATGGCAGCATGCTGAAGAAAACGGGATATGTCAGTGATCAGTGAGTTTTTTTACATTTTTACATTTCTCATAAAATAACACAGTTCTTTTTGTCTTTCTGTATTTTCATCTCTTTAAAAAAATAATCATTTTTATGTGGCATCTCTTCAATTCAGTCAAGTGAATAAGCCTATGAAAAACTAGCATGGTTGGTTGTGCTTTCTTTGTATTTTCAGTTTTTAAATGCTTGAAGAAATATGCTGCATTTTTAGCCACCGTGTTCAGAAGAAATGGCCTTTGTTTCTTATTTCAGATTAATCCATGCCGTAGACTGGTTCCCGACCTTTATTACTGCTGCAGGGGGAAAACCAAGTAAGGCTCATGGCATTAAAGAATTGTGATACAATTGTAATTGTCATTTTCTGTCACAATAAATAACTCACTGTAAACTAATTAATATTCTATTGTTTAATATATTTGCCTGTGTACCTCTTTCAATGTTTTATTCTAGATCTAAAAATGGATGGTGTCAATCAGTGGAGAATGTTGAGATTTGGACAACCCTCCAGAAGAAAGGAATTTGTTTACAATATAGATGATGTAAAATTTAGTGCAGGGATAAGGTAAAGCCATTATATAATTCAGTGTTCATTCTAGGACGCGCCCTTGCGTCATTGACGCAGAAAAAATGTGGTTGACGCAATTCGTAGAGCGAGCTGCGCCAACAAAATTCAAGAGAATTAACAGCGGCGCATTTTTGTGTTCTAAACGCGCCCTCCAATTCAGCAAATTCACGGCCGAAGTTTGATTGTTTACTCGACTTCTCTTGACATCGAGATCTAATGTTAAACCGTAGAGATTTTCTCTACTTCTATGGTTAAACGTAACGAAGATATTCTTTACTCGTCGCAGTTTTAACAAAGATCTTAATTTATGCTGACGTCATGCGCTTTATGCAAATCAGTGGTGATCGCCCCTCCTTTTTTGAATCCCTGATAGGCTGAGATTAATTGTCCATGTAGGTCAATTTGATCAACCCGTACATTGTGCATGGTGGCGGAGAAGAAGTAAAATTGTATTTTAAGTTTTTTAAAGAAAATCGATCCCGAAGATCACTCTAAAACGGCTCAGAACAGTAGCGACGGAGATGATCATGATCATGCACAGCAGACATTCCCACCAGAAAAGAGAACAAAAGTTTGTGAAGCCGTCACGACTGCTGATACCGCGTCGAATAGCAATGCAACTTCAAGGTCGTTTCAAAAATGGTGGAGAAATACTTACAAGTGGCTTGTACACGACGATAACGCAAACTTGGTGTATTGCAGCTTATGCATTGAAAAAAAGGACAATATCTTCGTTCAAGGGACTAATAAATTTCGAACGAATACTATGCGACATGAGACGTGCGCTGCCATGCAAGAAACGTCGGAAGCAGCTCAAGCTAAACAGGCTTTTTGCAGGGCTTTAGAAGGTAAGATATTATTTTTTGTCAATATTTATTTATAACACAGAGCAATAGACATCAAAGTGATTATCGTGACGGTCCCGGACCCACGTGTTGTAATTATATGTGTGCAGTTTGAGGAACTCTTGACAGTGCATTCTGGGATATCGCAATGTTGAACAATGTGTTTGCTGCGTCGCATTGACATAGGGCGTCAAGCTCATGCTATTTCCCAGAACCTTATTTTTTATGTATATATAGGTATAATTTTTCACATTCATTTTTCATAATTTTATTGTGTTGAGAGATTTGATCTCAGTTCATGGTGATTAAGGGAAAAATAAAGTAAGGGATAGTGTGCTGGAGTATTCTTTGTGGATACCTTCAACACTACTAAACATTTTATGAAGATTTTTATGCCAAAATTCAAATTTAATTGTAACTTTTATAACAATTCTAGGTAAGGATGGAGCAATCATGGCAGTGGTGAAATCAGTTTACTGGATTGTTTAAGAGGGCATTGCAATTCACAAGTTTGGAAGGACTTAAATGTTGTATGGTATACCTGGCAGCTAAATTGAAGAATTTCTCCTGAAAGTGGGGAAAAGGTCATTGTCAATTCTCCAGGGACCACCTTGTGACTTGTGCTAAATTATGAGAAACAGTGCAAGGCAATACAGTGTCAATTCATTGACAATCTCATTAACAACATCAAAAAAGGAACAATTCTTAAAGTGATTTTTAGTAAGACCTATGTCTCTGCTGTCGAAATATGTGTGATATCATTCTCAATCTGGTAGCTTTTTATATTATATATCATTATCAGGGATGAGACAATTAATTTCATAGGTTAATTTTCAAGGGTCATTGATAATGGGACAGGACAGAAGAGGTAAAATTAAATGGATTTTTCATAAATTGAAGCCAAAAATGGGTTTAAAATGTCGTTATAGAAAGAACTTCGTTATTGGTGAATAAATCGTGAACATATTTTAGTGTTATCTTATACTTGTTAACAAAAATTGGAGCGTCAACTCAAGGGTTTTGTTTTAGAAAATTGGGATTACTTATTGAATGTGATCACCTATTAGTCAAAATATTTTTATAATAATTTTTTTTCATCTCTGAACATAAATACCACAGCAGTAAAACGACATGCGTTACATATTATAATTTCAAGATTTGAACAAGGGCCCACTTTAAAATGTAATGGCCCACTTTTTTAAATGTTGGGGGCCCTTTGTCCCACATTGAAACATTCCTAGAATGAACACTGAAAACTTGTGTTTGCTTTCATTAAAATTGATGTCAAATTCTTATTTCTTATATCCTACATAATACATGGTATAATTGCTTTCTTGCTTTGCAAATATATTTATTTGCTTGTCAATAAATTGTATTTATTTCCATTTCAGATTTGGAAATTACAAGCTGATATTAGGATCCCCAGGGAAATACAGCACCTGGTACCCACAACCTCAAGTTTCTAAGCACAAACACTCCAACAAGGTCCAGCTGGTCGGCCAGGGAAAACACTTGTATAGGAAGTTTAGTTCAGAGGAATGTGAGTGCACTTATAGCAGAAAAACAACCCGCGAAACAAAAAAAAAAAATAAAATACACATTTTGGTCTGCCATTCGCCACGTGTAATTTTTCATTTATTTTTCTCGACAGAACTTTCAGAGTAGCAGCATTGAAAATTTCTGCTCGTTATATTATTATTATTTCTTTTAAATTTCAAAATCTTTTGAATAGTCAGAAAAAATGTGCCCATATGAAATATTTATATTGATATGAGTGATGGTGAAATCTGTTGTGTATTTGGTAGCGAAAGGCATACTCTGCAGAGCACAAAAAATAAATTATACTTCAAATAATTCAAAATTTATAATAATATTCTAGGCTTACTAAAATATTAATATGAAACATACTTTCAGAAATATTTAATTATGAAGAAAATTGCACTCTGTGTCAGTTTATTTGATATTATCTTGGGTAACATATTTATTAGTACTTCAGGGAATTTTAACTGTGAAGTGCCCCCCTGTGAGAATATTATTTTTATTATGAAATTGTAAAGGTTATTGATTGGATTTGAATTAAGTCAAGGAATTTAGAATGCAGTGATTTTATTTATTTGTTTATGGTTTTGCAGACTTACAGTCAAGCAACCCCATCAAAAGTTTATGGAAATGGTTTTGCTGCAAGACTTGGTCATGTGCTGCATGCGAGGTGACACAACCAAAGAAAACCCAAAAGCAAATGAAATATATGAAGAAGAAACTGAGAAAGAAAATGCAAAATTTAAAATTTCCTAAAGGAACTGAAACAGTAAACAGGAACTTGTACTCTCTGAGTGGACAAACTGAGCATAAAGTTCTCAACAGGCTGAAGAAGATAGTTTACAGAAATGAAGACAAGAATGAAAATGGAGTCTATCTTTTCAATCTGAAAGGTGAAGTATGATTCAAAGATTACTTCTATTAATTTAGTAGCCAAAGCAATTTATGGCAACTCTAGTGGCTTTTATAAAAACTAGAGGTCTTTTTAAAGAAGATAATTTTATATCTGTGCAATTTTTACCTCCTTTACTTAAAACTTTAAGAATTATATAGAAATAAAATTTTAGTTAAACTGGAAAAATTGGCCTTAAAAGCAAACTTTATTTCATTTCTTTGCAGATGATCCACTTGAACAGAAGGACCTGTCTAAAAGGCTGCCACACATAGTACAGAAACTGAGGACAAAACTAGAGACCTATATGAATGAGAGTTTGGTCCCTTCCCACCACGTCAATAACGAGCCATACTCCAACCCTGAGCTGTACTGGGGCAATGTCTGGTCCCCGGGGTGGTGCCACTAACTTGAAGTCATTGAGGGCTCATTCCCAATGAGACTACTGTTCTATTTAGACCTCATTCCCACAGGTTTAAGATTGATCTATCTCCATAGGGAGTCTCACTAGATTACTGTCAGCTTAGCCGGCTTAAATGTCTGTCCCGCCTACTAAAAACTGTAAGGGGGTAATTAACTTCTGTGCTCGGTCGGCTGACAGCAATTTAGCGTGAACCCCCAGGGAGTTAGGTCGATCTAGTTGGATCGATCTAAATCTTTGGGAATGCACTCTTAGATTGATCAAACTCCACAGGGACTATCACAGAATGCAATCAGGTTAAAAAGCCTCCTCCCGCCATTGAGTACAATACAGAAAAGCTGGTGGTTATAAAAGTATGTTGGAAACTGGAGAAGGTGATCTTATTGCATTGGATGGATCTACATGGAATGAAAGTTACATTGGGAATGGAACCTAAGACCCTTTTCACCACATGGAATCACAACATTTTGAGAGATTAAAGCTCTTACTAATGGAGGCCTGTGCCATTTAACCAGATTAATTTTGACTCGTACAAATAGTTAAAAACAAACATGTTTAAAAGAGTTACCCCCCCCCCCCCACACACACACACACAGTCAAAACAGTATAAGTATGCCACACCATGTGAAAAGGGCCTTTACTTTTAGCTGGATATGTTACAATTCCTGCCTCATCGGCATTCACTTCAAGCTTTCAGAATTTATTTCCAAGTTTGATCTTGACTAAATTTGGCCCATCATCAAGATTAAATAGGAAAACTGACAAGTTTTTTTTTTTTTTTTTTTTTTTTGGGGGGGGGGGGGAGGAGAGTTTAAAAGCTTGTTATTGTTTACCAAAAACCTTTCACACTTAAATTACCTAATAGCTTTCAGATCCTTTTTTAATAGGTCTCATTTTACTTTCAAGCATGTATTTAGTTGAGGGTTCATACACAGTAGAAGGCTCCACCTCTCTAAACCACTAGACATGAATATAATGATCAAACTACCACTGTAGTAAAATCCATGGTAATGTATAGAAGGTTTGAAAGGCTCTTTTCCCTATAATTTTAATTAAATTAAAAAATTTAATGGTGACAATCAAATTTAATCTTGTACAGTTTATTTTGGGGATCTTTGTCTTCTTTTAAGGGTTTAGTTAAAATGTTTTATTGTGATATGGCCGTAAATTTCATTGACAAATTAAGTGATAGAAATGCTCCAAGTATCATTGGGTACTGGAGAATTCTGATGATTTATAACACCCTAGTGCAACAAAAGTGTAGGTTCCTATTATTGTGCAATACAGGAACAAGTTATTTCAAAATGTCTGCAATATGTTTAATGGCTTTTAATTTATATTTAATCATGATATATATTCTCTAAGAAAATTATATTTGCTACTGTCCCATTCATCATTATACATTTCATAATGGCATCCAGCAATTTAAATGATTGATTATCTTTATTTACAGTACAAACTTTGAAACTGGAATAACTTTGTCAGAGACAAGAATATTCAAATACCAACATTTTGACCATTTTATAATATCCATGCTATCATTTCACAACTGCATTTTGTTTCTACTTGTACAATGTAAAACATTCCTTCACTTAAATTAAGCTTCATATGGCCTTATAAAAGTATATCTTATTTGCATTGATCTGCTAGTTTTTTAATACTTGGCAGAAAAGTACCTCATCATTTATTTAATGTCTCATCATTTATTGTATTTGCTTGGGTTTCCCCTGTGTAAGGCAAGGCCCCCTTTGGAATGAAACAACTACAGACTGGCTCTCCTCAAAAGGGTGAAAAAATTCAGTCATGGGTTACACTGTTAAGGTCTTCCATGGCAGATGTTTACTCTTAGTTAAGTTGGAGCTCTGGATATCCACAGCAGCACTCAGATAATTCACTTTATCAATTTTTGCATCAGTGGGTAAAATCATTGGCAGTAGGATAAAATTAGATTTGTAATAGGTCTCAGCTGCATGAATTGGACAGGCCAGTAAAATTTAAACCCAACAAATTCTAAAATGGTATCATGAATATTTGTAAAAGGGCTTTCAGTTTTTAAATGAGAATATTTATGGATACATGCTTCATGAACAGCCCATCCCATTGCTTAGTTAGTTGTGAAGTGATATTAATGTGATCAATTGTTGCATACTTTATGCTCTTTAGTGTTAGTATGCCAGCTATGCAAATTTGTTTACTTTTAGTACTGAAATGTATCCTGAAAAATCACATAACAATTCTGAATTAAGTGAATAAACATTCTCTTTTTATTCTTATTTCTTTGTAATTTTTTTATTGACTAGTAACCAATATAAAAAGAAATCAAATCTTCAGCAAAAGACATACTTCGAGCACATTTTGCAGCTTTGAGCACTTTTGATAAGCGAACACTGGCCACGTCTTTCATATACCCTAGTTGGTCATATACAGTATTTCAAGAGACCAATCGTGGTGACAGGGGTGCATGACAATAGTCACTATAGAACCTTCGGACCAATGAACCCCTTAATTAAAAAAAATGAAGAAAATGTTAAGAATTTTTTCAGACCAATGAACCTTCAAAATGTCAGGACTCTCCTGGTGACATTAGATGGCAGATAATTTCTCAAAACAGTTAATCATTTTGTTTACGTTTAATTATAATAGATATCAATAAAGAAAACTCAGTGAATCAAATAAGGATCCTGAGATCTCTCATTAGAAACTGGCCCAGATGCATTGGTCATAATATATGTAAATCCTCCAAGAATAACAATGTCTGTGTTAGTATCCATTTCTACACGTGGGTGAATAGAGATAAGAGACTTGTCTTACCACACTATGAAGACTGCTTCCCCACCAGTTTGAATTCATGTTCTCAAAGCCAAAAGTCCATAATGTAACCCCCCCCCCAAAAAAAAAAAAAAGGGCACCCCACCCAAGCAGTCAATATGTGATGTATCCTTCCTCATCCTCCACCTCATCCTCTGTTGGCTGGACAGGTTTTCCTGTCCGTGGTATCCCACATATACACTCTCCACAGCATGTCCCGTTCCACATCCCCTGATCTGTGCAGCACATAATACTTCTATAGTGGGGCAGGCTCAGGGAGCAGGGAAACACAAGGCAAAAACAGCACCACATACATGCTAGTGGTATAAGTTTACAGAAACCCTTATCCCATGGGTAGAACCAGCGAGGGTCTGCCCCGTCCCCACAAAGGATTTCTGAGTCTGAGTATGGCGCTTGGGGTTTCCGTCTTAGCTCATTATGTTGAGATTTGCTGTTTATGAAGTCCCCTTGAGTTTGAGGTGGAAGTTCTTGGCCAACATTGCCTGTTGATATTTCACAGTGATCAACAAGGCCAGTAGCATTTCTATCCATGTGTTCATTTGCCAGACCTTTTTCTATTTAATATCATGCCATTATTGCTTCCTTGGTGAAGTACTGAAGTTCTGAGATGATTCTTAGTTTTTAGTTTTAAAAATCCACAAAAGGTGCATTTCTCACACGATGCTTAGAAACAATCTACAAAAAATCAAACAAAACGCGTGTAATTGTCACTGCTAATTAGCTTCTTTTCTTTAATTAAAAAAATTCATATAGGTGCGCTAAAGCATGAAAATTTTTATCCTACCGGTATGTAGTATGATAGAAAAGTCGTAACCATGCGCTCAAATGATATAAGGACATAATCCTTTTAATTTAAATGCCAAACATTTCAGGCTTGAGTGAAAACATTATACTCTAGCTTTGTTGAAAGTATAAAGCAAACAAGTTAGTTCAACAAAACAAAGAATGTTCCAATGTATATTATTATCAGGACTTACTTAAAATCTTATCTTACAGCCACCTGCATCTCCAGGGCCTTGTTTACGTGACCTTGACCTTACAAGTGTTCATGACAAGCCCAACTCAAGACCTTTATATTTCACTAAACTAAACTCTGGTTACTTGGTGTATTCTCACCAGTTTAATGATATATGGAAAACTTCTAGGACAGCATCTGTTTGGAGTGATATTTTATTTTTATTGACAAAAAACTGAGCGTTCCTAGATAACTAATTTATTTACATCTATCAAATGTACTATATCAATTTTTTAATCTCCATCTCTCCAACATAACTATTTCAGTAGCTTTAAATGCTTTAATGAATTTTCAATGTATTTTCAGGCATCAAATATGAAATTTGAAGAAGCAACAGATTTTTTGGAGATTATGAAGACCAAGTTTTATGGTATAGTTAATAAAAGAATAATTTATTCTCAGTGACAGTACCATGTCACGGCATAAAGTTAGGCACTTTCAAAACAAGTAGCAATACTGTACTGTATATCATGGTTGAACTGGTAACCAATGGAAGTCCTTTATGGGTATGGCTTTCATTGTCAAGCAATATCATCCTTTCTTTAAACTATGCCCAAGATAGGAACAATTCAGATATGTACTAGCTGAAATGGTTGACAGGACTGTCAACTCGAAATATTTTGGTACTGTTAAAGTAAAGTGCAATTGTTTGGTAAAAAATTTCTAAATATGAGCTGCTGTTCTATTAATTCACATTGTTTCAACAAAGTATGTAAGTTACTTTGCTTGAGCTTCAATTTTTTTCAATAAAAGATCCATTTGGTTAGCCATTACTGGCTGACCTTTGTAAGTCCTTTTGCACAGCTTTTTATGTTTAACTTGCTTCTTTTCTGAATACTGTTTTAATGCAATGTCCCTTTCTTTCCTCTTTTTGATCATCTCCTGTAATCATAAAATATGGCAACTTCACAAAATTGTTGTGAAACATGGTCTCACATTATCCTATTATTTCAAGAGAAGTTTCAACAACACATAAAGAAAAAAGTCTTCTCATACTTAAATTTTTTCAGGATACTGTCTTTGCATATAAATAATATAAATAATAAATCATAGAGGATATTTATTACTGCTTCCCACACCTCTGTTCAATTTATAACTTTACCATATGATATACCACCGCAGTACATGTCTAAAACAACATTTAGCGGCTCTCACGACAAAGCTTTATTCAGAAGTTATCTGTATGATTTCCAACACCTATTTATCTGGCTACAATAGCTAGGATACAATATATTTTAATTTTTAATCCAGAACTGAAAGTGTATGAATTCAAGATTCTTTATGTATAGTTTATATCATGCTTATGCTTTTAAGTTTGGGATAACAGGTCATGCCAGTAAAAATATTCCCCTCCTTAAGCCCTCTAAAGTAAAATTATTGAAAAGTGGGTTGGCATGCCCAATCCCCCCCCCCCCCGGTTTCTCTCCCAGACCTTACCAGTACCCACAAAACTAAAGACAGAGATATCATCATCCTATTTTGTTAAAATAGTAAATTTCTACACATTAAGCAGTCTCAGAAAAATAAACATGCTTGGCCTTGCCATCTGCTTCTGTCATTCTGATACAGTGTACCTCACCCCCAAACCTTGATTATAATACTCATTTGTTTACTTTTATATTACTGATTATCATATATATATGCTGTAACTTACTTTGTGTTGGATTTCCTTTTCATGTTTTCGTTTTTGGAACTGTTTTTCTGCTTGCTTAAAAGCATCAACCTTTTTCTTCCTATAAAATTAATCCAAAATTAAAGGAAACATTGAATATAGACCAATTAAGAAAGAAAGAAAGAAAATATCTCAATCATGCATACACCAGTACATGGTTAATATTATTATTTTATTTATACTTACTTTACATTCTCTGTAGTTTTCACATATGTGACAGGTTTAGCACATTTGGATTTAGCATGCTCCTTTGCTTGGAGTTTCTTGTATTGGTAGAATGCCTTTTTCTTAGTCTTGTCTGCAAATCCTTGGCCTAAAACAATTGAAATAAATAAATAAAAATAACAGAATTCTTAACACACAGCTCCAAGGTTGAATATGCATATGTTCAACCACTGAAATTCCTTCACGTTAACCCCCCATCAAAACAAAACTTATTTAAATCAATGCAGGCAAATGCAGTTGTCTCTAAGTAAAGGTGGGCATACCTTCCGCAGTGTTTCCCAAGTACTTTTTATGGAAGTTGTGGACAGGTTTTACTCGGCCTTTAGATCCATGTGGATAATTCCTTCCTTTAGGGAATCTTTCCATTCTCAATTGTACTGCTGTCATGTACTTAAATTTTAAAAATGATTTCCACTTTATTTTTATGAGATACTAAATCATTCCATCCACAAAAACGCCGCTTTTAGCGATAAAGCCACCGACAGTACATGTTCATGGGCGCAGACATATTGGATACCGAGAAGTCACTATTTGGCGATTTTTTTCATAACAAAGAATATGTCACGCATATACAGTATAATATTCACCAATAAAATAAAAAATACATATCACTTTCATCGAATAGCATATATTTTAGATTTATTCTGGTAAAGAAATTTAGGGGGACAGGTCTCGCGCATTCTCGCCTTAATGAGAAGCACGCCGGAAAAGAAGAAACGACATTTTTACTTATATTAAATATATGATCAAAAGTCGTCTGTAGGTATTGTATTTAAAAGTAAGAATGATTCAATTTACACAGCTTCCATCTAGTCTTCGAAAAATACCCTGTTCAAACTTAATAGCTTCGAAACCACGTAAACGTAAAAGTGCGCGTGGCAGTACTGACGGCCTTCGTCGAGGACGAAGTCGTTATGAAGTTTTTAGGGATGGGTTGAGCTGAAACCTTTGTGGTTTTGTAAAGGGCCCAGTTTTGAATTTGCTCGTTTACTAAAATGTCACTGTTGTGCTTCAATGGCAATTTTCTCAAAAAAAGAATCCCTGTTATATCCGCGACCCATGGACTTGCGCCTTGGGTTGGAACCCCTCCAGGCTGTACACTGCTCTATGTATTAGGATTTACATTTTTAGAACAGGATAGGGTGTCAAATTCGTTGGACAATAATATCTAAAAACTCTCATATGGTCCAGATTTGTTATTATTTGTCATTACTTTAGGTTCGAAAAATGTAAAACTTGCGCTTTTCTTTTTTGTGCGAAAGAAAGGCACTAGGTAGGAATAAGTAGACACGTTGCTGTACATTAAGTTGGTGTACTCATAGGAAAACATCAATACATAGCCCAGTTATGGTAAAGATGATTTGAAGAATACATGCGAGGTTGTTCTTCTGGTTTGTGATATTCAATGTCCGTGAAAACCTTGGAAGTTAAATGGACAACTTGAAAATAATATTTCTTGTTCCCTCTCCCCATATTATTTTCACTTAAAAACATTTTCTGATATACAGAAAACTAAACGTGACTTTTCAAACTCCTGAAACAAAATTTTGATTCACACATAGAATAAGAAGATTTTAAAGGTTTTTATATATATATATTAATGGCATTTTGGAAATTTGATCAAAATTTAAAAGTTAAGAAAGTTAAAAGGATTTCCCATGACTGACCATGGAATGACCACCAGCAACAACTCTAACTAAATTTTTTGGTAAGTGGATTTTTTACTTGTATGCTTCACGTTTAATTTATAATTATTATTATTACTGTGGACACATAAATGTCTTATTTGTCACATTTACCATCATAAAATAAAATATGATAGTGTACATTGATTAATTATAAAGTTAATGACATGTTTTTTTTTTCTTTATTTTATAGTGTCCATTGCAATGGAAACCATCCACAGTACAAAGAAAAGAAAATTCCCTATTAAAAAAAAAATTGAAGTGCCGTTTGTCATCTGCTGTTGTTAGAGCTACTTGTCTGAATTTGGACATTGATCATGCAGTATTCAGTTGCCTATTTCTTTGGAATTTGAAAACCATTCATCTGAAAGAGGATCAAAGAAGGTTTGGGGAAAAGCTGAATTCTTTGGAACCATTCAGTTGATATTCCCGTTATTCAGCAGTGTTATTGATGACAAAATGGTGACAGGATTCCTTGGACTATCATTACATTTTTGAAATTAAAAAAAAAAAAAATTCCTCATCGCATTCGATTTTATCATCAGCAAGGTTTTTAAGGGCAGACCATGGCCAGCCAAGGAGATGACTGCTACTTCTACTACTATTCAAACTGTACCAAGGTAAACGGTGCGATAGTGGTTCTTTTATTTAGATACAGTAATCTTTGTAAGCTAGAAAATTTCTTATCATTGCCAGTAGTGCTAGACGGAATGATATATATATTCCCTTCTCACAGTATTTGTCCATTAAAGTAATATATTTTTATGCATATGATAAGGTTAAAGGAATTGTTTCTGGATCAGTAAGTCATTTTAGAAAATAATTTAAGGTATTTAGAGATATTGTTTATTTCTTGTTTCATATCATTCCAGGGTTCGACGTGCCCATTCCGCCATAGTGAGGCTGCTTTGGGAAAGGAGGTTGTTTGTACGTCATGGCTACAAGGAAGATGCCTTAAAGATAACTGTCCATTCAGACACATGGAAATAACTGTACGTTTATAATATGAAATATAGTTTATAAATAAAAAAACCTTAAAACCCTTATATGACTTAATATGCATGTTTAAAAATTTTAACCCTGACCCCTCTTGTTGTCACTTGTATCTGGGTGCCTTTACAGAAGCATGTTGATATTTTAATATTTAAGATTGGATGTGTAACATTATGTGATAGTTTAAAATTTTTCTGTATTATGTATTTGTCTGTATATATATTATGTTGTGGACAGAGAGGTTCCCTAGAACAAGTCTCATGTTTTCTTTGCCCATTTCAGAAAAAGCGCAGCAGCATGCCATGTTATTGGGAAAGTCAGCCGGGAGGATGCCAGAAACCACACTGTGCATTTCAACATACTCAACCAAGGGACTTCTTAGAGGGTAAACATATGCATCAGAATAAAAATCATGCGTCTTTTTTTTTTAAAGGCTCATAAAAGTTTCTTTGTGCCATTGATATGTTTTTAACTGAGAACTGTTTTGTCTGCACAAGTATCTACACTTTTGTGACTGAAGTCCAAACCAGATTTGACAGTTGAATACTTCTCATATGAGTCAAATGTGCAGATTACTTAAATAGTTTTATATATATCATGTCTTGGTTACATATAACCAAAGCAGAAAGAATTAATGAAAAAAAATATTGTCAGTTTTAATTGTAAGGTTATTTCTCATATTAGAGCAAGCTGTGCAGGATTCAGCCCTGATGAGAGTAGGACGGCCTGTAATTATACCAGGTGGAAAAAGTGATGTGAACTTTGAGATAGAAAGAAATAACCCTAGTCCTATTGTCCAGCCCATTGTTGTTAACCCATTTGAAGAAGGTACATAGATATATATATAACAAACAGTTTGCAGTAATTTTATAATATGAATCATTAAAGATGATTGGTTAGTGATAAGAATGTAACTATATCAGGTATTTTGTGTAAGCTAGCCATATGTACTTAAGTGTAATTTTAATCTTAATACAGGAGTGAGCAAAGTGGTTTACATATACATAACTGAACAAAGTGGTTTACATATACATAACTATTTTTATGCCTGTAGAATCTGACCAAGATAGTATAAATGGGACTCCAGTAAAGCATCAACCAAAGCTGCCTGAGACAATCAAACAGACAAAAGTACCAACCAGGAAACTTGACCTGACAAGTAGGTATAAATATAACTAGAGTAGAATCATTCCATTTTATTAAAACGTTTGTGGAGCATTTTGTTAAAAGATATGTGGGAAATGAAAAAGTAATTTTTGAATACTTATTACTTGCTACTTATCACTACAAATAAAATATTTTTGGCAATCACCAACTGTTTTATTAAAAGGGATTGTTTATGACAATACATGTCAATCTGTATTTCCACATAAAACATTTCCTGAAGTGGCAGTGTTTCATATTATCATGATATCTGTTTTAGGTCAAAAGGATGAATCTACATCTACCAGTTTTGGTGTGAAAAGTTTGGAAGAGATTAAGAAGGAAAAAGCATTGAGGTCTATGCTGGAGAAAAGTAAGTGAATCTCTGATAATAAAAGGGTATTTAAGTGCAATTAAATGAATTTTATTATTAGATATGAATTCATTAACATTTAACAGGTTTAACCGATGAGTCATTATTTTCTGTAGATTTGTTTTATGTTACTGTGACTGATATTTTGATAAGATATTAATAGAGTTCAGCTTAAATTTAATATTATTCTCTTTGTGATTTGCTGTTTCTAGGGAAAAAGCCAGAAGATCAGCAGAAGGGTACCAGTACAGAGAGGAGAATTGTTTCAGCAACACCAGAGCAAACAGCAAATGATAATATTGGAGTAGAAGAAGGTAAGTTGTGCATATTTGCATTTTGGTTTTGCAAATATATGCCAGCGTAAGCTTAAATGTGTGTATTGTAAGTGTTATTTTGGAAATATTGAAATTGTTAAAAAGAATTAAAATTTGAGCTTCTGCCATAGAATTAACTTTAATTTACATCATCTGATTCTTTTTCAGCTGCTTTAGCTGCAGTAGAAGCTAGACTTGCACAACGAAAAATTGTTGTTTCACCTGTGAAAAAAAGGAAAGGTATGTTTTTTTTTTCCTTTTTTAGGTGTTACACCATTTCATTCAAACAATTGTGAAGCAAAGTATTAAAAGATGTGCAAGAAATGTGAAAACAATTTTCAAATACCTATTAATTGCTACTTATTACTACGGATGGGACTGTTTGGTAATCATCAACTGTGCTATTGCAGCAGAAGAAATGTCAATTGGTGTGAGGACCCTGGCAGATATTAGAAGAGAGAAACAAAAAGATTCTCAAGGTAAATTTTTTATTGCCAGCTACATTAGATTCGAGAATTTAAGTAAAAAAATCCTTTTTTTCTGCATGCTGAAAATTATGTAGACATGAATGAACATCGGCTATTTTTTTCCAGTTTCACCTGGAGAACCTACAGCAAATGATGCCAGGTTGAAGCTCACAAGAAGAATAGGTACAGGAGGTAAGTTTCAAGTGCATGTATAACACTGTCAGTGTGACGTAGTTTTCATACTTACAGGGATTGTGGTGATATCTAATGTGGACATGCCATTCTAATTTATACCATAACTTGATCCAATGAAACTATTTTCACACTTTGTTAACATTATTGGTATTAAATTATGGAAACAATACATATTTCTCTTTGGTTAATATATATAATGTTGTAACTTTTTCAGCAGAAAATAGAGAGATTAGAAGAGATGATGCCAGGGTGAAACTAGCAAGAAAAATCAACATTGACACAGAGAGTGAGTATTACGTTATTTCACAAATTCCCGAGATATAATATACTGAAATGAAAAATTTAGACAGATTTTTAGTTGAAGTCAGTTGTCTTAGTTTTTGCCAGGGTTTTACAGTTTTTAAGAGTAGCACAAAGTTCAGTTACATATATATATATATATATATATACACACACACACACACACACACACACACACACACACACACACACACACACTCTCTCTCTCTCTCTCTCTCTCTCTCTCTCTCTCTCTCTCTCTCTCTCTATATATATATATATATATATATATATATATATACAAGCATTATACATGCCTGCTTGGTTTGTTTAGAGGTTTTCATAACCTGGAGTGATTTGTAAATTATTTTCATGATTCAGATGTACAGACTAAGAAAACAAAAATCACTCTGAAGTCCCCTGGTGAAGATGACAGTGGAATAAAAGTGAAAACATTGGAAGAAATTAAAAAAGAAAAAGCCCTGTCCAAAAAGTTTGAAGATGCACGTGCTGGTTAGTAGAATAATACTTCATTGAATAACCTGCTGAAATCTGATAATATTGAGAGATAAAGGAAGGTGGTTGAAGAGAAGCTATATTAAGAACCATTAAGTGTAATTCTGATAGAAAGCAAGAACTACTTGTATTTTATCTTGCTTGTAGTTATTATGGTTTTAAACCCATTTTTGTTTCCGATGTTACAGATAAAGCAGGTGTAACTCTCCATACTTTAACTGAAAATAAAAAAATGAAGAATATTCCTTCCTCTGGTAAGTTGCTTAAATTAAAGAAAAAACATGTAATCATTTTGAGGATTCTTTTCCTTGTAATTACATTGTTACTTGCTTATATAAATAGAAATATCTTTCCAAGTAAGTTGATATACAAAAGACCTACGATTTTTGATTTTAGAAATACAGAATGCAATTTTTATGGTTTGTAAACCTGATAAAAATTTCATTGTGAAGAACTTTTTGTAGGTATTGTAAAAAATAAACCAGCAGAAAAGGATCCTTCAGAGATAAAAATCAAAACTTTGGCTGAGATCAGAAGTCAGAAAGCTCAGGAACAAGGTAAACAAACAGAAGACCCACAGTCAGTCAAGCTAGCCAAAACAAATAGGCAAACGAGACAGTTATATCAGCCACCAGTCAGACAAAGCCAAAGTAAGTGGACATTGTTTTCATTAATATTTTATGACGTTATTTTTTTTAATGTTGCATATATGTTTCTTTCAATTGTTCAAGACAGTATGCGCGGCTAAGTGTGTTTTTGTGAAATGTTTGATTTGTTTTATCAGGTTTTTTTTTATTCATGAAGTGGAAAAAGGTTACGTAGTATGAAAAGGGTTCGAAAATGACATCTTTATTATGTTGTATAGTCACACGTTTTCAAAACCCTTTTTAGGTGAACCTAAAGTAGGTTCCTCCGTAACAATAGCCAGGGTGAAGCCACAACCCAGTACTTCAGAGCCAGCAATTGTGATACCAAGGAGTGCAAAAACAGTAAAAGAGGTGGGTGTGTTTATTTATGTGATTTAGCTGACAGATTTTACCAAATTTGAAATGTTTTTAATTAATGAAGAATTTAACTTCAGGTACTACTCTAGGTAGACAATATTTAATTGGTTTTATTTGTTTTAAAATTATAGTGACATTAGTTGTTTCATTGATTTTGTATTTTAGGATACAGACCCAAGTCAGCTTAAAGTAAAAACCTTTGAAGAAATAATGAGAGAAAAGAAATTGCGCAAGCAACAAGAGTCTAAATCTGAGAGTGACTCTGTAGAACCAGTTGTGAAGAGGAAAAAGGGGGGATCACCCATCGTATTTGAGAACCAAAAAGAAACAGATGAACCAGTAGCAAAGAGGAAAAAGAGTGGTTCACCCATTATATTTCAAAGTGGAGATCAAGGCACGTTCTTTTTTCTGTTAACTTAGCTGAAGATATGGTGCATTTGCTGTGTACTAAATGTAATACATAATTTTTATTTATTTACACCTTTATTTTTAACTTGTGTAGTTTAAATAGTTGTTGTTGAAAGAATCTGTCAGTTTTAGAATTAATGCTCACATTAGTAACATATTTTTGACCACTTCATTTACATAGACATGACCACTTTACATTATTTATATAGGAACGTCCCCTTCAGAAACCAAGCCACAGAAAGCAGTTTCAATACATGACAGCCCCGCTTCACGTCCAGCAGTTAAGAAATCTTTACAGAAAAACAACACTGCCTCAAAGACTATAACTCCCTCTAGAACATTGACGAGAAAAAGACTCTAATGAACAGTCTAATAAGTCACAGTCATTGACACAGAGTAGGAGTGCAGAAAAAGGAGCTTTACAGACTGAAGAAACAACAGCTTCCCCAAAAGAACAGACCTCAAGCAGACGTAATTCAAATACTACAAAGTAAGTAATGTTGCTTCTTCTGCAGTGATTTTTGCAACATAAGTGTAAAATAAATCCATGTCAAAGTGTCTTCATACTCTAATCACCACCTAGCTGATTTGTTATAGATTTGTGTCACTTATAAACACATGCATCATACAAAAACTGTGTGAAATTTCAATTAGTATTATGCAAATCATTTTATGATTTCAGTTATATTTGAAATATTTTTTTTATATCTGCAGATCACAGTCAAGACTTCGGATGGAATCAGCCACCGATGATTTGCTTGATGATGACCTAGACTTGTTACTGGGGGATGTTTCTGATACAAAAGATGATAGTGTTGTAAAAAATGATGATGACTTGCTGCTTGAAATGGAGGAATTATTAGCTTGACTTTCTAACCGATGTGGAATAATTCTTCTGCTGTGATCAGCATACCTCATTTATTTTACAAAAAGTGGGATCACTCTTCATAATCTATGGGAAGTTGTATAATAACAAAAGACGGGTTATGTTAAAAAAAAAAAGCTTCATGATTTGCGAGTGACCTAGTCATATGTGCCGAGACCTAAGTAGTGTTAATACTCATTTCTTCTGCAAATTTACTTGAACTTGGTGAAAACAAAAGTCAATTTTGCCTCTGTAAGTAGAAATTTCTGGAAAAGGTATTGAAAAACACATTCCAAGTTACAGTATGGTTGAATTGATTTGGAAATATTCAGTGAATTTTTATGTCGCATATGAGATAAGTACTATTAACTTGAACGTTATTTAAATCAATAGAGAATGAAACAACGTTGATTAAAATTTGTGACTTCATCCTTGATAATTAGTTTGCAATGGTTTATTTTTAGCAAAATTATTTTCCTGGAGGGAGTCTGTTTTCCCACAAATTCTGTACACGATCCACAGCATGTACGTTCCATGTCAATGTTAAGTTTAATTTTCATATAACAAAAAAAAAAAAAAAAGAACACATGGCTGTGATCATATGACTGTAAAGATATCTTCAGTTGTATTGTCTCCTATAATAACATGCTTTATATTTTTTAATTAAAAGCTCTGGATCTTTTAGAAAAGAGGACTCTCAAGGTCATGGTTTGACCATGTAATGCATGCAATTATTGGTGTAATGAATTGTAATCCTTTACAGTAACTGTGCTTGATTACCTTGTTTACTATAACAAAGTGAGTAAATTACTTTTATACAAAAATATACTTTATTCTGTTTTTCTTTGTGAATTACATGCAAATGATAATGAATATCCAGATTTATGGATAAGTGATATTTGGCGATACGTTCCAGATGCTTTGATGAGTATGATGTTATTCTTTCAAACAGATCCAATCAATGAAGACAAAGTTGACTTGTCTGTCCAAAACCACTTCTCCTGTGAGAAAACCACAGGTTTTTAGCTTCCAATGATTGTACGAAGAATTAAATTACTTGAATCAGACCATCACTGCCGTTGACACCCATAAGCTGGATCCTTGGTCAAAGCAAATGCTTTTTCTTTGGATTTCCTTATTTCCCATTGGCCTGAACAGACCATTTTGCATTCCAACATAATGTCAAGTTCAGAGTCATTTGTAATACAGTTTCAGATATGCCAGCCTTCTTTCATACTTTTTTGTTTCTTTTGTACTGAGAAGCTGTAAAAGAAGAAAAAGAAAGTAAATAACAATGTTCAATACATCTAAATGCAACTTTTTAAATAACATCCATATCTAACATTTATTTTTAAAGGTACATACGAACTGAGCATCGGTGGATCGTGGATTCCCAGTAACACATGTAAACCACTTCTACTAGATCTTATATGACTCAAATAAATTTGACATGCCAAGGGATAAACTGAATAGATCACTCGATCAGCCATAAAAGACCTTTAGACTGCTCCTTTCTTTAAATTTTTGGTTGTAAATTTAACCTACTTCCCTGACCTACTTTCCTGCCCCATTAACATACAGCTTAGAATGCCAGCAGAAAAATCTGTTCAAACATCATTTTCGGGTAAAATTAAACATTGCCTTTTGGTAATTCTCTTAGTTATACTACTTGAAACTATATGCTGGCATTTGGTTGGTTTTTGTGACAAAAAATTGACTTTGTATGCATCTTTAAAAATTGTGACAATGTTGTTCAGGAATTTGACCTACCTTTTCTGTATTAGGCTGCAGTGTGCTCTTGATGGTCACTGCTGGGAGATTGATTGGAGCCCCACCAAATGACTGGTGCCACTGCACTTTCCTGTTTCTTGGAATCTCATGTTCATATGTTCCAGCACTGAAAAAATAAAAGATGAGCATAAACTTTAATAAATAAGAGAAGATTATGAGTACATGTTTAGAATCCCTTACCTACATCGGTGACATTTTAAAATTAATGCACTCTGACTGAAGGATCTGTTGGATCAAGAGTCTTATTATGATCTAGATGATTATTATGATCAGATTTGGTTTAAATTACTCAGGTAAACAGCAACTTGTGACCAATAAGTAAAAAAAAAAAAGAGGTGAGAAAACAGCTAGTAAATTCTAACAATAGATAATTTAACAAGATTAAAGAAATCAATTCACAGGAATATGTCAAAGTATTACTTACCCAGGTACAGATTCTTCAATCTCTCTTTTGTAAACAGGAAATCTGTCTGCAGCTGCATTAAAAGGTTTGTAGCTAGGTGTGAACTCTATGGGGTCAGTGACCTTAGTCTGGTACTCTGGAGGAGCTGGGGTTACTTCCTGGGATAAACAAAGGAATAGTATTAGGAAAATTATTATTATAAAACTGACATTACCTTTATAACGGAGACCAACATTTTTTCTGTATAATTAACTAAAATATGGGCTTAAAAGTATTCTGAGCATGCATCTCCCTCAATTAAGAGATGCTAATTCTAAAACAAACAAACAAAAAGACATGTATGTACACAAAATACAAAAATTAAAAAGAATTATAACATGTACACAATGATACAAATAATGTTCAAATATAACAAGACTCACCTTAAACTCTTTCCTAAACCTTGGACCTGTTCTTGCTCCCATTGTATAACCTTTTTGACTAGTAAGGTACGTGTCAATCTGATATTTGAAGTTGCTAACCTGTGACATGAAAACAATATATTATTTTTTCTTGCCTTATTTCAGTTATCTCTGTTTTTTACAACTTGCCTCAAATATATAAATAAATTTTAATTATAAAACTATATAAAGTTATCAATAACAGTAGTATATAAATTTATATGAACACTTTTACCAATCCTTATACTTTTATTTGTTTTTCACAAATATAACTTGTTTCTGCTGACCTACCTCCTCATTATTGTAGCATCCTGGCCCAGTGTTAGGTTGACCTCTCAAGGGTTTCAGATCATTTCCAAATCTATTGGGAGCCATATGGACAGGAAACAGTGTCCTGTTCTGTGTGGTGCCAAAGGACACATTTAGCTTTCTTGGTTCTGGATGAAGAAATTGCTTAATATTACTTGCAAATCCAGTCAGACGTTTTATAAACAACATCTTGCTGTTACAATTTTGATCAAAATAGTAAATATTTGTGATTCGTAGATTATATAACTTTTGGACAAAATAAAATAATAATGACTGTCCATTTTTAAAAAGCGTGAATTCAATATTTGGGGAGATGCAGACTTCATATATTTGGAGGGCGAGGCTCTGAACATGTAACTTTAACCAGCTACTTAACCACGTCTTTATAATTCTGAAATACCTATCCCAAATCCGTCCACAAATCTGTAGAAAGTGGATATGAGAAATTATTATAATTTTATGCAGCTTATAAAATCTGCATGAACTAATAAACATAGAGAATGTGTAAAGAAACCATTATTCCTACCTTCCAAAATGTCCATCTCGATGTGTGCGCGTAGCCTTTGCTAACTTTCTACTTTATCGAACCCCTTGTCTCACAATCATGAGTATGTGTATGTGTGTATCGTTGTCACCAGCAACTGAGTCGATAGTGGGTACTCCTCATGCCGTAAAACGTAAAGTACCAAAACAAGATAGTCGTAATAGTACCCCAGAATGCACCGGTCAACATGTTACACTACGTGATGCCTGTAGATCGTACATCAGTCAATAAGTATACATTTGCTCACTTTGTAAGTTAAATGTATTTTCGATCAATTAAGAGTATACATCAGAGGTTGTGCTTGATTCCAAATAATCGTCTGGGGCATTAAGTAAGTACGTGATATTGTAGATGCACTTGTTCCTCAAGTGCGATGTTCCTCTATCGTCGCATTTCAAGGCCGAGTTCTCAACCAGAGCGTGGCTTTGTTGCGAATAGATAAATGAATGATTGTGGGACTTTCTCCCTTTATTAAAAGCGCATACAAAATCTTGTAAATGACAATGTCCCTTGGAATTTTTTTATTAATAAATGTGGACATGATATTAGATAGGTCACCATTACTTACTGTTTTGAAGCTACACCAGTGACTGAGTGAGTGTCATTAGTTATCACAAGGAGAAAAATAAAACGTATAACATGGTGCCATCATTAAAAACTAATTTTTATATTACAGACAGTGGAAGAACAATGAAGACACTGCAACATAGATAGGAAAATAAGTTGACAGCAGTGCCACAATGTCTAGGTCCTCAGAGGAGGTGTACCTGATCATCAACCATGTGAAGCATAAGAAGACAGAGGGCACTCTCTATTTGATGGGGGAGCGTATTGCATGGATGCCTGATGGGAAGGACAGCTTTTCAATAAGCCATCTCTATGCTGACATACGAGGTTTGATTTGCTTTGTTCTATTTACTAAGTACTTGGTTCATTTTATGGTATGGAATGCGTTGTATTATTAATATGTTATAACAATATGTATGTCTAAAAATTAGTGTATTGGTAAGGATTGAATAAGAACACATCTTGTATGGCATATTGACCTTTGATTTGTAAATTAATTTTGTGAGAAAGGACCTGTTAAGTTTGCTGTTAACCATCACAACCCAAGCATAATAATCACAAAAGTTTGCAACCTTGCATACACTAGATTGAAAAGTCAGTTCCATTGCTATGCTTGGATACTATGCTTCTCACAGCATTTAAGATAAGCTTCATTGGTCCAGGATATTGTCAAAGGTATAAAGCAGTGACATGTTGCTGTATGATGAGATTGCTATTAATTAGATGTGTGGAAATTGTCTACCGCAGTGAATATCATACAATTTCATTTTTTTTTCTTTTCAGTCCAGAAGATCTCTCCGGAGAGCAAAGAGAAGATCCAGCTGCAGTTGGTGATGCATGATGGCAGTGCTAACACATTTCAGTTCTCCAACCCCATGGGGAGAGCTAGCCAGCTCAAAGACAGGGAAAGTGCAAAGGAGCTGTTACAACAGTTATTACCAAAGTTTAGAAGAAAGATTAATAATGAACTTGAGGAAAAGAATAGGTATGGGTATAAAGTTTGACATATTTGTACTAATGTTTTCTTGATCTATTTCAACAAAATAGGGTATTATTAACTTTCAGGTCTCCAGAGCTCAGGTGAACCATCAGTGATCAACTGGAGTTCTTGTGAGAATGCAACATCACCCTAATCATAATAATCGTCTATTTACTAACATTATAATAAAATAAATTCATGAAATTTAATGTGACATAATATCATAATAGTAATAATAGACATATAAAATAATAAAAACTTTGTATAGATGTTTTTCTGGTTCACAGGCTGTTTTAGTCATACCATGCAGTTGTGTACTCTTTTGGTCAATAAAAAAAGCATTTTGTCCAAGTCTAAATGAAGACTCTAATCTAGACGTGTTCATAGAGTACTCCATGTTATTAGTTTCTTACTGTTGTATCACACATTTTGTTCATTTTAGGATGCTTCAGGAGGATCCTGAATTATTTCAGCTGTACAAAGATCTAGTTGTTAGTGGAGTTATCTCTGCAGATGAATTCTGGGCCAGTAAGCAGGGACAGGTAAAGTCATAAAAAATTGACTCTTTCATGTGAATGGAATGTAATATTTTGTAAGCCAGGCATTAAAATTGAAATGTAGCTTTAGAATATTATGTCCAGTGTTTTAGTGTTAGAATAATAGGCCTATATTAGGATAAAATTACCAGTGTTGAAACAAATGTTCATTGTCTGTTCAGTAAAGCATGTTTGACTACAGCAACATACATAACTTTTTTTCAGAATCAGCAAGTCAGCAATACCTCCGCCAAAGTCAACCAGGATGTAGGGGTTTCACCAGCATTCCTGGTAGGTTTAGATAGAAATGGATTTGGGGTTTCATTTATGTGGGCTTTGTGGATAAAGAGATCTATTTTTTTATGGCCAGATGCAGGCATTGTTTGCTCTAAGCATTATATTTGGCCATGGAATTAAATGTGTAATGTTTCCTACCTAAAATGTATATAAAATGTGAAATATAACCAGACAACTAATAAGGAGTATTTCAGTGTAGTTTCATAATCCATTTATGACAAGTCTGTGTCGTATAATTCCAGGCAGACATCAAGCCCCAAGCTGACGGGTGCAATGGACTGAGATACAACTTGACAGCAGATATTGTGGAATCCATATTCAGGACATATCCTGCAGGTATGCTGTTTAATACTTGACTCCACAACTGGAGGCACATTGTAACACTCTGGCGTGACACTGAAAAAAAAAAAATCTTGGTCACATGCATGTTTTTTGGTATTTATATAAATATAATTTGACTGAATAAACAGGATCATTTGGGCTTCAGAATTTTTTGTAGACTTTGTATTAACAGGGATTATTAAGACCTGACCATTTGTATAAAGATAAAAATTAAATAAAACTTTGAGAAGTCCATGTCACTGATATCTTATGGTGCCAAAACAATATGTCATCTTTATTATGAAATTAAAAGTTAAATTTTATCTTGAATTTCATGGTTTTTCTTTCAGTGAAAATGAAACATGCAGAAAATGTCCCAGACAAGATATCAGAGAATGACTTTTGGACTCGGTTTTTCCAATCCCATTATTTCCATAGAGACAGAATAAATATAAGCAACAAAGATCTCTTCTCAGAATGTGCCAAAAAAGATGAAGAAGGTAGGTGTAAAATGTCCACAGCTAATAAAAAAACTAATAGTATTATTACTCTTGGCAAAGAAGAGGCAGTCATTGAAAAAAGATCTTTGAGTTATGAAAAATATACTTAGGCTATTTTATTTATAGCTGATGTTTTAGGGATAGTTATCTTTTACTTTGGAACAAAAATAGTAGTGAAGCAGTTAAATTTCACTCTCTCTTGACACTAGAACATGATCAGGCTGAATGCCCACAGGTTGTTTTGTAATGGTAGGCAGGTGAACAATTCTCACTCAGGATAGTTATTGAGGACCTTTCGGCATTCAGCCTGATGATGCTCCAGTGACAAGTGCAAAACATTGCCATTACACAACTATTTTTGTTCCAAAATAAGTGATAACTATCACTAAAACATTAGTACATACAATTCTGTGGAATCATGAATGATCTGATTGATAATACTTATAAAAGTTTACTACAGGTGTCACCCTTTTGCTCTCCTACGTTATTGCTAAACATTGTGTATTGTCTCGCTTTTTCCATTTGATTATGTCTGTGGTTTTTACTTTCAGATATCCAACAAGAAATACAAGAAAAAATAAACGATCCATTGCTGGATTTGACACAAATGGCTGACAGCACCCTGGGGGAGGTAGGGAGAAAGTCTGGCTGGTTAGATCTTAAGCATATTTTTTTCAATCTTATGTTTGGACTTGCAGCACTTTCTGTTGTCAATATGAAAGCCATTGGTGAGTAATACTTCCACAAAGTGAACTTCTGAAAGCATCTGTGGATGTCAATGTAATCTAATAAGGAGGACAATTAAGGTCAGTTAACTCTGCTCGACTCAAATTAACTTAATATTTTTTCTAGGGGTATGGCAGTACACGAGATGACACCCAGATTGCAACCAACCCATCAAATCTATCTCTGATACGACGCTTCAATCACCATTCAACAATGGTATTAAAAGCCTGTGATAAGAAAACTCAACCAAGTTCATCTTCATCATCATTATCATCTTCAAAAAGTTCACAAGGGGCAGCCACTAATGGCAGTTCATCATCCATAGCAGCGCATTTGATGATTAACGGGGACAGTAATGGTGCCAGTGAGAAGGAAGGGGACCTGTCATTACCTCCGTCTTCTAAGAAGGTAAGGAACCAAGGTAATGTGTTCAGGTCAATTAAGATAGTGGAGTCAAAAGATTGATATCATGATTTAGTAAATCTGCACTCCTCATACGTTTTAATGGAAATGAAAAAAAGTAGAATTGTTAGTTTGTAGTGGTACAATGCAATTTTCATTGGTAAAAAATACTTCTTGTTACTTGTTTTCCATTATAAGATATTGACTTGAAATATCATTATGCTTTTTTGCTAATTTCAAACTGACTGGAAAATGTTTGTGTTGAAGGCAAAATTAAAAGAAAAGATTCATCTGGATGATCTTGAGGAAGAAGGTGACAGCTCTGGTCCAGCCTTAAATCTTGCCAAAATGGAGCGCTACTTACACGGCCCCACCCCCATCACGACATCCCAGTACCACACCAGTGAAGACATGATCCAGGCCTCCTTTAACACTCAGATGCAGGTGAAACACTGGATCCCAAACCTCACACAGGTGTGATGTTTTATTTTTTATTTTCTTATTTTATTTTTTATTTTATTCATTTTTTTTTATTTGTTGGTTTGTTAGTTTATGTAGTTTTTTTTTTTTTTTTTTTTTTTGAGAGGTGCATAGTAACACAAAAATGTACAAACTAACTGGTTATTTTATGGATACCAAGATTCATTTATTTACTTATTTATTTATTTCAAATATTCAAGTGTACTATTATTATGATATATCTTTTTCAAGACTTTTCACTTTTATTTTCATTTTATCATATTTGGGCAATTAAAATGTAGCATTGATGAGTGGCTTGAACAAATATCTTCATTTGTCACCTAAGCACAAATTCATTCACAAAGAATCTGGTTATTTCAGGTGATGACCAGCAGCAGTGCAGTCAGCATACTGGGGGAGATATCACCAGGGGGCGCTTTAATGCAAGGAACGAGTCAACAGCAGTTAGATCGTAAGTGGATATGGAATGTTGTGGAGTTCAAAGAGAAAGTTAGTAAGAAATTAAAACATTTGATGCACTGAAGTAGAGTCAATGTGAAGCTTGGTCACAGACAACTATCTTGACATGGTAGGGGCCATGTAAGCATAAGTATTATATTTTGNTAGTTTTTTTTTTTTTTTTTTTTTTTTTGAGGTGCATAGTAACACAAAAATGTACAAACTAACTGGTTATTTTATGGATACCAAGATTCATTTATTTACTTATTTATTTATTTCAAATATTCAAGTGTACTATTATTATGATATATCTTTTTCAAGATTTTTCACTTTTATTTTCAATTTATCATATTTGGGCAATTAAAATGTAGCATTGATGAGTGGCTTGAACAAATATCTTCATTTGTCACCTAAACACAAATTCATTCACAAAGAATCTGGTTATTTCAGGTGATGACCAGCAGCAGTGCAGTCAGCATACTGGGGGAGATATCACCAGGGGGCGCTTTAATGCAAGGAACGAGTCAACAGCAGTTAGATCGTAAGTGGATATGGAATGTTGTGGAGTTCCAAGAGAAAGTTAGTAAGAAATTAAAACATTTGATGCACTGAAGTAGAGTCAATGTGAAGCTTGGTCACAGACAACTATCTTGATATGGTAGGGGCCATATAAGCATAAGTATTATATTTTTTTTATGTCTTCTAATTTTGAATGTTAGTTTAAGGTGAATTTATTTATCATTTTTTTCCATCCTATAGAAATGGTGCCTGCAGAGATCCAGCAAGAGCTGAGGAGTCTGTACCTTGCATTGTGTGAACTGCTCCGACATTTCTGGTCATGTTTTCCTACAACCACTAAAGCACTAGAGGAAAAGGTACATGGTGTTCACAATCTTACTACTGTGGAACAACTTGAGATTCTTTGTAGGCACTTTCTGCCAGTTGTGTTTACCACAAATAACAGCAGCACTATGATGTTTATGTTTGCTTTGAGTGGTTTAAAGTCATTAACATTCTTCCAGGTTGTGAGAATGAAAGCCAATTTGGAGAGATTCCAGTCAGCAAAACTGAATGCTGTAAAAGCCAAACTGACTAGTTCTTATACTGTCAATGTAAGTTGATCAGTGATATTATAACAATGAAACCTGGATTTGTATTTATTGTTGATATGTTATAATATGAATACTTTTATAAGTATTTTACTTCCGTTATATTTATGAATAAGTATGAATACTTTTAAAAGTATTTTATTTCACTTTTATTAATGAAAAATAAATTGCATTGTGTGACAATTTTCCCTTCTGTTAGAGAATATGCCATTTTGTTTTGGTGTGTTATATTAGATTATCAGTTTTTTTGTGTAGCAGCTTGAGTAGTGAAAAACAACATAAATTCCATTTTCAAAGGTGGGTGAAAATTTCTCTTTTCAGCTGATTGGCCATATGGAAGAAATGCTAAATGCTGCATATGCAAAGTTTGGAGCATGGCAAAATAAACGTCTTGGTAAGAAGTGAAGCGTAATTGGCACCTTCAGTAGCCACCCAGCTCTCTCGGCCATGAAGAAAGACTTGTCTGGATTGTGCACTGGAGACAAAGAAAGCAGTTGACAGGAGGGTCCCAGGTGCTCCTTGCAAATCACCTGGTGATCCCCGCAAATCATGACGTACCCAATACCAATGTAATACAAAGCCACCTTGGGATGCCCTGACATTGGACTGGTATTTGACAGCCAGAGTGCTAGTGTTCATGATTTACATGGGCCCAGTGATGTGACTGGTAGAAATGAATAGAATAAGAGTCTGGACTTTTCTGTGGTCTGAAAAGTGAGAAGTGATACCAAGGGGGCAATCAAAATGGGCTAGGCAATGTAAAACGACACATTTGTGCTTTATTGAGAGTCTTCAAGTTGCTCTTGGCTTGTGGTAGTTATTGCTAGATGCATTCATCAAGGCAGTTTATCCACATAAAAATGACTTATTGACAAGTGGTGGCCCATTTGAGTCCACAGGTATACCAGTGACACTGTGGAGGATTTCCATGATTAAAGGTTAAATAAACGGTGCAATACTGAGATAATGAGTTGTATGCATATCTTATATTGTTAATAAAGATCTGACAGTAGCTTTAACCAAAACTACTACCATTCCAATTTTGAAAGACTGAATTGGGAATAAAAATGTTTTATGAAATTTATGTTTGGTATATTTGCTTCATCTTTTTAATGACGGTAGTACCATTCCAATGTGTTCAAACTCCTTATAATTAATGATATGCAGATTAATAGTGAACACCACCTTACAACTTGATATAAGAATGTAATTACTTACATTTTATTTTCCCTTATTAAATAATTAAGACTATAAAGAAAAAGAGTACAGGTAATATCTTCATAATCACTAATTCATTTACAAAATAACAGCATTGTAAGCAATACATATTGAAGAAATATGGTCTACAAAACCAGAAACAACTAGAATTATGCATAATGGCACAGGGCCAGAATTTATAGAGCAAATTTGTCTCTTACACATGATTTTAAAACGTTCCCATTCATCAATTTTAATACAAAAACAATTTTAATCGACAGTTCACAGAGAAAACATTTTGACATTCAAGACTACTCATGATTGTTTTTCTTAAAACAAATGCTCTGCCTTTGGGGAAAGTTGCCATCGTCTATGCTGAGTAAATGTCCTATGCCACAGATCAGCACCAAAATCTTCTGAGGCTTTGGCACCTTGAATGTCACGTAACATTATACAGAGGTCTAGAAATTACGTCACTTTTTTGAAAATTTCCCCAAGAATTCGAATTAATGTTGTACACTATAACTTAAATAAGGATGGCCTGAGACAGATGCCAAAGCATGCGCACCATTAAAATAATGATATTGTCCTCTGTCACTGGTATCCAACCTGTGCACCAGTGCCACTTGTCCTATAATACTGGTTTCTATCACCTTCGTCCTTTATTTTTTGAGCTTGGTTTCTTGTTTTCCCATTTTTTAGTCTGTCTGATTTTCTGTACATATGCCCCAATCAAAGTCTTGATCTTCAGTGGATTGATATCACCACTTTTGCTGTGACAAATCTGAAGTAAAAAAAAATACATTTCAACAATAAGAAAATCTCATCAAATATCGATATTGACTTTACTCTCATTTTGAGGAAATGGCAATTCAATCTATCATTCCAATCTGATATAGCACATTTTTTTATCACTATTTCAATTGGAACCATTCACAAGGATTTGTTAAATTAGTAAGTGCTTACCAACTCCACAGGGACTTGCTGAATGCAATCAGATTAACAGACTTGACACGCCGCCTCCTGTTTCCAATGTACTCGTACAACCACCAGCTTTTCTATATTCTATTTACCAGGAGGGCTGTTGTTCTGTTAATCTGATTGCATTTAGGGAGAGTCCCATATTAGTTAGGTCAATACAATTCATTTTGATAACCTGTGAATCAGTTAACCACTCAGTACTTACTTTTGGCACAGCTTTCCTCAGTATTTCCTTGTATTCATTTTTATCTATTTTCTTCATAGCATAATAAGGTTTGACAGCCAGTTTCACCTCCTCCACCACTCTCTCCTGGCGGTTCAGCTTCTTCATGAACTACAAAGGAAAAAATAATGATAAAACAGAAATGTCAAACTGTGCTACTGCAGCTGTAGGTGACATTTTACTGTGACAAACAGATCAGAGTGCAATAGTATAAATATAGCTTCAATTGTCAATGCTTGAATGATACAACTTTTAATGAAGCTTTCAAAAAGTGGATTTTGTGATCTCACCTCTTGCTACAAATCTACTAAATTTTTTCATTTTCATTTTCTAAATCCTCAACATTTAAATCTATTTTAGTCTTACTTTTTCCTGCTTGTCCAATTCCACAGCAGATGAAGGCATGTCCTCAGGAGGATCAACCAGGCTGAAAGTGACACTGTTTTTATTATTAGCAGGTTTTTTGTCATTGTTCTCCATTGGCATTATATCATCAGGAGGTGAATAGGATATGTCCACATCATCTGTGGGCGAGGCCACTTCCATGTCTACTACCTCCGTGGTCTCCGCCCCTGTGGGGTGGTTATGATTGGCCACACCGTTACCCCCCTCTCCCAGCCTCCCGTGCTTGACTGTGGCGCCCCCCAGTGGGGGTGGCAGAGGGACTTTGAACACGCCCTCCTCTCCTCCTCCATTTCCCTTGGGATGTAACCCAACCTGAGCTGACAGTATCTTCCCAATGGCTTCCATGTGGATGAGGGCAGCATTAGGGGGCGTGTCTACTGCATTAGGGGGTGTAGATGGGGGTGGAACTGATAAATTGACTCCCTGGGGCGGTGGCACTGAAAGATTGACTCCTTTGGGAAGTGTGGCTATCCCCTGTGGGAGGGAATTCCCCTGGGGTAATGATGTGGGGGTAAAGCTGGTCTTAGGCAGGGGGATGTTATTTAAAGGGGGAGGCATGGAAGAGAGAGAATGAGGACTAGGTGGGTGGGGAAGCACCCCTTCTGGAAGACTGATTGGAGGTGGGGGGCCTGGTGGGGTGGGGAGCAGGCCCAGACCTCCAGGAGGGGGGCGGTGCTGCCCAGGCAAGGTTGACCCTGGGGGTGGTAAATGTGGGATTCCAGGGTGTTCAAAGCCTGGTGGTAGGTCAGCCAGTATGGGTTGTGACAGTGTTGTAGTGACCGGGTGGTTGAGCTGAAATCTCTGTAAGTTCTCACTCCCTGGCAGTCTCTGCAGGTGCTCTGGGGGCTGGGCCTGGCCTGGCTGTGGGGGAGGGGCAGTCAGTCTGAACCTACTGGACTGCTGCTGAAGGAGAAGATTTTGGGTGTTCATCTGCATAGCAAGGTGAGCAGGCAGCATCCCTGGGGGAAGTTGGCCCAAGTGGGGGCCATTAAGTAGTAAGGGGTGGTTCATTAACAGTGGATGGCGGGGCAGTGCAGCAGGGTGGACCCCCGGGGGGAGATTAGCTAGGAATCGTAGAGGTATTCCACCCCCTGGGCCTTGTTGTATTAAATTAAACATCCCAGGTTCACCTGGCCCATTCACTGCAGAGCTAACAGGTATAACCCCGTGTTCCTGCCCCAACAGACCACTGGGGGCTGTAGTTGTGATATGAGGTATCTGCTCCATCAGGTTAAATGGGAACCCTGCGGCAGAGGCATCAGTAAAATGAACATCTGGTGTTGGGTTTGGTGAGTCAGAATCCGTGGGTTGTAATGGGTCGTAAAACAAATCATCTGGTTTGTCATTGGTTTCTAATTCTGGTGGAAAAATGGAGTCTTTTGAGTTCGCCAGAACAGTTGAAGTGGTAGGAACGAGACTCATTAAGGAAGGAATTGAAGCTGGAACAGTATGCGGTAACCTAGAATCCATTTGTTTGTGGTTGCTATCCTTTCTAGAATCCCTGTAATTATCCCTGTTTCGAGATCTATCATTCCTATCCTTGTCCCTGTCTGACTTGTCTCTATTTCTATCCCCAAATTTATCAGTATGTACAACAGTAACAGTGCTCTCAAGATGGGGTCTCTTTGGCTCATTGACATCTGCACTGCCACGAAAATCTCTCTTGTTCCTGAATCGCCTTGAATCAGTATCAGAGTCATGTTTGTGTGACCTTTTGCCAGCATCATCATTTACACCATCTGATTGTGACAGTTCATTTTTCACAGTAATTTCCAAAGAATATTTTTTGTTTTCAGATCTTTTTTCCGAGGAATCCTCACGCGTTCTCCTCATGTCAACATTTCGTGACGGACTCCTAGATTTTGATCTCCTTCTCCTAGACCAACTATCATGCTTATCTCTATCCCTGTCTCTGTCAGAGGTGTGTTTTGAGCTTTCCTTGTCATGAATATTGTCATCTCCACTTCTAGTTCTTTCACGAGATCTATGCATCCGTGTCCTAGACCCTGACCTACGAGATCGTGATTTGTCTCTGGATCTCTCCCTTGAACGAGATCGACTGCGTTTGTGTTTATGTTTCTTTTTACTATGCCGTCTTTCCTCATTTCTATTGTCTCCCTTATCCTCCTCACTGTCTCTCCTATGTGGTTTTGAATCTTTTCGGTCAGATTCTTCCGATTCCTCTTCCATTTTTGGTGTGTCTGTCTCAATTGCGCTTTCTTTCCCAGTTTCATCCTGTAAAACAACTTTTTCCTGATTCAGTTTGGACTCCGATTCTTCTGATGTATCTAGATTCATTGCCGAGGAACCATTTTCTGATTCCTTTTTCATTTTTGGAATGCGAGGCAGCTCAGAAATTGGCACTTTATTTGTTTGCATAAAAGAATCCAAACCTGCCATAGCGTCACATCCTTCGTAAGTGTCTTCCTCAACTGTGATGTTATCATTTTTAACATCTGCATGGTTTTCATTCTTGTTTTCTTTCAGTTCACTTTCCTTTTCATTATCAGACTCTCCTTCTTTACATTCCTTCTTATTGTTACTTTCCCCTAAATTATAATCAACCTCTAATGGTGTTCCTTCAATGTCATCTTCATCTTTTCCTTCCTCTTGCAAATTATCTTCCTCTAACTCCATACTGAGATCCTGAATGAAAAGAGGTTAAAATTACTACAATAATTTTAACAAACAAAAACAATTTCCCATATACCACTATCTATTACAGAACAATATTTAAGAATAGCTTGAGACAATTCTTCCTCTTGTTTGTGTCCACCTGATCACCCTGAAAATGGCTGCACTTTGACTCCCACCTACCTCCTCCATACTTTCTCTCTGCAAAATATCAGTGCTTTTGTTTAATTCTGTGGACAAAATGTCTGTAGTTTCCATGTCATCCTGTTCAACATCACTGTCAACTCTTTCTAAAGTCTCTGATGGTGTATCTTGATTTATTCCCTCTTGGAAGATTTTGTCCGTCTTTAAAATATCATTTTCAGAGTTCTCTTTTGAATCATTTTTGAGCGGACTTGATTTAGCACCTGACCTGGGTGGTGAACTGGCTTTCATTTTAAGTGATCCTGGAAGAGAAACAATAGAGCCATTTCATTTGATAAAACAGGAGGCAGAGTTCTTGGAATCAAATAATAACAATTACTGTGAAAAACAAGATTATAGATTGAAACCTTATGTGTTTTTTTTTATTTCTTTTCATTTATCTACTGTACATTTTATTTTTCTGGGGGGATGTGGGTGGGAAGAGCTCTTCAATACTCACCATCTCTCCCAATGGTGACATGTTCACTCTTGGTGTGTAGTATAGACTGTCCAGCCATGATGCTGCCTAACAGGTCAAAGGAACCACTACTCTCACCACCACCACCACCATCAGCAACAGCTGGCTTCTCTTCTCTGGAGGATCTGGATGAATGTGAACAAAAATGATAGGTCTGATGCTTCTAATTGGACCACACAATTAATAAGCACTACCACTAAACAGTTCATGTAGACTTCATGTGAAAAAGTGGGAACAGACAATGAGAATAGTGACAAAAGTAATGACTATCCCCCGGGTTGGTCTGAATCACGTACTTTATTGACCTATATTTATATCAAATGCTCAGGTATGACTGGACTATGTTCCATGAAGAGTCCTGACATCTCTGCTGTGTAGGACAGTTAAAACTTTCCCATATTAAACAGACGACCACAAAGGGTGCTGCACATTATAAAACACTAGTAGCACACTATGAAGGATCCAGATATTAAAGCTTACCTGTTGATAACGGGAGCAGCAAGGCGTTGTTTGGACCTCAGTGCCAACTTGGAGTACGTCTGTCCCTTCTCCTTTCTCTCAGAGTTCTGAGCTGAGGTGCCTGGTGCAGTGTCAGGTAGAGAGTTGCCATCACTAGGGTTAACAAAGGAAAATACAAAACAGTATTACTTGCATTGTAATATAAGAATTGTTTAATGTATACACTAAACAATTAAAGACTCCAGTTTCGATGATCAAGAAATAAAGGCATTTTCTACTTGACCATAAAAATTCTTTGCGATTGGTCCCAATCTTTTTTCTCACAGCACCATCTTTTCCAATCATGTCTACTTTACCTTCAGGTTGTCCTGCAAAGTTCATGTTAATTTTCCAATTACACAAAAAGTCCCATTATCAACCCTAGGCAAAAACAAAACACCCCAGCCCTCAAGCAGAATTCAAACACCATGTTTCAAGTCCTCTTTACCTGTCATATAAGATATCCAGATCATCCTTGTGTCCCAAGATGGACAGTGGAGCGACTCCCATGTCCACTCTCTGAGTGTCTACAGACCTTCCTGGTTTTTTCTTGACCAAAGGAATGGACCGTCCGGCTGGGGGTTTGGTTAATCCTAACCTCCCTGCTAGTCTGCTCTTGACTGACGTTGGTGTGGCTTGCTTCACCCTGGCTGATGCTGCCGCTGGGGTGGATTTCTTTACCTGGTGATAAGACACAGTTACCCATTTATGATTCCTTCTTAATGATTATAATCCAGTTACAATACAAAAAATATAAATAAAGGACTTAGAAAGATGTACTACATTTTTTCAATTTCCCAACATGATAATAGACCAATACCAGATTAATAATTTTTTCACCTTTTCTCTGATAACAACAGTGCTGTATGTCTCTTCCACATAAAATTAGCGTTTACTTTACAACAGAATACATAGAATTCAGTTCACCTTTCTCTTCTTCCTTCTAGTTTTCCTCCTCTTCTTTGTACCAGTCTTCTTTGTGGTGCTTTTCCTCTTTTTAGTCTTTCTTTTAGTTGTTTTCCTCTTCTTTGTGGTTTTTCTTTTCTTGGTGGTCTTTTTAGCAGCAGGTTTTCTACCTGGTGGGGATCCAAAGAATGATGTGCCTCTAGCCCCCTCCTACAACACAGGAAAAGTTCAAGGTCACTTCAAGGTTAATTTCCAAAATGAACTTTGTTAGACTATAAATCACTGTTAAATCCATTAAATACAAGCAAACTGAAAACTAAGATTCTCTGACTTAAAGTCATCAAACAAGTATTCTGTTAAAAACTGACATGACTCAAAAAACTCTGTGCTTTGGAAAATCTTCTATCACCCACCTCTCTCCACAAGGGAAAAAACAAACCCTGACATACCTCCATGTTAAGGAAGACAGCCTCCCTGTTTCTCTGTATGTTCCTCCTGACCCTGTCTGCCACCCTGGTACGTGGTATCTGCCTGTGTGTGGTGTGCAGCTGATGCATGCTCTCTACCACTGCCAGAACTGCTGCCCCTGGGGACTCCCCCTCAGCACTGGCTGTATAATAAAGAATTATGTTACATACTAGACGATACAATGATGTATGCTCTCTACCACTGCCAGAACTGTCGCCCCCAGTCACTCGGTCTCAGCTAAATAAGACTGAGTTAAAGATTACATATGAATAATAGACTGTGAGGCATGCATATCCCATCTCTGTTCTTCCCACACAAACACTCTTCTCTGCATCCATTTTCAAATCTTTACTGCCAAGAAAAATATCAGGTTTCCACTTAAATCATGTCTGTTGTAATATACAACTTACCTTGTGGATGATCATGTGCACATTCAGGACAGAACCACTCCTCCACTGGGACATCTTCCAGAGGAGGGTTCTGGCACTCCAAGTGATACCTGGGACAGAGAACAGAGATAGAACACATAATTAAATGACAAAAGTAACAATGTCATATTTTAATAAATCATAGCTTCTTCTTTTGAGATATTACAGTTTAGTGCATAAGACAATAAGAAGGGAGGGACAAGCTGATGCTGACATGTTCTTGTCTACTATCAATATAAAATGAATTACAAAATACAAGTTCACTTATCCCCACCATAACTCGGCAGATGCCTTACAGTACCACACCCAAACCTTTAACTTACTCCCATACATCTATTTATACATTATTGATTTATTCACATACCCCGCATCACAGCCATCACAGAGCAGCAGACGGTCTTCCCTGTCAGACCTCCCACAAACCTCACACACAGTTGGCTCTTCTTCATCTTCCTCCTCACCCTGCTTATTAACATCTTCCACTGGGATCTAGGACAAAATCAACATCCTTTACTTAGAGAATGAAATATTGCATAAATTTCAACCTAACTTCAGATTTCTATACAAGCAAACCACACATGAACCAACCTGGCTGATAAATATTTTTGCTCAGTAAAATTTGATTATGCTATTTGTAACTAACTTTTAAAATGAACTATATCCTGACTTTGGATAGATAGACTTGCTTTCCCCAAGATAGATTTGCTTTCCCCAAAATATTGTTACAAAAATACCTTTTTGTAGACAGTCCCTTCCAATGAATGTCTAGCCAGGATAATATGGAAAACATGGCGATCCACGGGGCAGGTATTGACATTCTGCAAAATATTTTAACATACCATTTAAATGACATAAATAACTTTACTACAGTGAAACAGGTAAAATATGAAATTAATATGACAGGTTTTTATCTTTCAGAACCAACAATTAAGTTTAATGAAAACATGCAATAATATTATCTGTAAATTATCACCATATGTGGTATCAAATATACATCACAGTTATAAATATGCATGTTTGAACGCAATGTTTAATGCATCATCAAGATAAATATTCCTTGCTGTTCATATTTAATTCATCTGTACCTTAGCCCATTCATTGATGCACTCGAGACAAAAGTTGTGGTCACAGGCCTCTGGTGTTCCCACATCTTGGTCCAGCAGTCTGTTCAGACACACTGGACAGCGCTCCGTCTCTCCGTCACTGCCAGCATCACTATCCTCTCCTGCACCTAATACAAGGCTTGAGTCTTCTTTGTCATTCTCTATTTCATCATCTTCATCCTCTTCTTCTTCTTCTTCATCATCTCCTACTTCTTCTTCATCTTCGCCATCCTCATCTGTTTCCCACTCTTCTGTATGAAAAAACAGTGTTTCTTAAAACCTAACATCAAAAAGTGGCAGAACAAAAAAGCCAAAAGTTTGGTAAATTCTGACTAAATAGATGTTGAAGAGTAGGTGCAACATACCACACCTAAACTCTATGACAACTTGCCCAGTCTATGGAAACGGTAATACTGTATATCATCACTTTAAGCCTTCTTTTTGCCTACCTTCACCTTCTTCCTCTTCCTCCTCATCTTCTTCTTCTTCTTCACTTCCTTCCTCTTCACTGCCACTTTCACTCTCATCCTCACTGTTGTCCTCCTCATCTCCACCTTCATCCTGGAGATCTCCATCTTCATCTAACTCTTCACCTGAATGTAAATGAAATCATCCCCCTTTGAAATCTGCAGCACCCATAGTAGCCCAAAATCAAGCTATAGGAATTATTAACTAGTTTAGTTATTTTTCTAAAATAAATTGTGTTGTGTGCAATTTTTCTTTTAAATTAATCCACATTTAAACATTCAAAGTCATTAAAGTTACTCCACATTAAAGACAATCAGTTATGTCAATTACTACACATTAAACCAAAGTCATTTCAGTTACTCTATGTTAAAACAATCAGTCTGCAAAGATTGCTTTGGCAATTTGAAAACCACATTTACTCTGCACTAAACAAGTATGCTTTATTTATGTGCAGGGACCACAAAATTTAAATCTCATGTCTGCAATATTGTGGTATCTTACCAGGCAGCAGTCAAGACCAGAACATAAAAGAAATGTTTTCAAACATCCCTCTGTTTATCTACCACTCGCATGTTTGCATGGAAAGAGTAGCTTGCTATGAGTGTATTGGGTTTTTTTTTAACCTTCTCTATGCAATTATAAAATACTGCAGTATCACTACGAAATGACTTAGCACAAAGTGTTTACCACATGTGTATTTAGTCACAGAACAGAGATTGATATTGCATCTTGTTTTACATAAAAAACACACCCATCTATATGCTAAACAAAACACTGTCTCAAGACACAAAATACTGTAAATCACTGTTTACAAAATTGTTTCCTATATTACAGGAAAAATATATTTTTATATTTCTATGTTATGAAAAGTTATGAAAATTATCCATACATGCTAATAAAAAGAGATTCTTCATTATCAGTCAGCACAGTAACTGAATTTTCTAGTTAGCTACATATCCAACAGCCAGTCATCACAACAATTATCTCTACAGGTCTAAAAATCCTCCATGCTTTTTACAACATGGCATTCAGTATCGTAAACCAATATGTGTTGCTTTAGAGTTATGAAAACTACTCCCTACCAGGCAGCAGAGCATTTAGTGCTCAACCTTAACACCTGTTCCTGCAATATCACTCCAGGTAAACCAGGTGTACAGTTACTAACATCTAGTTAAAAAATCTAACATTAGACCTGACAGTATCAATAAGCATTAATGTGTTCCACCTTATTTCCTTCCACACTTCCCATTGACCTGTTACTCAAAATACTTGAATCTAAAGTTCACAGGTATAATTAACAGGAGAAGTTCTCGTCTTGGTCTCACCCATTTCCTAGTTACTAATGCAGAAAGTTCAGGCATAGATTTCTTGAGTAGAATTCCTTATCTCATAATCTGAGTTGAAATGCTTTTAATCTCACCTGTTTGTGAGATCAAATTCTCGTTTGTATTCATCAAACAGGTGAGGATACAGCCTACACTTGAGCATTATCCAGTATTTTTAAAAACCAACACATTTATTATAAGGATTCGATGCTATAAGATTTTAATGCAAAAGCTTTTGTGAAACCTGATATATAGAGCATCTTTATGAAGGTGACATTTTGTAGTTTATGTATCACAGCTGCTTTGGATATACATAGAAATACACAAAATATTTATCTAAATCAGAAAGCTAACTTAAGGACTTCAGACATCTTCACAGTTATATTTATACAAGAAATCATACACATCCATCCAAGCTTATATATTGAAGTCATTCAGGTCATGGTCCTTTGGTAAAAATCCTATGCAACATGTTTGAATCTGACCCATCACACATTTAGAGACAAGACCTTCATCCTGTGCTGGCTAACCATATGGTCAACTTATGTCTCCTAGTTTCTTATCAATCCACATGAAACTACCTTTTGGACATAAAAGACATTTTATCTGTAAAATCCTTTAGCCGAAATTAGCTTTGCCAGATAAACCTGGGATAATCTTACCAATAATTTTCATATCAAAATCAATTTCATTACCTCCTTCATCCATCATTCTGGCAGCTTTGGTGTCCAAAACAGTGGTGTCATCTTCCAGGCATCTTTTGTGCGCTCCAATCTGACCAGGGTCTGGATCTGACAGAGAGTCCTCAGCATGAGGCTCTTCAATAGATCCACTATCACTGGACATATTCCTATGGTGCTGGAAAAATAGTTGACAAAAGCAAATGTATGTCCAGTTATACCTTCTTTTATGAGTACGCAAATTAAACATTTAAATACTCCAAATAAAATTATCAATCTAAACTAAGAGGAATACTTTCAGCTGAAAACCAGAAATCATACAATCAACCAAGCTCATGTAAAATGAAAATCATTCAGCCCCAGATTTATTCAAATTTCTTCCTTAGATTAACTGAAATCTGTATATCATAAAATTATACGGTTACTAAATGGTTAGGCTAAGTACATAGAAAAAACAACGTAACATTCATTTTTGCTATTGTATCATGCAATGCACTGTTTACCAGTACCTTTAGGTTCATCTATGAAATGAGACAATCAAATATATGAATCCCAAGTTGAAACAAGTAGCAAAAGTTCAATTGCAAAACAAGTGCAATACCAGCTGGTCTCTGTCCAGCATCATACAAAATATGAGCTTGATTACACAGCTTTTAATCAAGCCAAATGCTTCTGTCAGCATTTCTACGAAAGCTCATCTGTCACACAAGAGACACTGTAAAACATTTAATAGTGCAAGATTCCCACATATAATTACAATCAGGTCCATCGTGTGATTCTCATATAACCAAGTGTAGGCGCTGTGGTAGCTATAACTTTTACCCTTACCATATAACAACACTTTTTTTTTAATTTCAAGGAAGGTGGCACTGATGCCTGATGGCGAAATTCATTGAGTCAATTACCCGTTCTAAGATATACATTTTCAAATGAAGAAACATGCGACCAGTTCTATATCTAAAACGCTCGCTTGTAGTTTGTAGTATATCCTGTAAATTATCTCAGTGAGCAAATGAAATGAAAACAGGTCAAGAGGTTTCAGGCGTGAACAGTGTGACTGATACAGTGATGGCTTGACCAGTCCAAAAAAATTCTTGGAAGCAGCAATAAAATATAAATACCGTCTACACTAAACCATAAGATCTACATGTAGCTATATGTATGGTTTATGATAAAAGCGAACCTTGTACCTATCTCACAGATATCACAGTATATTTAAGAATTATTCACAAACATAGAAATTCTTTTTTACCTCTTAGATATCTCGCTTCAGAATTGGCAGACATGTTGTGTAAAATACCCGGATGCTACGGGAAGTGAAATCAGCGTGCGCCAAATTCGATAACTAGGTCAAATCAGGTCATGTCTTCTTAGAAGAATGTGCTTTGTGCATAGTTTATAAGCGTTTCAATATACAATCTGCCGTTAGGTTTCAGTAATTTTGATAAAATACCTGCACACTTCGATATAACGAAACGGGTCAACTTGCCGGGGAAGGGGGAGTTTACAATTTAAAGTCACATGACTGCTCACATGACAAACATTGGTCAAGATGGCAGAATATTTGGACCGGCTGTTTCAGTAAGTTTCACAATGAAGATTGCTTTTGTGAAAAACAGTCGCTATTATTATTACACGCACTGAACACATAAAACACATTAAATGTTCAGCGGAAAAAGGGGGTCCTGTAGGACTTATTTAGTTTACTTTCAGCATTCTTTGGGGGTCTACTGTACTTGTATCACAGACAGCTTCACAGCTTGCAAATACTTCAGTACAAGACAAGGCCGTAATCTGAGTAGATTCGAATATACTGGTCAGTTGTCTACATATCTGTTGCAGTTTGCCTCTGATTACAGCCTTCTTTGTGTGTAAGGCCGAGAACTAAGGCAAACCATTACTAAGCTTTAATGAAAGATTGAGATGTAATTCTGATTTACTCTGAGGTTTAAGGATACTTTCAAACAGTGATTAGTCCAAAATGGTTGCTGAATACATAACTCTAGTAGCCGTAAAAGTAAAAACACATGTATTGGTGTATGTGTCATATAAAATCACTTGTAAAAATACACTAATGAATCATAAGTCAGATAAATAATTAAATTCATACGCAAAGATTAGTATTTTAAAACTTAGATATGTAATTCATCTTTGAATGCACCTCACTGCCATAGTATTAACATAAACTTGAGTTTAAGCAGTAAAAGTAGTATGTAATTAATATACATTAATTATATATCCTTTTTATATGAAGATATATTGATGGACATGAGGAGGAATACGTGAAACGGTTGGCAGATGCTGTGGCAATCCAGAGTGTTTCAGCATGGCCAGAGAAAAGAGGTGAAATCAAGAAACAGGTGGAGGCAGTGGCAGAGGTAACTTAGTATATATTTATTGAGACTGTACATTAATATGCATATACATACAATACTGGAATATCATATATCCCTATTTCCAGTTGGTATGTGTTCAGAGTTTAATGTTATTTTTTATCTTTTCTCAGAAGGCTTTTTATGATAATTTGTTTTAATTATTTATGATACAAATATACAGATATATACATTAATACACACATTAATACACACATTAAAATTGTTTCAGTTTTGGTATTCATATTTGATTAGATTGAAAACAGACAAAAGACCTGCTGATGCTGCTGTTTTTTTTTTCATTATAAACTGTGTAAATTTAACTATTTCCCACAGGAAATCAAGAAGCTTGGTGGCACTGTGGAGCTTGCAGACATAGGCAAACAGACTTTACCTGACGGCACTGTTCTCCCCCTCCCACCTGTGATTTTGGGAAATTTGGGTGCTGATCCCAAGAAGAAAACTGTCCTAGTGTATGGCCACTTGGATGTGCAGCCAGCCATGAAGGAAGATGGTTGGGATACAGACCCCTTTGTCCTCACTGAGAAAAATGGCCAACTGTTTGGCAGAGGTTCAACTGATGATAAGGTGTGCATGATGTTTACCAAAGTTTTTTTTAGTAAAGGTTTGACTGCTGATGAACCATGATAAAGATTTGTTTTTAATGATAATTTAAATAAGAATTAGGACAAATAATTAAGTTCAACATTTACAGTGTAAATTTAATAGAATAAGAAATGTAAAAGTGACTTAATAATATGCTGCTCATGCACTTTCAGTTTGTATTGCAAATATAAAGGAAAACATTATTTTTTAAAATTTAAATGTTTTTACTCCTCAGGGTCCTGTTTTGGATTGGTTGAATTGTATAGAAGCCTACCAAAAGATTGGTCAAGAAATTCCAGTCAATATTAAGGTCAATAATTTTTTGGCTCTTGTATGAACGTACTATTTGTTGTTTAACAAATGTTGTTATGCAGGTTTACTCTAAAACTCTCAAACTCTCAAAGATGCAATTTTTGTGGAAGTCTCAAAGTTGAAATTAGCCTGTAAGATGGTAGTTCATAAGTCCATGGGTTGATAGGTTTTGAACTAATAATTTTTTATGTATATTAAAACACTGTATGTCAAGTGGTAGTTTTGGAACTGTAAATATTGTATTCTAGCACAAGTATATTGGACTTTTTAGTTTTAAAAGAACAAATCGATTTGCAAACAACCTCTCAGAATGCAACCTGTTTATAACCCTGGGTCACTCCGTATTTCTACAGTTAATAAGTATCAAAGTTGAAAGAACAAACTGGATACACATATCCTGCATACTATATATGAGATGGAAAATATTTCGGGAGAGTTTGTTTACTTATTGTGTATGTTTGAGCTGTTCAAACTATTCTGTTTTCAGTTTTGCTTTGAAGGCATGGAGGAGTCAGGGTCTGAAGGTTTAGATGACCTGCTGTATGCAAGGAAAGATTCCTTCCTGAAGGTAAATGCCCTTTTAATTATTTTATCGCACTGTATGTCTTGGATGTGTTTGGTATGGGTATGCAGGTAGCTATTCAACAAACTACTTTGTGTATTATTGGAGCCTGAATATGATTTTTACACAATGATGTGCAGTACTAATTAATTATTAATTCTTACATAATAAGATGATTGATTAATCTGTCTTGTGTACAGATTTATTGTCACAGATTTAACGTAAGTTGTAGCGAATGACGATAACAAAATCAGTGGAGGAAGAGATTTATTGTGCACGTGTCTAGACGACGACACATACAAAAAATCTGTTCCTCTGCTGATTTGTTATCGTCATTTGCTACAGTGAAATAATAATGCTGCCTCTATGTATTCGCAATAATCACAGGCCTGTCCAAGCCATGTATGTCTATACATGGTGACACTTTTCATGCTACTGAACACCAATCATCCGCAACACATCCATCAGAGGGTGCCACTCACTCCAAGATGAGACAGCACAAAGTAAAGCACAAAACAAACAAAAAAAAATATTGCCGAAGACGTTGTCAGCAAAATAAGTAATGACTGGGGGTAAAATAAGCGCAACCTGGATTGGTCGAGTGAAGAACTTTCTATATCTGGCATTTTCTTTTTCATTTTGTATGTATTGTTATGTGTATTGTGTGGAAGGATGGAAGAGATCCATCAGAAACAAACACAGAGCAAGAAGTTAGAAATTCTTAAGTTATAATTTTCTGTTTACTTTTAACTTCGGTGAGAATGGTAGGGCACTAGCTTTAATGAATTTTTTCTTGATTTAGGATGTAGACTATGTGTGCATATCAGACAACTATTGGCTTGGCAAGAAGAAACCGTGCATAACATATGGACTCAGGTATAGAATTAAGTCTAATTGTAGCTTAATCAATGTTCACTATTTATAGTAATTCACTCAAGCTTTAATCTCGTCAGTTCTGAAGTCAAAAATAGCTAGACTTACATTATAAAAGATTGTTGAACTGCAGTGTACCTGCTATAGTATTAGTGATGATGATGCTTATTATTGTTGTTGTTGTTGTTGTATGAGCTAGTTTTTAAAAAAGATGTGAAGATACAGTGTTTCGTAGAAATAAACATGTGTGAATCATAAAAAAAAACATCAAAATGAAGAGATTATCTGCAGTTCACCCCACATTGACATGTGTCATTCTTTCACCTTGTTTCTACATTTCAGGGGTATTGCCTATTTCTTTGTTGAGGTGCAATGTGCCAGCAAAGATTTACACTCTGGGGTATTTGGAGGCACTGTGTAAGTCATTACAACTGTCAGAGTGAAGGGGGAGTTTATAGAATTTTATCTCATTTTGAAAAAATTATATTATTTATGAGATGTAACATGTTAATTTTTCTTTCGAAGTTGGTCCACCACTTTACTTTCAATTTGAGTACAAACACCTTCAATCTACTTGAAGAATGATATCTGACCCCTAAGGGAATTACAGGCAAATCAAGTGGCTAAGTTGAAAGATAACCCTCAAAGAAAACCACTGGAACTGTTCATATAACAAAATTGAAAGTTAAGCCTTTAGTACACCAGTGTCTGTATCTCTCCAGACATGAGGCCATGGTGGACCTGGTGTCCCTGTTGAACAGCCTGGTGGATGGCAAGGGTAACATCCTGGTACCTGGCGTCATGGATACAGTGGCCCCACTCACAGATGAGGAGAAACAGCTCTACAAACCTATTGAGTTTGATATGGTAATACCTATCTTCGGTTTCACATTATGTGCTATTTCTATCCTACCTGTTTTACACTGTTTTCTGGATAAGTTTAAATTTTCCTTAAATATGGCTTTTTGCCATTGTACTGGTGTTAGTTTTTGAAATGATAAAAGTTTCCATGAAAATTTAATGTTAATGTTGATTACACCCACTGTTGTGATTTTATTGAATTAAGATATCTTTGACAAAAAATGTTATTATATCTTCTATTTCAGCTGGTTTTAATGGTGCAACATTTACACTGACAGGCAATATACAAGATAGAGGATGTTGCAATTATCATGTGTTGACTGGTTAATAAATGTATTTTTATTGTAACATGCGCATTTTTTCATCATTGAATGTGTTAGGTGAGACTACCTCCAAATCATCTTTTTTACTCAACTTCATTGCGTTTTATATTTTTGTGTTTAACTTTACCTTTGATGTTCTGTTCTGTTATGTACTGTATATTAGGAGGACTATCGTCAAGATCTTGGAGCAGAAAAACTAATCCATGATACTAAAGAGGAAGTTTTGATGCATAGATGGAGATACCCTTCACTCTCAATACATGGTTTGTAGACTCTACACATGAGCTGAAAGTAAATTTTCCTGTTTCATTGTGAAAAATTACCAAGAAGCATTTTAGCTGCACATGTGGCCACTTAAATGGATTTCTAGATATCGTGATTGCTTATATTTTTTAGCTATAAATAACAGTCAAAACTGTAATTATTTTACACTGTAGCAAAGTATACATGTATGTGTATTTTCAATTTTGCCTCATGCATGACAAAAACAGCAAGAGGGGTCTGGTTTGTTTACCTGTATCATACTGACATGAAAGGCCATATATGTCCGTAAACATCAATTTTGTTAAATTTAGATATCCGTCTAGAGCATAAAAGGAGTAGAAGTTATACACATCGTGCCAAATCCTGAACTTCAGAAAACTTATTGCAGTCATTTTGTGGCACATTCCTATCAACAATGAGCTGGCTATTGATGGCCTGCCATTTTTTTTATGTTCTCCTGTTTACAGTATTCTGTCTGAACCTGAGAGAACATAGGCAAACATTAAAGAGCCATTCAGATATATATACGTACTCTGCCACCCCACAGGGTTAAGTTGAAAGGTCACTTTGGAATGCTCTCCAAGGGTGGTTGATTTAGATAAAAAGCTGTGGTGGAGGTAGATTGTTTTACCCTCCTGGGTACCCTCTTCAGTTTTTGTGGGAATGCTTCCTGAATCTCGCTAGGCTCATTTCCACCTGTCTTCTATTTTCCCTACCTGTTTACACAGTGTGTTGCACATGGCCAGTAATCTTCAAGCACAGAATATTTTAAAAATCAATAAAATTTTAATTACATTTAACATTGCTTACTCTACATTTGAACAATGAATGACTATATACTATTGCCGACTTCTGTACAAGTGGTTGTGTAATTGTAGGTATTGAAGGAGCTTTCAGTGACGGTGGAGCCAAAACTGTGATTCCAAGAAAAGTGATAGGAAAGTTTTCTATCCGTCTAGTACCTAACCAGGAGCCGAAAGCCATTGAGAAACTGGTGGTGGCCCACCTGGAGAAAATTCATAAAGAGAGGGGCAGTCCAAACAAACTGAAGTAAGAAATAGTGAAATTTGTAAAGATATTTCAATTTAGATATTTTATAGCATATTTCCAAAAAGAGTACTGACTTTTTAGTGCACATTGTGCTCTGTGTTGATTGATATTGAAATGTATTTTTAAAAGATAAATTGAAAGCAATTGAAATATTTGTCTTTTTGACAACTTACAACAAAAGAACAAGAAGGTCTTGTCTTTTCACGTGCGTTATATATTTTTCCAGTGCCTTTATGTTCCATGGTGGCAAACCTTGGATGAGTGAATGTGACCACCCACACTATGTAGCTGGAAGGAAGGCCATGAAGACAGGTGAGGCCCCTTTTGCATACATTAATTTCTGAAGATACCTTCTCAGAAATGTTCATTGATTGTGTTTAATCTTAAATGCTGTTATTATTATTATTATTATTATTATTATTATTATTATTATTATTATTATTATTTATAATAATTTAATGGTGTTATGGGATTTCTTATCTTAACATACTTTATTCTAACACATAATGATCCATACTTGGTGTTAGGTCTCAGGATGCATTTGGCATTGGTTAGTCCTTGAATCTTTACAACGAAAGTTCCAGAATGATTTATATATATATTGCTGATTCTAATTCTACTGGATGACTAAAAAATTCACTCATTTATTCTAAGGTGTTTAATTAACATTTTAATATAATACAGATACATACAAAGTCTAGTAATTTAACTGAGGACAGCTTATGTTGTAAATATTCTTGAAATATGGGAGAATTATCAGAATACCTGCACAGGTATGGCTGAGAGATTAAAATTATGATGATGAAAAAGGGCACCTGCCACCAGTAACTTGATTTTTTCAGACGGTGTAAAATATAATTGTGTCACTTCCTTATTTTAACTTCAGTTTATGGCCAGGAACCAGACATGACTAGGGAGGGTGGCAGTATTCCAGTGACCTTGACCTTTCAGGAAACTACAGGAAAAAATGTGATGTTACTCCCAGTTGGCTCCTGTGATGACGGGGCACACTCTCAGAATGAGAAAATAAACAGAAGCAATTATATCAATGGGGTATGTGTAGCATGAATGGGGGTGATTACTTGTTTCGTTGCAAAAAAAAAATAGAAAATATATTTGATTTTTGAAATATGTCAATGTTATGAATGAAAGAATGTATGAAGATACAACATAACATGCATTTTACAAGTGTAATTTGCACTTAGTGATTCAAGTATTTTTTAATGAAAGTTAGAAGAATGTTTTTCTACCTTGAAAAATGGAAAGTAAAAGATAATTTGAATGGACCTTTGAGTAAGCAGCGTGTTATTTGACATTTACTTACAGATCAAATTGATGGGAGCATATTTGTATGAGCTGGGGAAGCTGTAAATGGGCCCATGAAGTCGAAAAACTAACAAGACCAGTAAATCCTGCAGATGCCATGTATCCACGTATTTGAAGTTTAGGATCAAAGTTTTCTCTGGGCCCAATGTTGTGACAGTTTTTCATTTCAAATGATCTTGAAATCATATTTCAAAAGTCTCAACTGAGTAAAAGACTACAAATGTTATTAAAGCTTACCTCATAGAATATTGTTTATTGCAAATAAGAATTATACGTAATAAATTCTTTTATTTTCCATATATTTGGGAACAAGTTTTTTTTCCATCTACAAGTAGGTGTATCTATTGTTCTTTACATATCACATCAAAGACAGGACCCGGGAGATTTTACAGAACCAAATTGTTAATCCTAATTTGATATATGTATGAGCTGAAGTTTTTTCGGTTTTTTAAGATGATAAGCTCCTGGTTCATCAAGTATTACAAATCTGGATACAACTGACATCTAATATGTACCTTTGCCAATTATATCATTGACACACCTTTATATGCCAACTTACAGCTCTTTTACCTTTAATACAATACAGTTTTGTTTTCATGTCACGGATTGATTGTGCCATGAATGGATCTAGAAATTCTTGGACACCTGATATTTATAGATGTTATTATCGAATGGCCATTATTGGTGCATACTTGTTGGTTTTTTCTCGGAGAAATAACACTACAACAAATCCATGCAAATTTAAATGTTTATTATTAGCATGGGAAGATACATTATATCCTGAATGCAATAAAGTTTTAAAGATATTGTCTTTGAATCTTCATTTAACAATTATTTTTAAAATGCTTGAAATTTTTTAAAAGGCCTCCTTTGCAAATCCAATGAACATTCCTTAGAACCAAAGTCTACTTATTTATATGCACATTTACTTTTGTTAAGCATTTATTCTAGGTTTTGACAAACACAAATCTATACTAAAGCTGTATTTTGATTTTTCATAGAATTTTTTCTTTGAATGACACCTGTGCTGATCAACAAGACTATTACATACACTGTTGACTCTACGAATGTAACATGAATCACATTTATACACAAGAATCTGCATGATTTACGCAAAAACAATCTAACATACTGGATGTAAGAGTGAAATGGAATCTCCAACTCTTTTCTGTTTCTTTTTCTCTTGCTGAATAGTTGCAAATTTCTTGAACACAGCAAGAACTGTTCATGAATAAGTAAAGCTTTGACATCTTACAGTAGCAAAAAGCGAAACAATTTACAAAAATGAGATCATTCATCATGCAAAAAACAAAACTTTTACCCTTTAATGCTTATCATTTGGCATTTCTGCAGAAATAAAAGCCTTTAAAGGCTCTGCATGTCTGCAATAATTGCAATATATGTGTAGCTCAAATTGTGCTTTATAATTTACATTGAAGAAAGACTTACATTACAAAACAATGTAAAAATGTAACAAATAAACATTCTTTAATGTTGCTTTAAAACCAAACAACACCGGAGTTTCCCCATGCAACTGACTGGACAGAAGAACAGAGCACAAAATTTTTTTTAAATCAATCAACACGCACAGATACATAGGCTCTAACAGAGATGATTTATATTGTTCACATCCAATGTCCTCAGTCTCATGTCTTCTGTTAAGTGTCAACCCTCCACGAAAAAATTTGTCACTTTTGGAGTCAGTAGTTTGATAAAAGAAGCTGGAAACATTGATCCAGAAACATTGGCATACTTGAAATAATTGTATGGAGTAGCGATAACTTCTAAAAGTGCAGACAGCAACTTTCGATCCTGAAAGATAATGGGAAATATATTAATCTTTTTATATCTTACCATTATTATTTTGATCATATAGGTGGCAATAAAAAAGGGAAAATGAGCTCAAAACTTAAAATAAGCATGAACTTTTAGTTGTAGTCTTATTTACAAAGCTAAACAATTGTGTTTCAATTAAAAGCATGCTATATATAAGATATTCCATATAAATTTTTCTGTCAGTTATTTAAAAAGCTTGCTTCCTCTAATTTTTTATATGGCCAAATTACCACAAAGTAAAAGAAATGGGGACAGGTCAAGAAACACTTGGATAAGAGAGTTGGAGACTGAAACCAAGAAATTTAAGCTGAATAAGAACCAACTAGAGATGAGAGCCCAGAACAGGGGTGTATGATGGCGTCTTGTAGGTGGCTTATGTTCAAAGAGGGGCCACGGGTAGAAGTAAGTCTACATACTTTTAGTACTTCTCTGTGCTGGTGAGAGCTGTACAGTCTCCCATCTCTCACTATGTCTTCTATCAAGTCTTGATATTCTTCTGAAAGAAAATGCAGTAGTTACTCATTTCTCAACAAAACAAACATTAACTACACAATCATCCCTGAAAACACAACATATCCATCAGGATCTTAAAATTTGGTAGATAAGAATATCATGTCAGTATAATAAGAAATAGAATGAAGATACTTCACCATGAAATGTTTGATGTCATTTATACAAGGGAAATAACAAATGGAAGAGGGTGGAAGCCTGTCTACATACCATCATATGTGACATATGGAATCCAGAAGCCTTTCTGTGTATTCCTGTTATCACTCTTAAAATGGATCCAAAGTTTTCGGGATCGCGCTGTGAAGGCGACGGGTCTCTCCATGGACTCGCATGTCTCAAACGTCACCAAGGAGTATGGAGATTCTGAAACAAGATTGCCCCATTTCATCTTTTATGAGTTATTGTTGGTTGGTAGCCAGGATACAAGACCACAGGTTATAATGTGCCACTAAACTGAACAAGAATGTGCGTGAGATAATACATACACTATCACCCGAGTGATATATGCCAGAACACCCCAACCATCAGCAAGAGATGATCAAGGTATGTATTGTGAGAGGGTGCCAGTGTGTTATAATGTTTCAGAAACACTGAAATCTTCTTTGCCAAATAGGCCCTGTGATGAAAACCCATTCAGATTTTGATGAAAACCATTCTGTAAAATTTTTCCAAACAGGCAGACTAACTTCTGTTCTTGACAAGTTGGACAACCAGATGGCAGCACATGTCCTTCACCTCACCTGACTTCCTCATCACCAACTTGTCACCGCAGTGATCTTGTCCTGACAGGAACAACTCAGGGACAACCACCAGAATTCTTCTTCCTTGCTCGGGGACAATAGTCCAAGTGCACTCCACGTTATTGGGGTAGTTGCCAGGGTAATTTGGGGTCTGTATATAACCCTGGTGGAGACCTATGTGACCCCCACATTTCATGTCTGAAATATGAGTAATTTTGTGTAAAGAGTTTCAGTATCTTTCATCATTATGGCATTATTCCTTAAAAGAAAGTTGAATTTTTAATAGATCCAAAGCAACAGCATCTAAATAGTAATGTTAGAAATTTGTATTTCTCGATATCAGGTACATACCCCAGTACTTAAAGAATTGCATGCTCATACTGTACCTTTGCACTCTGAGCTGTCCACTGCCCCCTGGTGGTCAGTGCTGGTGTCTCCAGGACAGTCCATACAGTAGTTCTGGCCGTAGGCAGGCTGGTACGTCCCCTTAGGACAGTGGACACACCTCTCCTGGCTGAGGTCATAATGCTGGCCAGGGGGACACTTGGCTGGGAATAGAAGATGGGGAAGATGAAAGATATAATATGGTATTATTATTTTATGTCTTTAAAATCGTTGCCCAAGGTCCCCAGAAACCCACCTCTGTCCTACCTGTTGGAAGACTTGTGTGTGTGTGTTTGTGTGTGCATGTGTGCGCACGCACTCACATGGTTTCAGGCCATCATTTACTGTGATATGTATTACAAAGAGATGACCATATTACTACAAAGCATCCCTCTTCAAAAAACTTTTTTGTCCTCCAACTGACCTTTCACGACACAATCCTGAAACCCAGTGGACGCCACACCAGTGGTGGCCACTCCCTGCCCACATGACAGGCACTGGGTGCGGCCGTAGTCCGGCTGGTATGTACCACTGGGGCACGGTGCACACGGCTCAAAACCATCCGAGGAGAAATAGCCCCTCCCGCACTGACCTGCAGAATGAAACATATTCAGGTTCAAAATTAGGTAATTGATCAAAACTGTTAAATGTCATTTTCAAAAAGATAATAGCTACTTTTCTAATTTAGATTTTAAAAATATGGTTTGAAAAGATTAGGCAGCTATATCAACTAACAAATGCAGCAAGGTGAAGTTGAAAGCTATTTTCACTGTTGTCTGCCATTTTGTTTAGTCCAACCAAAATTACAACAAAACGAACAGCAATCATATTATGATGATAAAAGATACAAATTTAAATAAAAAACACATATCAGCAATAATGATACATAGCTTGTGTTTTGAAACAACATTTGTAGTAATTGATGCATTGACAAGCATGCAATATCTTCTACTGAACAAACATACAAACACGTACTTTTAATATTTCAAGCAATAAAAGTCAGTTCACTGAAATGTAAAAGTACATTCAATGCAGGCCAGACTGTGCAATCACCCACTTAACTGAAAAATAAAAAGCACACACAGCTGCTGCAAGTGTTGTCCTTGGCACCAGACTACACTGTACACTACAAAGAAGTCACAACTCACTTATTTCAGTTTAAGTTGCTCATAAAAACACTTTCTCACATGATCCTCAATAGTAATTGGGAATTTATAAATCAACTTCCACAGGTATTGCTGAAAGAACATTGTCTTAGGAAATACAGTGACCCCTGTGGACTTCAGGTGTCAAACCCAGGTGTTACCCTCAAGTGTGACCTTCAAGTGTGACCTTCAGGTGTGAACCTTGATATGACCCCAGGTGTTACCCCCAGGCATGACTCCCCATGCATGACCCCCCCCCCCTCCAATGTGTGACCCCCAGGTCTGACCTCAAGGTGCAACTACTGTATGAATTGAGGGTTTATTTTTCCAGTGAATTTTTATAAGGTACTACACAATTAAGTACATTACTGTCAGTAGTCATATGGCAGAACTGAATTATCTGACATATTTATACAGATACTGTATGCAGTATGTATTATAACACAAAAATACAGTACCGCACATGAAAAAGTTTACAAAAAGTTCACCCATAAATTTTTAATCAAAAACATTGTTCTTATATTTAAAACTTCATCACACAAATGTCCATACCTCAGGCTCACACTGTATAGTTTTTCTATAACATCATAATTTATGACATTAATGCTATGTTAGGCAACCTTACCCCCACATTCAGTGATATTCCTGGCTCCGGCCACTCCTTTCCCTAGGGACTGATCTGGACACGCCTGACATGACAGCTGTCCCTCCTGGTCCTGGTACGTCCCCTGGGCACACGGCACGCACTGCCCACTGCTCACATGGAAGTACGTCCCTATGCTACAGGCCACTGAATCAACAGAATTCATGGCATGAATAAGGCACGTTCACAATGAATGTATTTCACTAGTTAGCGAGCACTAATTCCACGGGTGTCTCTTTATTGCTGAATGCAGATTACCAGACTAACACTCCTCCTCCTGGCGTTGAGCAGAGTAAAGAAAAGCTGGTGATTATATGGGTATGTTGGAAACAAGAGGAGGTGTGTTAATCTGTTAATTTGATTTGCATTCAGAAAGTGTTCCCATGGAGTTAGCGCCCATTAGTTATGTGGACAAAATTCACTGTGAACGGTCCCTTATTCTGGTTTAAAAATTTCAGGATAAATTAGAGTGCTTTAGTACTGTCTTAGCTTAACCTGATTTTAAACTAACCCAAGGAGGTACGCAATTATAATTACATCTGGGTCTTTGTCAAAAAAGCTCATGTTATCCCTCCATCAACCTACCTGATGGCTTTACTCAGGCTGGGGTGGAGTTGGGTGGGGGTGGATGGGGGTTATATAGTGGTTGGGAGCCACCAAGTAATTCCTTATTCCAAAATGTTTTTTATTAATATGATTCCAAAATTTATGAAATTCATGAACCACGATACTTTTTAGATTAAAATAAATCTAAAAAAATTCTTTAAAAAATATTGTTCATGTTGATGAAGTATGAATACTCATTATTGAAGTAATGAATATTTAAGGTTATATCTTTATGGGCTACTTCTTCAGTAACTGAGGCAAGTAATGATAAACTGAATTCTTTCTATCTGTTGGACATCAGCACTAGAAAATACATCACTCTTCTTTTTATATTATAAGTATGGGTTACACATAAGAAAGGAGAGATCTTGTATAATTTAGTATAATTCAACATCATAAGTATAGAATTATCATTTGCACTGCATTATCAAACTATTTATAACCATAAGCTTTCACATAGCAATTAAGCTGGAAATGGCTTTAATGGCTTCAATCATCAGATATTTATCAAGATCAAAAAATATCACCACTTATCAGCCCATAATCTTAAAGCAAATCTAAATCATAAACAACATCCACAATTAACACTGGTATATTGACTTTGTTTAAAAAATTACCATCTGAAAATGCAAGAGAACTTTAAGATATTTAAGTATTGCCTTGTTAATGGAAATTCCCCCAAAGCCTCATTTCATTTCACATTCTGTAAGCGTATGATGAACAGTTGCAGAAAAATAGGAATTACCCCAAAGTATACCAGATATATATAGCAAGTCACCCGCAACAGAATATCATATGTTCATGCAGCCCCAGGGTCAGTCCAATTAATTCATGATTGCCTACACCACAGCATTCAAGTCTTAATATCAGCCCATACATGTCCTACACACCACTTTTCTTTTTTTTTCTTTGTTTATCTCAAAAAAAAATTGCACACCAGCAGTAAATATTAGCAAAGGTTGTAATACATCAAACAAAAAGCAGATACTGTTGCTCTTTATGCACCATGCTTGGTATTTCTGGATGGAGTTGCTCATCTTTTGTACAGTTAGATTTTGTGTTTTTTTTTCAAGTCAACTGAAAGATTTCATTTTCAGAATGTTGTGTCAGATAATAATAAGATTTTGGCTACTTAATTTTAACAATGATATAAGTCAAGAATATTTCATGTGAATATTTAACAGCTGCCATCTAAAACATATTTTAGAGACACCATCATCATCTATTAGTAATAAGCAGCTTGTTAGTGTCAACATCATCCACGCTCAGTCCCTGCCAAAAAAAGCGGTGCTGCAAAGCATATTGTGATCATAGCCAATCTTTTCAATACACTGATTGGTTTGCATGGTTTCCATGGTAACCTACCACATGACTCTCCAACAAACACCTGTCCCAGAGAACAATCATGAAAGTTAGGCAGGACCGACCCTGGAGCCGTAAACGAATTGCGTTCTACTTCCCATTCATCCCGTCCTATTCTGAACGATAGGAATAAGGCATATATTATATCAAATTTTAAAGTAGTACATAAATGGATTCATCATACAGAGAGAGACTTACCACAGCTTTTCTTTACAAGAACATGGCCTATGGCACATACTGGCTGATAAGCCCCTGAAGGCTTAAAAGATTTCTTGACCACCTCCAGTGATTGACCTTCATATCTGGAGGGGGAAGAGAAGGAGGCGAAAACATCTTTTTCATTGAAAAGTAGAAATACAAAAATACAGAAAGCTATTTGATATACAGAATTAGACAGGCCACATTCTGAAAATACCAAAATGTAATTATAGTAATAGCATTTCATGTATACTTAGGGGCCATTCAGAGTAGAAAATCCAAGTATCAACTGGTCCAAGACTCAAATATGGCAGACCCTACATGAAAGGAAGACTGCATAATCCTGTAATTCTCTCTCTGACTCTAACAGCCTCTCTACGCATTGTCCCTGCAGGGGCACAGTAATTAAATCTCTGCTCCATTCCACCAGATGCATGGGGAGGTGTGTGAGAGGCAGAAAGACCATTACAGGATTAAGCTTCCTTTCATGTAGGGTCCGCCATATTTGAGCTTAGGACCAGTTGATACTCAGATCTTCTATTCTGAATGGTCCCTTAAAGTTTGCCTTAAGATTACACCACACTGAACATAGCTAATCATGTAAGTTGCTAGTTTGAGGTAGATTAGACATGGGCCTCATCTCAAACTTTCACAGATTTGTTCTGCTGCTAAGACATCCTCAGTGGAGTGCTATAGACCCATCTACACAGCACGATGTGGCGTTCCTCCATTTCTTTCAACCTCTGGGCCTAAACAGTTCTATACTGAACCTTGTTCTAAATAATCTACTCACCTAACAAAAAATCTTTCCTTGTTAATAGATTTTCTTAGGGCTCTGATGGTTTTTTTCAGTTTTCGTTCTGTTCTTTTCTTAACACAGTGCACATCACAACGGTCTGAAAAAAATAGTATTCATTTCTTTCTTGAAACTCAGAATATTGGACAAAAATCTTAACTATTTAAACCTTATCTATTTAAAACATACATTAACAGAGCTAAAACCTTTTATATTTGTAAAATATTCCTGCAAAGCCATAAAATTCTTAACTTTTAAAAAAGAAAACATCAAAGAAGGCTTTCAACAAAAACATATGCTTCTCTTTCCTACAAAATTCTTAAATAAATGCTCACCTGTGACTGCCTCGGGTGACATTTGTATTTCAAATACTGCTGTGATAATAGAGTCATCTTTGCCAGCTAGGTTTCTAAACTGCCGTCTCTGTGCTCCACACTTCAAGTTCACGTAATTCACCTGGCACTCCTGAGAGCACTTGAATCGCCCTTGATCAGGGAGCGAAAATGAACCATCTGAAAAAGAGGTAATTTGGCACTGGGTACATTAAATGTGTCCTTAATGAGAGAGAGGTGTATGTTGAAAATGACATCACTTTCCCAAAAGTTATTTTTTATAGAAACTTTAATATTTATGGAGACTAATTAACATTACCCAGTATAGCACATTTCCACAGGTTAACATGTTTATATATTTTATTATTTATTATATTTATTAATGCATATTTATCATATTATATATTAATATATCATTTATTTACTATATATTTATAGATAAGGTATATTTATATTTTAAAAGACCTGCACCTTTATCAGTTCCAAAAAGATGCTGTCAAAATAAATCACATTTTCTTCCCACTTGCCAAAAACAAAAAAAAGTAGTAAGCTGCAAACACTAAGCAGTTGTTATTCAAACATTTCTAATGTGTTTTAACAGTAAAACAGACGTGTTGTATTTCCCTATCAGCTGTGCCCAATTTTACCTTAACATCTTAGTGTAGAAGGGAGGCCACAGGTTATCATAGCTTTAACTATGTTGTTCTTTAACTCAGCTTTGATAGACAGGAAGTGGATTTGGGATCTTAAGTAAAGAAACTTGCTGAAAACACTCACAAATGTGCTTTGAGTAGATGAAAAACAGTTTTAGTTTTTAACATTTTCTTAATGAGTAACAACTGCAGCTACTGGGACTTAGAGACAAATTAAACCAGCCTTTCCATTTAAAATTTTCTCTGATTTCACTTTCATTCAACTGGTTTGTCCATGTCACATATTCCATTTCAAAATTATAATTTGGTGATTAAGAAAGAATCCAGGCTACAAAGCTTTCCATCTAATCTGCTAATAGCCATTGAAAAGCTATCCCGTGGGGAAGAATTCAAGTGGGTCGGCCATATTTGACCCTTGGACTAGCTAGTCCCCTATTCTGAATGGGGCCTTAAAGAATATTATTTCTTTCTTTTGTCGATTTCTCACCTTGAGCCTCGTTTGCAGCACCATTTCTTCTGACACGTTTTCTCAATTTGCATTTGTCAGTCTTGAAAAAAAATTTGGCCCTCTTCTTAAAACTGGGCAAGGTAACTGCCTCTGAAAGCATGAGAAACAAATAAATTTTTTTAAACATCTGTAACATATTACCATGATACATTAAAAATAACTTCAAATTTAAAGTGGTTTTCATCCCGCTGTGTGTATTTGTCCTCTTCCAAGAAATTGATATCAATCTCAGTCAAAAGTTGGTGCAACTATGAATTAATAGCAAGAACAAGTGTGCAAACAACACTGTAAGAAACTGTAGCATTCTGCAAAAGCAGGAGTTAAATTAAATTGACCGAGGATAAACCATAAAAAACATACATATACAGAGGGTTATGTGGATAAAATAGATTAAATAATAAAGATAGATCCGTCCTTACCAGAACAAGAGGGTAACGTCTGGTTATTTTTTTCGTGTGTCCACTGGAACTGAGTGCTCAGCCCACAGGTGTACGTATACTGCTGGTCATCAGAGGCTGTGAAATGTGCGTTACTATGGCAACTAAGGACACACACCTCATCATTACCCTGCTGGGTACAGGAGAGTAAAGCCTTAGCTGGAGGCTTCAGAGGGGTGCAACGGTCCAAAACTGTAAAGATCAATGAGATTTGTGAAAAGAAAAGTAAAACTGTGGACACTGGATAAAATCTTTTTTCTGTATAAAAATAGGGACATAAAAATATACATGAAGAATAAATTGAGTTAAATGTGTAAAAAACTAAAATGACAAAAAATATTTTGGTCTATGTAGTACTATGCTATGTAGCTACACTTAACATATTATTATATCATTTCAGAGACATTTACTGAGCTATAAAGTTGCTACTGTATCCCAAAATCACTATTTTCAATATGTTGCAGCACACTGTGCCTGATCATCACAATACCTTTTTGTCTTGGATACCATACCTACACAATCTTTCTTGTTGGGGTGGAGCTTATGACCAGAGTGGCAGTAACATTCAAAGCTTCCCATGGTGTTACGGCACCCATGATCACAGCCGCCATTATTGATGGAACATTCATTGATATCTATACAAATAAATAAATAAATAAATAAATAAATAAATAAATAAATAAATAAATAAATAAATAAATAAATGTCATTGTAAAAATATATGCTGAAAATTAAACAGTGAGTTTTTCAATAATTTTCAAAGATGGATAGAATTGTGTTAGACAGTTTACTTTGCAATTCTAGTTCTCTGCTTGTTTGCCATATTGTTCTTTAATTCAGTCAAATTAATTTTCAAATTGATAGGTCTAACAATTGACACTTCAAAGTAGCTTAATTGTTATCCATGAGCTAGTGCTTGTGAATATAAATGGCAAATAGTTGTATTTTAAGGTAACTTATTAAGCTGGGTAATAAAACAAAGAGCACATTAATTTCCACTCCCCCAATTTCATTTGTTCTATTCACCTCAGTGAACCTTACCTCCGCAGTGGCTGACACCATACTTTTCATACCCTCTGTGACAGGAGCAGACGTAACTCCCCGGGGTATTGATACAGGTGTGGTCACATGTAGTATTCAGAGCGCACTCATCCACATCTACAACAAACAAAGCCATATTTTCAAGACAGTCTTGTATTTTTCAACAAAAAACTTTCAAAAACAACTTAAATACCATGAAAGTGGCTTTTGGTGATCTCTATCTGGCACTATAGAACAGAATTATTTTTTACGTATCTGTCCTGTTCCTTCAGTGTCAGATTCCGGTATACCCAAAAATAAAAAATCACCATTTATATGACCAAGGTCCATAGATGGTGGATAGAAATATTAAGTAAAGAATGCTTCTATTCTATCAACTTGAATACCACAGAAGACTTTCTTCAGGTAATTTTTGGGGCCATGAAGAATACCTGTGACAATCTGCAATTGCTAGTGATAAATCAACCGTAAGCAAAATAAAAACATCATGAGTCCTGTTTTGAGCACTGTCTAGTTCTTGTATTTCTAATAAATAAATAAATAAAACAATCATGTAGAAACACACCAGTCGACAAAAGCCAGTAAAATATTACTAGAAATTTTTTTAATTCTCAAAATTATAAAATAAAGAACATGTAAAGGACTGTAACTGCGATGACAACCCTTCCAAATCACCACACCTACTGGTCTGACAGGAAATCAACGGAGACGGGATATAGTTTTCATGAAAATATTTTGACTGATAGACACAAACAATATATCAGATGCATAACCATTACGTCATTGCAAAATGTTTGAAAAATCGAGCAAAACTCTTTCTTGAAACAGATAAGTATACGTAGACATTTTTTCTGTGTCTTAAACAAGGTCAAGCTGAACTGTTTGCCAACTTAACCAAGACCCTCAAATTTGAACAAAAAATAATAAATAAATAAATAAATAAACAGATAAAATCCCCAGCTGCAGAACTCAATACTGAGTTCTTCCTGTGTGAACACTTTGAACTGAATGTGCATCTAAATAAACTTAGAAGCTAGGAGATGATGATGCAAGATTTCTTCCACAAAAAGAATAACAAATGGGCAGACAGGCAGATACACAGACAGATAGACAACCACATATCAGTGTGCTCAAACTTTGTTGGTCTGGCATGGGTTCCAGCCATTCATTTTTTAAAAACAAAATTCTTCTCCTAAAGATTTTCACAAGAGCCAACAGTTTTGAGCAGCACTCCTCTCGGTACATAACCAATGAATTAACTTGTGGTTTGGGAAAAAGCCAACGGTGCATTTCACAATCTGGTCACACGAAACTGGTTCAAATTTAATTAAACACTACCAAAGGCAAAAAGAAATTGTTGTGTGTTACACAAATTCTCCAGAAGATTTTAATTTCCTCTAGTATAAAGGGCCCACTTAATTTTGCCGTCACCTGTCAAAAAATTAAATTAGTTACAACAACCCCCTTAAATGCATTCAAATAAAGTCTGTCTATTTCTGGTTTATCAAGGGGTCCAAGATGATCCAGAACATACACTTGATAGTGTTACCTACAGAAGTGCAGACTAATTAAAACTTATAATGGCTGTTAAGAGCAGTTTCTATTTCAGCAGGAGAGATCAAAGATCAGTTTCTGTAGAAACTATTAACTTATCATCCATTTTCTGTCAATTCTCTTTGACAGTTTGGACAAATTTAGTTACTGAGGAGCACAAGTGTTTGTTGCTGTAACTGCTCCAATCTGTAGCAAGTGAACCTGAACCAGAGTTCATCAAGGTCAATACTTGATATTTCACATGTAATTTGTTTAAAATTTCTTGGACTGTAAATGTGAATCAAATGGTGACAGAAATCCATAGATGTAATAAAACATGTTTTCTCTCCGTTCCAAGTCACATATAACACAAGCTGAAACAGTAACAGGTGGTGCATATAAACATCTTGAACAATACTGCATAGGACGTGGAGCATACTGTTCTACATGCAAGAACCCCGTATATCATTACTTTTTGGTAAATGTGCAACAAAACCTGTTTCCTGTTTATAAACATATTTTACATTAAATAGGTGCTACTACCACAATAATAAGAACATATATACAAAATCATAGACATGAGCCCGTCAACACCAAACCGTTTCCTTATTACAACGCCAGCCAGACAAGTGGCACTGCCAGGAATTAATTCAAGAAAATTATTTGCTGGTAAAAGATCCCTCTCCCTCACTTACCTTGACAAATTTTTTCATTTGCGTGCACTTTGTAACCCTTTGGACAAATACACTCATAACTTCCGTCTGTGTTTTCACATTCATGACTGCATCCGCCATTATTGATGTTACACTCATTTACATCTGAAAATGAGAAATACGTAAGTCATTCATAGCAATTACTACCATTAGAATTCCTTTCCAACTCATGCTTTCAGCCAGCAATTTTAAAAGAGGGGGAGTCTTTTTCCGAAAAGTGGACCTTTTTACTATAATGACATAAAACCAAGATCAAATGATTCAGTAGTGAGCTTTTCCTGGACAAAATGTCACTTTATTTCAACCCCCCTTTCCAAAACAGGCCTGCAATTGTATCATAGGAACTGTCTGTGTGAATAACTGAATTTTAACTGCAGTCTCCACTTTGCCTAAAATATCTTTTCACTCAAAAATGCAAGGTTTTTCATAATTCTTAAAATGACATTGAAATTTCATATAAGTTTTAAACTTTGAAACCTTTTTTTTCACTAAGAAACATGCAAATACATTTGACATGACAGTAAGATTGTATTATCAAATACAAAAAATGTGTCATCATATTCAATTTTTTTTTTTAATTTGAAAGATTGAGATAATTCCAGAGAGAAGGGAGAAAAATTTCAATTCAGATACCATAATGACAAATGATGGAAAGGAAACCAGTTAGAGTAAATGCCTAAAAAGCATTACCAAATTGAATAAACAAGACTTGATTGACAGGCATGAAATTGAAAAATCAGTTCAGCATGCATTTTTCTTCTGTTCCCGGTCTAACCTTGTTGCCCCCATCACTTGAAAAAAATGAAAGACAGGAGCAAGTACTGCTAAACAACTTCTCCTGATTAAACAAGTAAACTCCCAACACAAATGCCAGACATTGCAACATTCCGCAGATAAACAGGAACAAGAGAAAGGTGTAGCAAACACCGCACTGATTTTATCATAACATGCTGATATATCATGATTATAGTGCTTTTCTTTTGACGCCAAATTAATATATATACAAAAAGGGGGAATATGTGAGAATATTCCAGAGCTACACCATGTTTCAATTAGACATTACATAATAAAGTCTGAAATACTAATTGCACTACAGTTTCCAACTGAAATTTTGTATAAAACTCCAAATTGGTCCTTCCTTCACACTGGATATCTGAAATCACTTTGTAAGACCCTCAACTCACATTTAAATGTGATTTATCAAGTCAGAATTAAAAGGGGGAATTTTGACAGTCATACATGTATTAAGTGACCCTTTACCTTATTGGAGGTGTAAAAATTCAACTAATTTTTTTCTACAGCAAATCTGTCTATAATAAAAAATTCTAGTTTAAATTCAACTTTAAAAAAAGAAAAAGAAAAAATAAAGGAAACATGTTGCCCTGCCCTAATGACATAGTAACAAGAAGTCATGCCTGACAAACAAAAAGTCAAATTGTTTTGTTTGCTCATTATACAGCTTGCTAATTTAATTCCCAGCCAATGAAATCAAAACATCCAAAGTACTATTTTGTACAAACATTTTTTTTCACCAAAACATATCTGGTTACATGCATGTTCAATCCTGTTCATTTTTTTCTCACAAAAACAATTTAGGCAAAATCAAGCCTACACTCAAACTCAAAGGCATTACAGATCTACAAGCAGTAAGTTTTGGCTTGGAATTTATCCCCTCTGAAAAATCTAAATATTTTTCCAAATGAATTTTCTTATTCTAAAAACAACTCTGCATAAGCTAAATGCAACCTTTCATCTCTATTGTTATGTTACAGGTATAAGCCTGACATATGGCTGAATGATATCAATAATACTTTACTGAGCTCTAAACTGTTTACAAATTATTTTCATAGACTCTCTACACTAATATCTTTATACAAATTATGAAAACAGTTAACTAAATAAGGCATGAGAACTGAGACACAGTACAGGATAACATGATGGATATTTTGTTTCTTAAAGCAGGGCTGGATTGAGGCCATCTTCTGGGTCTTCAGGAAGACTGTCAGATATTCAAGTTTACACTGACGGGTATCTATTTTTTCTGTCGGAAGACGGTCAAAAATGGAGAAATGGATCAACAAAGATATTTTGGAAGACTGTCAGAAAATAGATCTGGATCCACCCCTGTTAAAGCTTCCAGTTATATATATATATATATATATAATAATAATAATAATAATAATAATGATATTAATGACAATAATAGTAAGTTAAACTTCAACTCTTTACCTAAACATGTTTTTTTATCCTGATGTAGGATATAGCCAGGAGGACAGCTGCACTGAGGGCCGTCATTGCTATCCTTGCACGTCTGAGCACAACCGCCATTGTTAACATCACACGTCGCTGGAAGAGGTAAGAAAGGATTAAAATACAAGTTCATAATGATATAAATAAAATTCAATTTTATTAATTTCACTTTCAGACCCAGGGATACTGTAAAGGGGGAAGAAATGAGGGGGGGGAGTTAATTTTTCTTTGTTTTGCTTAACATGTTTGCAATAAAACAAATGTTTAAAGAAGCTTATAAAGGGGGTGGATAAATGTTTTCAATCAAAAAGACTGTGCCAAAGAAACCGTATCTTTGGACATTTTATATTTTTAATGCCTCAAAAAAATATTTGGGTAGTGCTGTGGGATTAATCAGTGCTTTGTGGATAAAATTACAAGATCAGGGGGAAAACAAGTGAAAAATAAAAAAAAATATATATCAAAAGTGGAAAGGGCAGTAATTTTCATAATCAGGCCTCATAAATGATAATTACCAATTGCCTGAGTTAAAACTGTCCATGGTAATGATACAAACTCCAGACCCACCTATACAAGTCCTTCCATCAGCTCTTGCCATGTACTTGGGGGCACAGGTACACACTGGACCCTGGGGGGTATTCCTACACTTGTGCTGACACCCACCATTGCCAATATCACATGTTGCTGAGAAAATTCAATAAAAGGGTAAAAATGATTTACATGGCTTTTCAGCTCTTGGGTGGATAGTGCTTACTGAAGTATAATCATACAATAACATCAAAGCAACTCAAAAGTTAGATACATGAGTGTATATGAGAAAATTTGACTCAGTACATACAGTGTGTGAAAAATATATATAAGAAAATTGTTATTTTCTACCTAAAATCTTTATCACTATGATTAGTGGTAGATACACAATATCTATAAATAATAACATATAAGTTCTTATTAAAATAAATAAAATACATAAATAAACTTGAAAAGCACTCAGGGAATGCAGTCCTCTGTCCAGGCAGACCAGTCCTCACTATTATTGTAATGTTTAATTTTAATGTAGATGAAGCATATCTGCCACTTAGCTGTGTTATTCTATCTCCAGAAACTCTTCATGTGCTTTAACCAGTCTATAATTAGAACACTACTCATGTAAATTGTCAGACTTTGTTAGCCAGAAATGATGATTCTGCACTTGTACGTTGTTGAGTAATGCTTGCAAACAGCCGCTCTGGAAATATTCCAGACAAAACCTGTCCCAACTTGCATGAAGAAATTAGGAAAAAAATTGGTAACCAACATGGCCACTTTCACCTTCTATGCTACATTTCACTTGTTGTGGATTAAACAATGTTAAATTTTTTTATGAATGGCTTGACACTTACAACGGGTAAATTTGTATTCCTTGTTAGTGTGTAACTTATGTCTGAAGTTGTTTTTCATTATGACTTCCAGAAAACTTTCAGAAAATTTATACTAATGATTAGTTATCCCCTTTGTCTCTGTGCACATTTCCACTACAAATCTAAAATGGGGTCCAGGAGTATTTTCTTATTTGTGCTGTTGTTTCAGGATCTGAAGATCCATATGATGAATGAAAAAATCAGAATACTTTTTTTCAAATACAATTCCAAGTTTACATCAGAATTTCAGATCAAATTAGGATTAAAATGTAAAATTTAAATACTCCTGATTGACAATGTATTTCATATCCCCCAGCAATGGTGTATAAAGAGTTTTGAGGACTTAAAAATATCAATAAAAAATATTTTGCACAATGTACATATGATCCTCTGGGGCTGACTCCAGTAGCAAAAACACACTTGAAATTCAGTAGATTAAATCAAATTCATGTCAATTTGTTGTACTTCAATATCCTGTTTTTCAAGTTGCAATAAAAAATGCCTCAGTTGCCATATTTGAGTATTTTTTCAAAATAAACACAAAGCTCTTAGAGGTATACTTAGTTTTACAACAAAACAGCCAAGTGTAACAACGTTTTTGTTAAAAAAATTTTAACATCAGTAGGAAGGTACTTTGAAACTTTGCAGGAGATACTATTAATAACTGTTAAAAGTGATAATCCTGAGAAGACACAGATGCCCGTTTTAAAACACATGTTTTGGCAAAACAGTTTTAGAATCTGCATCACGTTTTTCACAAACAAATGGGGGTAGTTTTATCTAAAAAGCAATCTTTTAGTCCCAATATAATCACAAATGACAGAGGTCAGCCCCCGGGTTAATTCAATAAAGTGATCTTTTCCCTTTTTTGACAGCTACTGCTGACAGCTTCGTCATTCAACAAATTCTCGGGTCCTGCCCAGTTCCTGTAATGCTCTTATGATTTGTAGAGCTGTCTGGAGGTGTGTGCAATTCTTAGCATGTGTCTGCTGGAAAAAAGTGCTTTCTTTTTCTTGAGTCTAGTAATAATGAATGCTGCTGATAAGTCGAGGCATAATTTCTTTAATAAAACAGCTTCCTATTCAGGATGTTTTCTTTCTTTTATTTTAATATATATTCATGCTTGTTCAATTGTGTCATTCCCTATTTAATTTAATGTTTGGTTTTTTTTAAACAATGCATCTTTTCAAAAATAATAATAAGAATTTTGCAAACTAACTTCCTTCTCTTTTAGACTTTACTCTGTATAATAACAACAATTGAGATGATCAAAGGCAGCACACACAGGGTGCAATTCCGAATTAAAATATTTCTCACCCCTATTTACAGACAGATTTATTTTTCATTGCCTGTTTACCCACCTATGCAATCTTTTCCGTTATTGTGAAGCACGTAGCCAGCCCGACAGGCGCAGGCATAATTCCTAGGGTTGCAATGATGGGCACATCCTTTCCATGTTTCACACCATCCTGAAAAGGAACAAGGCAAAATTAGTAAATGTATATTAAAGAACACTACTAAACTAAATAAGCACATTAACAAAACAGTTCTGGTTTTAAAATATATTCAATTGTGATCTTGTACTAATTTGTAGTGTACTTCATTAGAATTTCTTGCATTTTATTTCATATTATAATGTTTATTGTATTATATTGTAATCTACTTTATAAGAATTTCTCACGTTGTATATCATATATTTTACTGTTCATTGAATTTTATTGTACTTTATTTTATTTGCTATACCTAATCATCCCAACAGTGGTGCATTTGTATACAACAAACTATCCTATCTTTTTTGTTAACCATAATTTTATAACAGATTTCAAATTTTCTGTTTACAAATATTGAAAGTGTATTGCAACCATATGCATGCAATTATTACAAACTTCCATCAAATGTGGCGTTTATTGCGACTGTTAACCACAATAAAGCAGTATAGCAGGAGAGCTCCAGCCGACCAGCAGGTGTAATGATTGTTGGAGAAAGAAGAAAGACCAAACATCTGTACAGTTTGTTTTCTATATCTGCACACACTGAGCTGAAATTTGGAATGGCCCAAACATAGCTGGATGGTAATTTGTGGCAAATGTAACCAGAAACTCATGTAATCACATCAAAATATTAACTGTTACCAATTCCTTCTGATTTCACGATTATCCAAACTTACACTGCCATCAAATAAATGGCCCAAGCCAAGTGTGCCTAATAACATCCATTATGTCCAGGAGTTTACAAATCAGTGACTATCCCTTTTTTCATGCAGCCTTTGAACTCCTCCACTCAACCTTTTCTGCTACAAGACAAGTTGCATGAACGTTTCTGTTACTCCGTATGTAATGTGACTATATTTCAGTTAAAAGAAACAATTGGTGCCTATTTACTGTGCCACATGCCACATTCTTTGTCAGGACAAAACCACTGATCATCCTAATGGGAGCATTTGCAGAACAAATGGCCAATAGGGTTGCTTTGAATTATTTACAACTTGCTTTATCAATGCACTACGCCACAGCCTGCGCTTTCATATACACGTTCTCTCTGACATAGATAAAATAAAGACTGGAAATTTAAGAAAACAAGAGTCTTATTACATTGTTTCCCACATCTTGTGATTCTTTCAAATAATTTGTCATAAGGCACCCATAAAAAACCCAACAAATAACCTATAAAAGGCACGTGATTGTGTGGCCAACTGCCAACAGTGTGAATTGCCAAATTTTGAAGTATGTTTCTTAAGAAGCGTATTTCAGACTAATAAACATCAACCATTCTGACACTACTCAACTCTGACAAGAGTTAATGATAAACACACTCGGAGACATTTATTTCACATCTTCAGCCATAACTTTTTGTACCACAATATCAATGCACCGCCCCTTTCCTCCTCTTACTTCACAGAACCACATTTGATATCATTTTGATAGAAAAAATAATAAATCATGTAGAAAAATAGAAAAACATTAAAGTATCAAAAAATGGAAAAAAATGTTTTCACACATGAACTTTGGTCCCAGCTCAGAGAGAAACAAATAATTGTTTTGCTCAAAAAAGACCTGAAGTCCGACTACTACAAGTATCAATTTTTAGGCTTCGTTCTATTTTAATATTCGTTCTATTTTAATTGTTAAAACAATCATATATTTCTAAAATATAGCGATAAAACTTCTTCTACACCATATAGTACTATGTACAGTTGTATATACACCAACTCTTTCCAATAAAGAAAAAATAGAAAGAAAGAAAGAAAGAAAGAAAAATTACCTCTTCCTCTTGTACAACTTTTTCCATCTGTTTGAAGAGAATATCCATTATTACAGCGGCATTCATAGCTCCCCAGTGTGTTGAAGCACTGCTGAGAACATCCTCCCCTATTCTCAAAACATTCATTCCTATCTAAAAAAATAAACATTCAATTACAGACAATTGAAATACTACTTTGAAAACAAAATATCAACAGAAACTGGCAAAATTTCTTCAAGACTGGAATATATTTTTGTTTCTAATAGTCTCAATGAGGCAAATTAATGAAGAGTGAAAGAAAAGTTAAGTTATATTACAGACAATTGAAATCCTATTTGAAAACAAAATATCAACACAAACTGACAAAATTTCTTCAAGATTTGAATATATTTTTGTTTCTAATAGTGTCAATGAGGAAGCAAATTAATGAAGAGTGAAAGCAAAGTTAAGAGCTGGTAGAGCTAGTACAGGGGGTGGGGGGCTGGTAGAGCTAGTACAGGGGGTGGGGGGCTGGTAGAGCTAGTACAGGGGGTGGGGGGCTGGTAGAGCTAGTTCAGGGGGTGGGGGCTGGTAGAGATAGTACAGGGGGTGGGGGGCTGGTAGAGCTAGTACAGGGGGTGGGGGCTGGTAGAGCTAGTGCAGGGGGGCTGGTGGAGCTAGTACAGGGGGCTGGTAGAGCTAGTGCAGGGGGTGGGGGCCGGTAGAGCTAGTGCAGGGGGCATGGTGGAGCTAGTACAGGGGGTGGGAGGCTGGTGGAGCTAGTGCAGGGGGTGGGGGCTGGTAGAGCTAGTACAGGGGAGCTGGTGATTATGAAGCTGTTGGACTTCTTGAGAATAAGAAGTGCATCGGGGGGGGGGGTGAGACTTGTGGAGGAAAAGGTAGGTCTAGGGAAGGGAGAGGAACAGGTGGAGGAAAGGTGAGACTCCTTGAGAGGAAGCGGCGGGTCAACAGAGAAGAGAGGTCTGTTATTCTGATTGCATTCAGCAACAGTCCACGTGGAGTTAGTGTGCATTAACCAGGTTGACAAAATTCATTGTGAATGGTCCCTAAGAGGATGGTCCAGGGAGAGGAAAAGAAGAAGTGGGGGAGGGGGGAGACTTCTTGAGAGTAAGAGGTGGAGCAGAAGATATGATGGTGTAGGTGGCCAAGAAGAGGTAGAGCAAAAGTTGAGGGTAGAGAATACCCCCCCCCCCCCCTCAATCACCGAGATTAAAACAGGTCAATTACCAATCACCAAGAATTCCTAAATCATGTTTCACATAGAATATCGGGCTCAAATCACGCTCGAAAAATAAGGCCAATTACATGGAATGCAAAAAGTGTTCCCTACCCTCAAGGTAAAGGCAGAGGAGAGGAGGTTAACATATCAACAATCTATGTCTTACCTATACAATTATGTCCATCTCTGTCTAAGACAAATCCTTGTAAGCAACTACAGGAATAGTTACCATGAGTATTGGTACATTTATGAACACAGTCACCATTTTCATATTGGCATTCATTTACATCTGAAAAAGAACCCAGGGAAAAAATTTATCTCTAGTAGATCAACAAAATTTGTTCTCATATGTTTCTTTAAAATAATTTTTTCTCCTTGTAAAAACTTTATAGCTTTCCATGTAGTTCTTTTTTTAAGTGAGCAAGTATGAATATATATCATATGGAATTAAATTCAATCACTTGAAATGACTGGATAATATACTATGGAAGACTCCTCTAGGCTTTTTGACAATTTCCGTACTCTCAGCAATAAGGATCAAGTACGGACAGAAACAAGTGGACGTTAATAGGCTTACCTATACAAATGTTTCCACTCCCATAGAACCCCTCTTTACATTTACACCTGTAAGCTCGTCTTGTATCTATACAATCAGCATCTGCGTGGCACTTATGGACTCCATTCTCACACTCATCTAAGGCTAAAACAAAATAAATTATCTTTGAAGAAATCTTTTTAAACCTATGTCAATGCAAGGGTTCATTTTTCCGATGTTTCTTTGGTTTAAATTTTTTTCAACTGATCTTCAATTGCAATTGCTTTCAGAGTTCAGGAACAGTTTCAAGCCAGAATGTTATTGAAACTGTGGCTTACAGCAACTTTCCTGCAAATAAACTTATGGGGTAATGAATTTTCAGATACATATTTATTTTTCTTCAAAATTATGTCAATATTTCCATCATTGAGATTCACCACTTAATATTGCCATCAGGGAAAGTCATGGGACCTTATCTTAATAAGCAAATAGGCTAATATTTGCATATATTTTTAACTAAAACATACACATTATATTTCAAATGTTTTAAAATTTACACAAAAAACTTCCTTGTACACAGAATCATTTCATCACATTCACTTTACACACACACACACACACACACACACACACACACACATTTGAATTGGCAGAAACAGCTAAGGCAATTAATCCTTTCATAAAGCTACGTATCAACAGCAAGGGTTGAAAAACCGAAAAGAAGGATTTACAGAGTACACAAAACCAAGATCCTTGGGATTTAGACATTTTCTTCAAAGTTCAAAGTGCAATTCCGAAATTGTCTCTTGGACACAGCAATTAATCTCTGATCTCATATCTGTGTTGTTGGGGTTACTTGTATCCATACTGGTAGGCAGATCCGGAATAGGACCTCAAAGGCCAACAAATTTCAAAAACACAAAATGGTGGCTTCTGCAGATACACAGGCATTCACAGATACATTTTTTCAAGTACTCAACTGCAATCACATAATACAGTGACAATTTTTATATGTAGTGATTCAATCTAAGGCCCCTTTCCCATTGACAACATCGACCCAACTCTACCAGGACTCTTACTGACTGCAATCAGCTTAATTAATGACACATCCGCCAGGTAGTAAATAGAATACAGAAAAGCTGGTGATTGTATGAGTAAGTTGGAAACAAGAGGGTGTCTTTCAGGGAAGCTGACTGCATTTAGCAAGGGTCCCCCCCAGACTATTTTCAATCCACGTAGACCAATAGACTATGTGTCTATGGGAATGGGATCTTACAATAAAGAAATAGCCCTGAGAATATCTTCTGTATAGTTATATAATGTCAGGTAGATGATGGATGGGATACAGGAGAGAAGGTACAGGATATGAGCAGATGACAAGTTGCCCAGACAAATGAGTGGCCCTCAGGTAAATTTTCTACCTGAGAAATGATGGAAGGGTGGAAGGGGGAGAGATAGAGAATTTTGTACTGGTATATCTACTGGTATCTATTAGTTGTATCTTAGGCACATTCAAATTCAAACATCATACCAGCTGGGTTGGTCCAAGTCTGTGGGAGATTCTTGCTAAAGTGCAATCAGTGGTTCAGCACATGATAGTTAACTACCCCTAGCTGCTGAGGGAGGTGTGTCAGACAATTAAACTGATTCCAATGATCACACTTCAGTAAAAATCCCCTGCAGAAATGTCCCACAGATCCATCAAGTATGATGAGTGAATCTGAATAAGGTCTTTTTTAAATACATTTATGTAAACAAGTTTTTGAAATAATTTATCTGATTTTTTTTCCTCTTTTCCTATTGCACTTCAGTTTTGATTTTCGTCAAAGTTACTTCTGAAACAACAGTTCTTCTATACTGGGATATGGAAATAATTAATTCAAGTTGAAGCATTTCCCTATTTTCAGCTGATATTTAATACAAAAGTAACTGATTAAACAAAAACAACATCTCACGTGGACTTGTTATACAATTCTTGGTAAACTTTAAAGGGATAACAACTGTTCATTTTGGCCAAAAAAGGGAAAGAACAATTTTCCCATACTTACCAATGGTAAATGAATCCATTCCCACATTCAAAGTTAGTTCCTTTTTTTTTTTTTTTTTTT